ATTTCTAATGGCAGAGCAATTAAGATCTCTAAAGCCGTTAGTACAGAAAATTAGCTGATGGATGAATGGATGAAATCAGACACACAGAATAATTTGCTGTGCGTTTTACGGGGGTCATCTAGAGCAGCCTTTCTCAACCAGGGTGACCAGGCACTCTGGGGTGCCTTGAGGTTTCTTCAGGGGTGCCTTGAGGTTTATTCAGGGGTGCCTTGAGGTTTCTTCAGGGGTGCCTTGAGGTTTATTCAGGGGTGCCTTGGCAAAATGTCTAAAAATTGCCCAAAACTTGTATACAAGCCAGCGAGTGGAACACGCCTGCCTTTTAGTTATACAAAGTCACAGGTTTTCATTGTGCACCATGACGACCTTCTAGCCACCGGCATCCCGACAACCAATGACATCATCAGTTGATAAGGAGGATGTCAGCTGGCTGCACAGCATCCTAGTTTGACCCTCCCCTGCCCCTCTGTCAGTGCTGGGGTCACATTAGCTCAGTGATGGAGAAAAATTGAGAGAGGAGAAACACTGGAATACTAGTCAGTACCAGTGTGCAAAGGTGTGTTTGCTTTGGAAGAATAAATCCCCTCTAATGTTGGGTGTCCTACATGTGTGGATGTGGCTGGGTTATATAAAACTATTAGAATGGCTTTTCACATTTTAAAATGGGGTGCCTCGGGACTGTCCATAATTTTAGAGGGTGCCTCAAGACTGTCCATAATTTTAAAGGGTGCCTCAAGACTGTCCATAATTTTAAAGGGTGCCTCAAGACTGTCCATAATTTTAGAGGGTGCCTCTGGACTGTTCATAATTTTAGAGGGTGCCTCAAGACTGTCCATAATTTTAGAGGGTGCCTCTGGACTGTTCATAATTTTAGAGGGTGCCTCAAGACTGTCCGTAATTTTAGAGGGTGCCTCAAGACTGTCCATAATTTTAGAGGGTGCCTCTGGACTGTCCATAATTTTAGAGGGTGCCTCAAGACTGTCCATAATTTTGGGGGGTGCCTCAAGACTGTCCATAATTTTAGAGGGTGCCTCGGGACGGTCCATAACTTTAGAGGGTGCCTCAAGACTGTCCATAATTTTAGAGGGTGCCTCGGGACGGTCCATAATTTTAGAGGGTGCCTCTGGACTGTCCATAATTTTAGAGGGTGTCTCTGGACTGTCCATAATTTTAGAGGGTGCCTCTGGACTGTCCATAATTTTAAAGGGTGCCTCGGAACTGTCCATAATTTTAGAGGGTGCCTGAAGACTGTCCATAATTTTAGAGGGTGCCTTGACTGAAAAAAGGTTGAGAAACACTGGTCTAGACAGTGTTAACCAATAGCTGCCCGGCCAATAGCCGTTTGGCGGCCAGCAAAATGCTGTAGATTTCCGGGGTGGACGCCATATGGCGTCCTCCCGGGCATGCGCAGATTTTACGCTTGCAGAGCCGCGCAGCGGCGCGATCTGTCACCGGCCGTGTACCTCAGACAAGGCCGATGACAGATCTGAGTACTGGCCCCCGTTGCCGGTACCATGTGACCTGCTGTGACCAATCACAGCAGGTCACATGACAGTTGTATGCAATGGATGGCTTCATTCATGCCATCCATTGTATACTAGTGTCTAGCTGTGAATGGTCACAGCTAATCACATGCACGTCATGTGATTGGCTGTGGCCAAATCACAGCTAAGCACAAAAAAAAAAAAAAAAAAAAAAAAGAATCGATGTCATTCAGGTAAATGCTTGCTTATAGCAAAGTAATTCTTTGTAAAAAAAAAAATACTGATCACTTCCCCAAAGTAGTACAATGTTACTATGGTAACATTGTACTACTTTGGACATAGTGAAATCTGAAAAAAAATCTGAAAAAAAAGAAACAAAATGTAATAAAACATTTAAAATAATAAAAAAAAAATATTATATATTTTTTTTTTCATACTGTCACCAGTCAGTGTCCCTGATCACCGCCATGCCAGTTATATGATGATGCTGTACTGCACTGGTGACAGTATGTAAAAAAAAAATAGTGAAAATAATTTTTTTAATTTTCTGAAAAATTATGACAAAAAAAATACAACTTCAGAAAACTCGCCATTCCTCTTATGAAGTACGTCGGACTGTCTACTCTGCATAAAGGGGACATTTGGGGGATATCTGTACTGTTCTGACATTTTGGGGGATATCTGTACTGTTCTGACATTTGGGGGATATCTGTACTGTTCTGACATTTGGGGGATATCTGTACTGTTCTGACATTTGGGGGATATCTGTCCTGTCCTGACATTTGGGGGATATCTGTACTGTCCTGACATTTGGGGGATATCTGTACTGTCCTGACATTTGGGGGATATCTGTCCTGTCCTGACATTTGGGGGATATCTGTACTGTCCTGACATTTGGGGGATATCTGTACTGTCCTGACATTTGGGGGATATCTGTACTGTCCTGACATTTGGGGATATCTGTACTGTTCTGACATTTGGGGGATATCTGTCCTGTCCTGACATTTGGGGGATATCTGTCCTGTCCTGACATTTGGGGGATATCTGTACTGTCCTGACATTTGGGGGATATCTGTACTGTCCTGACATTTGGGGGATATCTGTACTGTCCTGACATTTGGGGGATATCTGTACTGTCCTGACATTTGGGGGATATCTGTACCGTCCTGACATTTGGGGATATCTGTACTATTCTGACATTCTTGGACTTCAAGAAATTTAGATTGGCTGTCAGTACTTCAGGATTGATCAATATTCAGATATATCCCATAGTTTGTGAACTCTATAACTTTCCTACAAACTAAATAATACATCCTAATTTGGGTTATTTTCACCAAAGACATGTAGCAGAATACATCTCGGCCTAAATTTATGAAGAACAATTATTTATTTGCAAACTTTTATAACAGAAACAAAGAAAAACGTGTTTTTTTTTCCAAAATTTTCAGTCTTTTTTTTGTTAATTTAGCAAACAATAAAAACCCCCGCGGTGATTGAATACCACCAAAAGAAAGCTCTAGTTGTGTGAAGAAAATGATAAAATTTTAGTTTGGGTACAATGTTGTATGACCGCGCAATTGTCATTCAAAGTGTGAGAGCGCTGAAACCTGAAAACTGGCCTGAGCTGGAAGGGGGTAAAAGTGCCCGGTATGGAAATGGTTAAAGTACAACTAAAGCCAAAACTTTTTTAATATTTTCAATACTGGAGGGTTATAACCCCTGTTTTTTTTTTAGTTTTGCAGTCTGTGTCCCATGGGGTAGATTTCCCTTTGTTTCTTGTTCCAGAACAGGAAGTGATAGGGAATCCCTGGTTGTCACCAGAACTAATGTCCCTGTTGGAAGATTTTTCCTCTATTCCTGTTCTGGGGACAACCCAAAATTTGTGATTTCCTTCACTTTCGATAACTGTAAACATGGCAAATAGAGACAGTAACTCTTCCTAAAAGGGGCACAGACAGCAATAAAAACTTGACAAAGTTCATAATCCCTCTCCACCCTATCCAAAAACTAAAAAAAAAGTAGTTTTGCCTTTACGCCCCGGTCACATCAAGCCCCACTTTGAAATTGTGCGACTTAGCCTCCATGTACGCGGGACACTTCTGAACGATGGAAACTGACTGCTGGAAAACGTAGGTTAAAAAACGTCTGTTTAGCTGCGTTTGCATAATGCGTTTATGCACGTTTGTGTTTAGAAGCGTTTTTTTAAAGATAACCTCAGGAGACCTTCCAAAATGCCCAGAATGCACTGAAAAACAGTAAAAAAAATTAACTATTTCAGACATTTTGAGAGAAATAGAGAGCGTAGAAGCAGAGAGAGCAGTATGTGTTGAGATTAGCTGTCTTTTTTTTTGTTTGTGGTGTTTGGATGTTCCGGCTCATTTCTGTGCAGAAATTATTGCAGCCGTGTCTAACATATTTTCCTTCATGCGAAACCTCAAAGTATGGTGTGCCGGGTCCATTTGAGTACCGGGGAAACGCTTTGCGTGCATTTTTCATGATGAGAAAAGGCTCTGGACAGCATCTGGAAATGGAAGAGTTAAAAAAAATTTTCCAAATGCAAAAGTTTATAAACGCAGTTAGCTGTGTTTACAAGCGTTTGGCTTTTGAAATGTTGCTAAAATCTACTCCTGAACGCAACTTTGGCGCGCTCAAAAAAACGACTGTAAACTCACCTGCCTGTAAACGACGATGTGTACATGGGAAAACATTAGGGGGAGTTCAGGGGCTGCTGAAAAAAACGCAGAAAAGCTCCTAAACGTGAGTTTATCAGCCGCAGTGTACATGGAGTCTAATAGTGAAGTCGCACGATTTCAAAGTCGGGGGACAAGCCAATTTGAGGTGCGATTTGCATAGACATCAGACACATTAAAAATATTATCAAAAAGCAATGTAAACATAAAAGGAACATGAGTGCTATACATCAATAGGGGAAACAAAATGATGCACAGAGCAGAAGTCAGTGGTGTGATGCATAATGCAGGGAGAGGGGTATGGACTGTAGGAAGGAAGGGAGGGGGGAAGGAAGGGAGGAAGAAAGAAAAGGAAGGAAGGAAGATAGGGAGGGAGGAAAGCAGGAAGGAGGGAAGGAAAGGAAAAAAGGAAGGAGGGAGGAGAGGGAAATAAGAAGGGAAGGGAGGCTCCTGGTAACTGCCCCTCCCACACACTTCTAGTCCCAACACTATTCATCCCATGTAATTTCCACTCGCACAGTGCGAGCGACTGAGTGGAAATTTTGAGGGCTGCACTATAATGCAACTCACTCCCGAAAAGGAGCTTAATCATAGAGTCATTCTAAGACTAAGCCTCTTTTTGGAATGGAAATGCTTTAGCCTAGTTTGTGCACAGGGTGGATTTGTCTGTGCTTTGGTTTGCTTTAATAAAATTACATTGGCATTTGTGGTGAGCAATTTTTACCCTTTTCTTTGGAGGACTATTGTGTTGGCCCCAATTTATGTTGCTGTTGAGGCCTGTAAAGGTATTCCTGTTTAACTCACCGTTTTTGTTTTTCTCATTACATGAGCAGAAGATGAGGACCTCAGTCCACCTCCTTCTCCCGAAATAGTTATAAAGAAGAAGAGAGGACCTAAGAAGAAGGACAAGGACAAGCAGAGACCGCCGAAAGCTCGTAGAACCTACAAGCGCAAAAAGCCCGTAAGAAAACTCTTAATTGTTCTTTCCTCCGCCAATATTTTAGCTGGGTTCAGTTGGTCTTCTCTTTTTTTGTGAATGGGAAGTCCCTATGCAGAGGGCAGAAGGGTTGATCATTTGCTTTTTAAATCAACCCTTAACCACTTCCAGTCCGGACACTTTTACCCCCTTCCAGTCCGGACACTTTTACCCCCTTCCAGTCCGGACACTTTCCCCTCCTTCCAGTCCGGACACTTTCACCCCCTTCCAGTCCGGACACTTTTACCCCTTCCAGTCCGGACACTTTCCTTTCACACTTTCACCCCCTTCCAGTCCGGACACTTTAACCCCTTCCAGTCTGGACACTTTCCCCCCCTTCCAGTCCGGACACTTTCACCCCCTTCCAGTCCGGACACTTTAACCCCTTCCAGTCCGGACACTTTCCCCCCTTCCAGTCCGGACACTTTCTACCCCCTTCCAGTCCGGACACTTTCCTCCTTCCAGTCCGGACACTTTCACACCCCTTCCAGTCCGGACACTTTAACCCCTTCCAGTCTGGACACTTTCCCCCCCTTCCAGTCCGGACACTTTCACCCCCTTCCAGTCCGGACACTTTAACCCCTTCCAGTCCGGACACTTTCCCCCCCTTCCTGTCCGGACACTTTCACCCCCTTCCAGTCCGGACACTTTAACCCCTTCCAGTCCGGACACTTTCCCCCCCCCTTCCAGTCCGGACACTTTAACCCCTTCCAGTCCGGACACTTTTTCCCCCCCCTGTCCGGACACTTTCACTCCCTTCCAGTCCGGACACTTTATAACCCCCTTCCAGTCCGGACACTTTAACCCCTTCCAGTCCGGACACTTTAACCCCTTCCAGTCCGGACACTCTTCCCCCCCTTCCAGTCTGGACACTTTCCCCCCCTTCCAGTCTGGACACTTTCCCCCCCTTCCTGTCCGGACACTTTCCCCCCCTTCCTGTCCGGACACTTTCCCCCCCCTTCCTGTCCAGGCCAATTTTCAGCTTTCAGAGCTATCACACTTTGAATGACAATTGCGCGGGTCATGCAACACTGTACCCATATGAATTTTTTAGCATTTTTTTTTGAGACAGATAAAACTTTATTTTGGTGGTATTTATTCACCACTGGGGTTTTTATTTTTTTGCTATGTAAATGAAAAAAGTCCACAAATTTTGAAAAAAAGTGTTTTTGTTATAAAATTTTTCAAATAAATAATCTTTGTTCATAAATCTTGGCAAAAATGTATTCATCTATCTTTTTAGTAAAAAAAAAATAAAATAACCCAAATTAGTTTATAACCAAAATATATATTTTTCAAAAATTATTTTTACATTTTTATTATTTTTTTTTTATATTATTATTGATGTTTTTTTTAACATACTGTCACCCTAGCAGTACAGTGTCACCATGGTGACACTGTACTACATGTGGAGGGTGATGAAGATTTTTTTATCTGTTTTTACACTGATTGCTTTTACACCCATAAAGGCTGTAAAAGCAATCATTTCTCCTTCTCTCTGGCTGCATTCTTGCAGCCATTGAGAAATACTGTGAGAGCTGTGATTGGGCACAGCTTGTCACATGGTACAACGCTGTTGTGAATAGCCTTGTACCATGTGACCTCTGTGATCATTCACAGATTTCAAAGGTAGTAAGCAATGATGTCAGAAGTGACATCTTGCTTACACCTATTCATGTGATCACTGATTAGCCAATCAGTGATCACATGATCGGGACCTCACACAGTGGTCCCGTACAGTGATCGGTGTTCCGCTGTGTATTAACAACAACTTTAACAATATTATCAAAAAGTCTACAAGCCAGGTCTTCCCTTTTTTGTGAATGGGAAGTGAAATTCACCAAAAAGTTATTCTTTAAAATGTGACTAAACCCCATACCCTGCACTCACTATATCTGGTCTCCCCGGACCCTGCATTCACTATATCCGGTCTCCCCGGACCCTGCATTCACTATATCTGCTCTCCCCCGGACCCCGCATTCACTTATATCCGCTCTCCCCGGACCCTGCATTCACTATATCCGCTCTCCCCGGACCCTGCATTCACTATATCCGGTCTCCCCGGACCCTGCATTCACTATATCCGGTCTCCCCGGACCCTGCATTCACTGTATCCGGTCTCCCCGGACCCTGCATTCACTATATCCGCTCTCCCCGGACCCTGCATTCACTATATCCGGTCTCCCCGGACCCTGCATTCACTGTATCCGCTCTCCCCGGACCCTGCATTCACTATATCCGGTCTCCCCGGACCCTGCATTCACTGTATCCGCTCTCCCCGGACCCTGCATTCACTATATCTGGTCTCCCTGGACCCTGCATTCACTGTATCCGCTCTCCCCGGACCCTGCATTCACTGTATCTGCTCTCTTCCCGGACCCTGCATTCACTGTATCTGCTCTCCGGACCCTGCATTCACTATATCTGGTCTTCCCGGACCCTGCATTCACTGTATCTGCTCTCCGGACCCTGCATTCACTATATCTGGTCTTCCCGGACCCTGCATTCACTATATCCGGTCTCCCCGGACCCTGCATTCACTATATCCGGTCTCCCCAGACCCTGCATTTACTATATCTGCTCTCCCCGGACCCTGCATTCACTATATCTGGTCTCCCAGGACCCTGCATTCACTATATCCGGTCTCCCCGGACCCTGCATTCACTATATCCGGTCTCCCCGGACCCCTGCATTCACTATATCTGGTCTCTCCAGACTCCTGCATTCACTATATCTGGTCTCCCCGGACCCTGCATTCACTATATCTGGTCTTCCCGGACCCTGCATTCACTATATCTGCTCTCCCTGGACCCTGCATTCACTATATCCCTCCCCAGACCCTGCATGCAATGTATCCGGTCTCCCCAAACCCTGTATTCACTATATCTGGTCTCCCACAGTACATAGAACCTAGAAATGTAATTATTTTAGTAAATATAAACTGCTAAATACCTTTTCTCATCAGCAGTTAGAGCAGTCCTGTAACTTCTGTCAGTGTCCAGCTGAGCACTGGTTAGAGCTTGTAGGACGAGTTTTCTTTCTGTTCTAGGAGGATGCAGAACCCCTGACCTCTGTCTGGACAGTGCTGATTGGTCCTGTGCTGATCACATGTACTCTCCCAAGAAAAAAAAAAAACACTCTAGCAATACACACCAAACTGAGCATGTGCAGAGTGATAAGAGGGGGGACACTGGGAGAAGGGGAGGATCAGAGAAGTCAGAATTAAACAGCATTTTAACACAATGCAGAGGATTAACCCCTTAGGTTCCACAGTGAGTATAACAAGCATGCTGTACTGCATATACAGACTGATTGTACTGTTGTGGGTTTAGTAACACTTTAAAAGCTCCAAAACATTATATATAGCTTCTGAAAGCAGATATTGTGTAGAATAAAATGGTGGCAGTTGCAATTCTTTATGTCACACAATTGCACTGCTGTTTATCACCCTGGTGCCCAACCTGTGGCCTGAAGGCCACATGCAGCCCTTTGGTATAAGATGTGCGCCCCTCGGACCTCAGCAATCTGCAGTGGGAACATTCATTGGGGTGATAGCATTGATCTCTACCAGCCTCATGTAACATGTTCCCAGTTTAGTATTGCCTTCAGCAGCCAACAATGTATTCTGTCCACACTCTCTGACCCTCATTTCCTCTGTTAGGTCTGCAGTCTCTGAGAGTCCTGTCAAGAATTACATATATTAAGCATTATGTGCATCCTTTTGGTGATGATTGAGACCCCATTAACTGCCTCCCGCCCGCCATATAGTACAATGACGGGTGCAAGGCGGTTCTCTTGTTCTGATAGGACGTCATATGACGTCCTCCCATTCTAACCGCGCATGCGCGGTTCCCGGAGCGGATCACGATCAACGGAAAGAGCCGAAGATGTCGCCTTGGTCATGTGAACAGCTGTGTCCAATCACAGCTGATCGCATGTAAACACGGAAATGCCGGTTATCGGCATTCTCTCCTCACGAGCTGTCACGCTGACAGAGGAGAGGAGAGCCGGTAATCGGCATTCCGCGGAGGGAACATGTACACTGATCATCAGGACACTGATGATCAGTGTGGCCCCAGAAGTGCCACCTGTCAGTGTCCATCAGTGTCAGCTCTCAGTGCTCATCCATGCCACCTGCCAGTGCCCATCAGTGCCACATTTTAGTGCCTACCAGTGCACATCAGTGCCACATATCAGTGCCCATCTGAGCTGCCTTTCAGTGTCACCCATCAGTGCCAGTCAGTGCCACCTATCAGTGTCAGTCAGTGCCACCTATCAGTGTCAGTCAGTGCCGCCTATCAGTGCCAGTCAGTGCCGCCTATCAGTGTGCATCAGTGCCGCCTATCACTGCCCGTCAATGCTGCCTATCAGTGCCACCTAACAGTGCCAGTCAGTGCCGACTATCAGTGCCAGTCAGTGCTGCCTATTAGTGCCGCCTATCAGTGCTGCCTTTCAGTGCCCATCAGTGATGCCTGTCAATGCTCATCAGTGCCACCTACCAGTGCCTTCTCATCAGTGCCCATCAGTTCCACCTATCAGTGTCCATCAGTGCAGCCTATCAGTGCCCATCACTGCAGCCTCATTAGCACACATCAGCGAAGGAGAAAAATCACTTATTTACAAAATTTTATAACAAAAACTAAGAAAAAGCCATTTTTTTTCCCACAATTTTCGGTGGTTTTTGGTTTGTTTAAAAAAAAATTTAAAAAACCCCGAGGTGATTAAATACCACCAAAATAAAGCTCTATCTGTCAGAAAAAAATGATAAAAAATTCATATGAGTACAGTGTTGCATGACCGCGCAATTGTCATTCAAAGTGTGATAGCGCTGAAAGCTGAAAATTGGCCTGGACAGGAAGGGGGTATAAGTGCCCTGTAGGCAGGAAGGGGGTATAAGTGCCCTGTAGGCAGGAAGGGGGTATAAGTGCCCTGTAGGCAGGAAGGGGGTATAAGTGCCCAGTAGGCAGGAAGGGGGTATAAGTGCCCTGTAGGCAGGAAGAGGGTATAAGTGCCCTGTAGGCAGGAAGGGGGTATAAGTGCCCTGTAGGCAGGAAGAGGGTATAAGTGCCCGGTAGGCAGGAAGGGGGTATAAGTGCCCTGTAGGCGAGGGGTTAAGCTGGTAAGTTGACAATCACTGCTTTATCACCTCTATTTAGGCCCAAACCCTATGTAGAAAAACTACTGCAACAAATGTGCAGATTTTGTTCACACCATGTGCAGAGATGTGAGTTTTTCTAACACAAGTCTCTGCAAGGACACAGAGAAAACAATTGTTCTCTATCTGCAGTGTCCAGACCACAATGTTGGTGTCACGTGAGTTTTTTTCTGCGTCAAAAAAATGCATACCTGTTGCATATTTCTGCACAGAAAAAGCAGGCACATGACACCAGATTTGTGGTGTAAAGAGTGCACATAGAAAACAGTTGTTTTCTTTGTGTCCTTTCAGAGACCGATGCAGAAAAACAAACGTCTTACATTAATTTTAGTGCACCATTTTTTTGTAAACCGTAAAAGATGAGGCTACATCGAGTAAACAGACACCAAACGTGTCAAGCCTCAAAACTTTGCGCCCTTTAGAGGGCAAAAAACTACAAGATCCAAAAGTTTCCATTAGTGAACCCAGAGCTAACACCCTAGGCTTTGTACAGCAGTTTTCTTTTCGCTAATAATCATCAAAAAAAATACAGATAATAACTTCAGTAATAATGGCCAGGGAAGAAATACAGACATGGAATATTGTGGTGATCCTTTTACATTGTAAGGGAAATGACCCCGTACATTGGTGGTCAATGGAGAAGGGACGTGTCTTATATTGGTGGTCAGTGCAGAAGTGACCCAAAAAAATAAGGGGCTGTGGAGAGGGGCCGTGTAACGGAACCGGACCCCGACTGCACTTGGGTACTTCCGTTAGGGTTCCGATTCCCCGTCCGAACACCGACCACAGACACCACAGCATACAAGACTAGACAACACCAGTCTTGAAGTAAAACCAGGAAATAGACTAGTTTATTTGAACGCAGATACAAGATATATACATTCAAGGGAACAATCCCCCCTCCCTGCATAATGACACAGGGTGGGGCAATCTACATTTAGTAACAAGAGACACACAGGTATTCAAACTTCACACCAGCAGACAGTCCCATCAGAAGGGAGGGCTGCTGGAGACACCCCCCACCAAGACAACACACAAACACATACATTCCATAATAGTTTGCTCCTAAGCAAGACACACAATAGAGCAATGGGATGCAACCACATGGCATTAAACAATGAACAACCCCCCCCCCCCCCACAATATTAGGACAGATCACCCTGTACTCTTAACAGGCACAGGGTGATTTACACATAAGAGGGATATGGGGTGCTGAGATAGGGGTCTCCCCACCTCTCCAAAGTGAGCTGTGTTCCATGGGCCCCCCCACCCAAAGTGACTCCCATCACAGGCCGACTTACATTGGTGGCCATTGAGAGATGTTCCCCCTAGATTTGTGGTCAGTAGAAGGACCCCCCCCCCCCCCACACTGGTGGTAAATGTAGTGCCCCTTTTTATTGGTGATCAGACAAGGGGTCAATCCGCCATTGCTCAAGGAACCCCTAGCATCCTCTAGAGCAATGGGTGTTAAACTCAATTGCTTTGCGGGCTGCATCAGCATAACCGGTACCAGTTGTATCTGTAAGACTAGATGTCCAGAGCACCCCCCCCCTTCCTTACATAAGATGTCAAAAGCCCCCCACCATCCAAAGTCAAGAGTACCCCTCCCTCACATCACAGTGCACCCCCTTATCTTGTGCTGCTTCTGGGAAATAGCTGGAGGAAGAGCTGGAAAGCAGACAGTGTAGGGTCTGGAGGAGAGCTAGAGTCAGCTGTCGGAGTCTGCTGAATGCTGAGACTGTGGAGGCGGCGACAAGGGGGTGCTGCGGCTGCACAGAGAGGTTCAGGATCTGTAGGAAGAGTTCTGACCTTGTCTTTTCTGCCAAGTGATAAAACAGGGAGGGGGGTTGGGGGGGGTAGTAGTGGCAAAGACAAGCTTCTCCATGTTTCTGCACAGAGAGGTTCAGGATCTGTAGGAAGAATTCTGACCTTGTCTTTTCTGCCAAGTGATAAAACAGGGAGGGGGGTTGGGGGGGGGAGTAGTGGCAAAGACAAGCTTCTCCATGTTTCTGCACAGAGATATGCAGGATCTGACGAAGGAGTTTTGTCCTCCTCTCTGCTGTCGACAAGGTGGAGACGAGGGGGATGCTGCGGCTGCACAGAGAGGTGCAGGATCTGTAGGAAGAGTTCTGTCCTTGTCTTTTCTGCCAAGTAATAAAACGGAGGGGGGTTGGGGGGGGGAGTAGTGGCAGAGACGAGCCTCTCTATGTTTCTGCACAGAGATGTGCAGGATCTGGCAGAGGAGTTTTGTCCTCTCTGCTGCCGACAAAGGTGGAGACGAGGGGGATGCTGCGGCTGCACAGAGAGGTGCAGGATCTGTAGGAAGAGTTCTGACCTTGTCTTTTCTGCCAAGTGATAAAACAGAGAGGGGGGGTTGGGGGGGAGTAGTGGCAGAGAGGAGCCTCTCCATGTTTCTGCACAGAGATATGCAGGATCTGATGGAGGAGTTTTGTCCTCCTCTCTGCTGCCGACAAGGTGGGGGTGGAGACGAGGGGGATGCTGCGGCTGCACAGAGAGGTGCAGGATCTGTAGGAAGAGTTCTGACCTTGTCTTTGCTGCCAAGTGATAAAACAGGGAGGGGGTTGGGGGGGAGTAGTAGTGTGGCAGAGAGGAGCCTCTCCATGTTTTCTGCACAGAGATGTGCAGGATCTGGCAGAGGAGTTCTGTCCTCCTCTCTGCTGCCGACAAGGTGGAGACGAGGGGGATGCTGCTGCGGCTGCACAGAGAGGTGCAGGATCTGTAGGAAGAGTTCTGACCTTGTCTTTGCTGCCAAGTGATAAAACAGGGAGGGTGGTTGGGGGGGAGTAGTGGCAGAGAGGAGCCTCTCCATGTTTCTACACAGAGATGTGCAGGATCTGGCAGAGGAGGTTTGTCCTCCTCTCTTCTGCCGACAAGGTGGAGACGAGGGGGATGCTGCGGCTGCACAGAGAGGTGCAGGATCTATAGGAAGAGTTCTGACCTTGTCTTTGCTGCCAAGTGATAAAACAGGGAGGGGGGTTGGGGGGGAGTAGTGGCAGAGACGAGCCTCTCCATGTTTCTGCACAGAGATGTGCAGGATCTGGTGGAGGAGTTCTGTCCTCCTCTGCTGTCGACAAGGTGGGAGTGGAGATGAGGGGGATGCTGCGGCTGCAAGAGAGGTGCCAGGGCCACATGAAATGGCCTGGCAGGCCAGATACGACCTGTTGTACTTGCGTTTGACACATGTGCTCTAGAGAAACACTGGCTGTGAAAGGCAGGTATAATGTGACAGATAATATTTGTGTGTATCTTGTCATTGGGGATCTTATTGCAACTGCGGCCATGCCCCATGTACCATTGTGGCAATGCACCCAGGCCTCTAAAAAGGCACCATGCAGGTAAACCCGTAGGCTGGCTTTGTCTTTAACTATTTTGTTTTCTCTGTGCGCATGCTTTTGCAGGACAGCGATGACGAGCTCCAGTGGGACGAGGGGATCAGAGGTCATGTCTCCCCGGACAGTGACTCCGAGATGGGTGGGAAAAAGCGAAAAAAGAAGCACAAAGAAAAGAAAGAGAAGAAAACCAAAAAGAGGAAGAAGGATGAAGAAGTGGTTGTGGAGCGCAAGGTTTGTACACAACTTCCACAGGAGCTGAGCTGGGGACAGGAGAAAGAGAGTGGCCCTTGAAATTGCCAGTTTCTGAAGTTAGAACTGTCTGTGTGTGGTTCTTGCAATAACTAATCGTCTTTGGCCTGTCGTAATTCTAGAAGGAGGTTAAAAAATGGGGAGGCTGAGTGGTTGCAGTGAGAAACAAACCGCTCTCCTAGGCATTGGCACTCATCAGGTTTAAAAGCCAGACAGGTACAGAACAGTGAGCACTTCAGCAGGAGTATGGTGCAAACGGGGCAGGATCTGAAACCTATGCTACTGAAGTGGTTTACAGCTCATGGGGGTACTTTCACTTTTTCTTCTTGGGTGCTGAAGGAACTTGTTACAGATCTGCATGCAGATAACTTCCTTTGATGTGTAAAATCCTCCCTAAGTGTCCATATTATTTTCTTCCATCAGGTGGAACAGAAATCCTCTGCAGTGCTGCTGGCCAGCTGGGGATTGGAGGATGTTGATCATGTATATACAGATGATGATTATCATACGCTAACCAACTACAAGGCCTTCAGCCAGTTTATGAGGTGAGAATGGTTCTATTGCTCTGCAGTGTGGGCTGATCTCTTATCTTTCTTCTAACTGTTCATCTTCACCATACAGAAGAAGGATGATAGATGTCTTTGATTTATGGCATGTGTTCTGTCACCCTACAGTAGGGTAACAGACTCATAGCCTCCCTCTGTCTGTATCACCCTGCAGGAGGAGGACAGACTAATAGCCCCCTTCTGTCTGTATCACCCTGCAGGAGGAGGACAGACTCATAGTCCTCTTCTGTCTGTATCACCCTGCAGGAGGAGGACAGACTCATAGTCCTCTTCTGTCTGTATCACCCTGCAGGAGGAGGACAGACTCATAGCCCCCTTCTGTCTATATCACCCTGCAGGAGGAGGACAGACTCATAGCCCCCCTCTGTCTGTATCACCCTGCAGGAGGAGGACAGACTAATAGCCCCCCTCTGTCTGTATCACCCTGCAGGAGGAGGACAGACTCATAGCCCCCCTCTGTCTTTATCACCGTGCAGGAGGAGGACAGACTCATAGCCCCCTTCTGTCTGTATCGCCCTGCAGGAGGAGGACAGACTCATAGCCCCCTTCTGTCTGTTTCCCCCTGCAGGAGGAGGACAGACTCATAGCCCCCTTCTGTCTGTATCACCCTGCAGGAGGAGGACAGACTAATAGCCCCCTTCTGTCTGTACCCTGCAGGAGGAGGACAGACTCATAGCCCCCTTCTGTCTGTATCACCCTGCAGGAGGAGGACAGACTCATAGCCCCCTTCTGTCTGTATCACCCTGCGGGAGGAGGACAGACACATAGCTCCCTTCTGTATGTATCGCCCTACAGGAGGAGGACACACTCATAGCTCCCTTCTGTCTGTATCGCCCTGCAGGAGGAGGACAGACTCATAGCCCCCTTCTGTCTGTACCCTGCAGGAGGAGGACAGACTCATAGCTCCCTTCTGTCTGTGTCACATTTTGTCAGTGTCACTGTGTACCCTTGTTATGGAAAGGACGGGCTCCTAGTTGTTATCTGTGTAATTTTCCAGGAGAAGGGATATGCTTATTATTATACTTCTGTCTTTCTTTTTCACTTTCTTAATGGCTGCTGTTGACTTAAGCCCCCTTGCTGTGTCACATTGGAGATGTAGTGACAGACCCATGGCTCTTTGTCACTGTGTACCCTTAGGCCTCTCATTGCCAAGAAGAACCCCAAAATTCCCATGTCAAAGATGATGACCATCCTTGGTGCCAAGTGGCGGGAATTCAGTGCCAACAACCCTTTCAAGGCATCACCCGCAGCAGTGGCGGCGGTGGCGGCAGCAGCTGCGGCAGCAGTGGCCGAACAAGTGACCGTCACCCTCCCCTCTTCTACCAGCGTCTCCCCAGCAATGCCAATCCGCAGGGCCAAGACCAAGGAGGGCAAGGGTAGGCCCTGTGGCAGAGCTTGACGTGTCCCTTGTGTAATCTCTGCAGTGTGTTGCTGTACTTCTAAAGGTAGCCATTATGTATACTGGGCAGATATTTGAAAGCCTGAAGCCTACTGATTTCTTAGGAACCTGAAACCTCACTGTGACATGCTGCACAAGGTAACTTGTGCCACAGAGATTTTGCAGGTCCCTAGCAAATGAATAGACTCAGACATAATGGCTGCCTTTAAAGGTACTGTTGAAAACCCCAACCCACCCCTGCAGAAGCTTGTCCCCCAATGTTCCCCATCCTTGCTTTGGTCCGCTCTTCACATTTGTCTCTGTCGCAGGTCCTGGCCACAAGAAGTGCACTAAGGGCCCCAGAGGGTCCGATCCTAAAAAAAAAGTAGGAAAAAAGAAGATGGGTCTGCTGAAGATCAAAATTGCTGGAGTAAAGCGCAAGGCTGGTAGTTCGGTAAGTGTTTGATGTGGTTGAAACCTTGTGTGTTCATCATCTTTTTTTTTTTTTGGTTTTCTATATCAATGTCCTTAACCATTTCTCACCTGCCCTGGCTTCCTCTTAAAAAGTTCTGAACACCCGGCGGGGGGCGTGCGAAAGATCGGCTGATCTTGTGACCACTGTGATTGGCTGTCACAGTGGTCACATGAGTGGGAGCTGGTCTCGCCAGCTACTGATCATTAACCTCCCTGGCGGTATTCCCGAGTGTAGCTCAGGGTAAAGTTTCAGTACCACAAACGGAACCCAGAAGACAGATGCCGGCATCTGCCAGAGGACATTACAGGGGACACTGCAGGAGGGACATCGCCGGAGCGAAGGACAAGGTAAGAGAAGAAGAGATCCTGGAGCAATGCTGCAGGGTATTCCCGAGTGTAGCTCGGGGTAAAGTTTTGGTACCACAAGCGGTAATCCCAAGCTGCACTCGGGAATACACTGCAACGTTGCTCCAGGACCTGTTCTTCTCTTACCTTGTCCTGCGCTCCCGCGATGTCCCTCCTGCAGTGTCCCCTGTAATGTCCTCCGGCGGATGCCGGCATCTGTCTTCTGGGTTCCGTTCCCTGCGACGTCGGGACGTATGGGGGATGGAACTGACGGGAAATTTGAAAGTTGTAAAAGTGACATTCACTAAATACACTAAAATCACATAGTATAACATTCCTGTATCAAACCATTTTACATACATTTTGTCCCGAGTGCTTTGTCCGGCGCCCTGCCTGCATTTTTACTGTTCTTTCTGCCTGGAAACTGAGAAACGTCCATGGCGTCCAAAAAGCGTCCCTTTAGGTCAGACGCGGTTTTAGACCGGCTAGAGAACAGCGATAGTAAATCAGAACCACTTGCAGAATTGAGTGATAATGATTTGTGGGGGAAATTCATCATCAGACACTGAAAACGATTTTGCGACTGAGCTCAGCGATGTGCGAACTTGGCGCTCTATTTCACATTTCAGTGTTTTTGGTTTGATTATATTATTGAATTAAATGTATTATTATTATATTATTATTTTTTATTAAATTATTATAATTTATGATTTTGTGTTTCAAATTTTATCATACCCGGGATGTTTACTAGACTCTTGTTCGGACAGATTTCAGTGAGTTATTCCCAAAAATTACAGCCTACAATAAAAAAAAAAATACATATTTCCATGCAAAAAAATATACCGCTTTGAGCACAGAAATATGGACATAATCAGACCGCTAGAGAGGTTAACAGGACCAAGAACTGTCTTTTACACCTTGGTCTGGGATGGGATCGTGCAGTGATTAACGCTCATATTTGACAGCACACCACAGATCACCAGTGTTGTCCAAAAGGTTATATTTTATTGAACAATGATCACATCACAAAGTAAAGGTGCAATGTTTTGTAGCCACTCATGGCCCCTTTGCCAGGTGTGTGATCACATGCCTGATGAAGGGGCCCTGCGTGACTCCAATACGGTGCACCTTTCCTTTTGTGATGTGATAATTTTTCAATAAAAAAACCTTTCGGGTGACATTGAAAGTTGATCTATGATGGTTCCTGTTTCCAGCTGGATGTTGCTGCAGCACCCACTACTTTTGAGCCTGTTCCAGGAATGTGTGCAATGGGAATATTGACATAATCTTGGGAGCGTGCAGTGAGCACGCTTTCAGCACAGAAAAACATTGGCCAGTCCGGCAACGCATATGTGCATCATGTAGGCATTAACCTCCCTGGCGGTATGATTATTTCAGATTTTTGGTGCTGAAAGCGGGTGTACCATTTTTTTGCATGGAAATATGTATTTTTTTTATTGTAGGCTGTAATTTTTTAGGAAAAAAACTCACTGAAATCTGTCCGAACAAGAGTCTAGTAAACATCCCGGGTATGATAAAATTTGAAACACAATATCATAAATTATAATTTAATAAATAATCATAAAAATAAATATAAAAATAATAAAAAAAATTTAATTCATAATATAATCAAACCAAAAACACTGAAATGTGAAATAGAGCGCCAAGTTCGCACATTGCTGAGCTCAGTCGCAAAATCGTTTTCAGTGTCTGATGACGAATTTCCCCCACGAATCATTATCACTCAATTCTGCAAGTGGTTCTGATTTACTATCGCTGTTCTCTAGCTGATCTAAACCGCTTTTGACCTAAAGGGACACTTTTTGGACACCATGGACATTTCTCAGTTTCCAGGCAGAAAGAATAGACAAAATGCAGGCAGGGCGCAGGACAAAGCACTAGGGACAATATGTATGTGTGAAATAGGTTGAAACAGCAATGTTTTACTGTGTAAAATGTAAAAAAAAAAAAAAAGACATTTTTTAAAAATTTTTAAATTTCCCGTTCCGGCGGCGGCGCCCACGTACGTCCCGACGTCACAGGGAAAGGATCACAGGACACAGAAGCCGGATGCCTCATGGCATCGGCCGGAGGAGATGGCCGGGGACGCTGCAGGGGACACATCGTGGAGCGCAGGGTAAGGTAAGTTGAAGACAACTTGCCGGTGGATGTTGCAGTGCCGCAGGTAAGCCCGAGTGTAGCTCGGGGTTACCGCTTTTGGTACTGAAATGTTACCCCGAGCTACACTCGGGAATACCGTCAGGGAGGTTAAAGACCACCCTTTTGCTGCCACACATGTGTTAGGCAGACTGGAAGGGGTTTAATGCTGAAAGTGGTTGTAAAGGCATGAAGGTAAAAAACCTTCTGTGTGCAGCAGTGCCACCAGCCCCCTCAATACTTACCTGAGCCCCATCGCGATCCATCGATGTGCACAACAGCCTCGGCTGTCCCGGGTCTCTGCCTCCTCATTGGCTGAGACAGCAAGCGGGAGCCATTGGCTGAGACAGCAAGCGGGAGCCATTGGCTGAGACAGCAAGCCTTTGGCTCCCACTGCTGTCAATCACAGCCATTGCAGAGAGAGGGGGCGGAGCTAAGCCATTGCTCTGTGTGTGAATGGACACAAAAAGACATAAAAAGCTGCTTGTTGTGGGGGCACCTGACAGGAGGGAGGGGCCTGCACTATAGTATTTAATGAGCCCATACGCACAGCTGCGTCCACAACCCAAAATATGTACTGAATTTTGGGCCGGTTCACAGTATGCCCCGAGCTGTCATTGGCACTGACACTATACTAATGGCACTGGGCAGGAAGAGGTTGACGTGTGGGGAGATCAAAGGGTTACCTGTGTGCTGTGTGTGTTTTACTGTGGGCTGTGTTAAAGCTTTCAACTGTAAGCCTGCTGCTTTGTATTGGTCTGCCATGCAGAGCCATCCAAAGCAGTGTGCTGGAGCTGACAGGGGAGAGAACTGTATTGTTTACATACAGTTCTCTCCCTCCGTCGTTAATGCTCCGCAATCACCGGGTGCTGGCAAGTAATCACCGGCTGGGACTCGGTGATTGACAGCTGAGGCCGCGAATAGCTGTGCAGGTAGGGCACATGCGCGCGCCCCCCCATATGCAAAATCACGTTGAGTGGATATAAAAAGTCTACACACCCCTGTTAAAATGTCAGGTTTCTGTGATGGAAAAAAATTAGACAAAGATAAGTAATTTCAGAACTTTTTCCACCTTTAATGTGACCTATAAACTGTAAAACTCCATTGAAAAACAAACTGAAACCTTTTAGGGAGTAGTAGAGAACCCTTTTATACATATTTAATTTTTTTCTGTCCAATGTTTGTGTGTTACTTTCAATAAAAGTTATTTTTCATTACTGGATTGTATTTTTTTAAATTTATGTTTATTTAACCCCTTGACGCCGATCGCACGCAAATATGCAGCCTTTCGGCGTCTGGGCCTTGACGTCGAGCGGCCACGTATTTGCATGCAATTAAAAAATACATATGTGCTGAGAGCACACACCCTGCGCCCTCCCAGCACATATGTTCGCTACTCCCAGAAAGGTCCCGATCTCCCCTTTCGATCGGGACCTTTCCCGATTATGTGACCGCCGTGATGGCAAATCACGGCTGTCACATGACACTAAAACCCTGCCCCGCCTCCTGGCTCCTGAAACTCTTAAAGGGCTGGGAGGCGCCGGCACCAAGAGGTTAAATTCATGATATTAATTAAAATGTCAAAAATAATACAATTACAGTGGGGATCGAAAGTTTGGGCACCCCAGCTAAAAATTTGTATTAATGTGCATAAAGAAGCCAAGGAAAGATGGAAAATCTCCAAAAGGCATCAAATTACAGATTAGACATTCTTATAATATGTCAATAAAAGTTAGATTTTATTTCCATCATTTACACTTTCAAAATACAGAAAACAAAAAAAATGGCTTCTGCAAAAGTTTGGGCCCCCTGCAGAGTTAATATCTTGTACTGCCCCCTTTGGCAAGTATCACAGCTTGTAAACGCTTTTTGTAGACAGCCAAGAGTCTTTCAATTGTTGTTTGAGGTATCTTTGCCCATTCTTCCTTACAAAAGTCTTCCAGTTCTTTGAGATTTCTGGGCTGTCTGTCACGCACTGCTCTTTTAAGGTCTATCCATAGATTTTCAATTATGTTGAGGTCAGGAGATTGTGAAGGCCATGGCAAAACCTTCAGTTTACGCCTCTTGATGTAATCCCCCGTGGATTTCGAGGTGTGTTTAGGATCATTATCCATTTGTAGAAGCCATCCTCTCTTTAACTTCAGCTTTTTCACAGATGGCATCAAGTTACCATCCACAATTTGCTGAAATTTTATTGAATCCATTTTTCCTTCTACTCGTGAGATGTTCCCTGTGCCACTGGCTGCAACACAACCCCAAAGCATGATTGATCCAACCCCATGCTTAACAGTTGGACAGAGGTTCTTTTCATTAAATTCTGTGCCCCTTCTTCTCCAAACGTACCTTTGCTCATTCCGGCCAAAAAGTTCAATTTTAACCTCATCGGTCCACAGAACTTGTTTCCAAAATGCATCAGGCTTGTCTATATGTTCATTTGCAAAGTTCAAACGATGATTTTTGTGGTGAGGACGTAGAAGAGGTTTTCTTCTGATGACTCTTCCATGAAGACCATATTTGTACAAGTATCTCTTTATAGTGGAATAGTGTACCACAACTCCAGTGTCTGCCAGATCTTTCTGGAGGGATCGTGCAGTCAAACGTGGGTTTTGAATTGTTTTTCTCACAATCCTGCGAGCTGTTCTGTCTGATATTTTTCTTGATCTTCCAGATCTTGCTTTAACTTCCACTGTTCCTGATGACTGCCATTTCTTAATGACATTCCGAACAGAGGATATTGACATCCGAAAACGCTCTGCTATCTTCTTATAGCCTTCTCCAGTTTTGTGAGCGTCAACTATTTTCAGTTTCAGTTTTCTAGACAACTGCTTAGAAGAACCCATGGTGCTGATTATTGGGGCAAGGTCAGATGATTCTGGGCATTTAAAACCTTTGAGATTGACATCACCTGGTCTTCCCAGACGATGATTGAGAACAATCCATGACACTGGCAGGTCTCAGCTTTGCAAAGGGGGCAGTGCATGCTATAAATTCTGCAGGGTGCCCAAACTTTTGCAGACGCCATTTTTTTGTTTTCTGTTATTTTGAAAGTGTAAATGATGGAAATAAAATTTAACTTTTGTTGACATATTATAAGAATGTCTAATCTGTAATTTGATGCCTTTTGGAGATTTTTCCATCTTTCCTTGGCTTCTTTATGCACATTAATACACATTTTTAGCTGGGGTGCAAAAACTTTCGATCCCCACTGTGTATATATATATATGTTTTTAAAAACTATCCATTTTGGTGGCAGTTTTCAGTCAAGTGCATCCTGAATTTTCAGATTCAGTCCAAAATGTTTATTTCGGTGCACCCCTACTTGCTAGCTGTGCCCTTCCAAACACTGGGACTGTTTACTGCAGACACTGGTACTGAAAAAATAAGAACTGCCTGTTCTTCTCTGTAGCAAATCAGATTTTTTTTTTAATATATTTTTCTCAAATACCTGAGCAGCATGACAAGATGATTCTGGTCAGGGAAAATGCAGCAACATAAGATATTTGATCCAGAAAGTCTTGAATAATGTCTACCAGTATGTGCAGATGTAGAATTTTACTTGGCTGATGGTTTTTCACTGTGTAGTATTGTGCTGACCCCTTCTTCCAATGTTATGCCGTCCTGTAGAGTGAGGAGATGGAACTTGCCGAAGTGTCTGACTTGGAGAACTCCAGCGTCCATAGCTCCTCTGCACCCTCGGATGCCTCAGGAAGGGTAAAGAGGAAGAGAGGGAGACCTGCGGGGAAGAAAAAGAAGAAGAAGAAGAAAGGTAACTGGGAGGTAGAAGTTTAATCACTTGAAGTCCGGACACTTTCACCCGCTTCCAGTCCAGGCCAATTTTCAGCTTTCAGCGCTGTCACACTTTGAATGACAATTGTGCGGTCATGCAACACTGTACCCATATGAATTTTTTTGTATTTTTTTGAGACAGATAAAACTTTATTTTGGTGGTATTTATTCACCACTGGCATTTTTATTTTTTTTTGCTATATAAATGAAAAAGTCCCAAAATTTTGAAAAAAAAAGTGTTTTTCTTATAAAAGTTTGCAAATAAATAATCATTCTTCATAAATTTTGGCCAAAAAGGATTCAGCTATCTTTTTAGTAAAAAAAAAAAAATAATACCCAAATTAGTTTATAACCAAAAAGTATAATTTTTCTAAATTTTTATTTTTTTAAATATTTTTATTTATGTGGTTTTTTTTTAACATACTGTCACCCTAGCAGCACAATGGTGACACTACTACTTGTGGAGGGGTGATGAAGATTTTTTTTTTTATTTTTACACTGATTGCTTTTACACCCATAAAGGCTGTAAAAGCAATCATTTCTCCTTCTCTCTGGCTGCATTCCTGCAGCCATTGAGAAATACTGTGTGAGCTGTGATTGGTCACAGCTTGTCACATGGTACAAGGCTGTTGTGAATAGCCTTGTACCATGTGACCTCTGTGATCATTCACAGATTTCAAAAGTAGTAAGCAATGATGTCAGAAGTGACATCTTGCTTACACCTATTCATGTGATCACTGATTAGCCAATCAGTGATCACATGATTGGGACCTCACACAGAGGTCCTGTACAGTGATCGGTGTTCCGCTGTGTCCTCTGTACACAGCGGGCACCGGATCACGGTGCCGGGTGCTACCATGGAGCGTGCACAGGCTTAAAATGCGGGCACCGTTTATGAATGGCAACCCGCTCCTGCACTGCTCCCGTCTGGCCGTTTATATACATGGGCCAGACAGGAAGTGGTTAAAGAGAACTTGTCATTTTGTAATAAACACAGTCTGTGAAAGTGCTTGTGTGTGTCCAGTAGGCATTATACTTAGTTCTCCTATGGATGAAGGTCTTACATTTTATTGGAAGTGTCCACATATTGTTACCCTAGGTCTCCTTTTTCACTTTCTGCACGTGGGAGCCAGCCCTGTAAGAGATCCTTATGATGTATTACATGGGCTTCCTGATCATGTGATCTTTGATTGACTCTCACAGTGATTACGTGATCAGGAGCACTCTTACTGGTGCCCAAACAATTATGGTACAGCTGCACTGATGGAGGCACGCAGCTGAGCATTCTTTCAGCCCAAAACAGTGATCCTGGCCGTACACTTACAGTATACTGTATGTGGCTGCAACACATAAGGTCCACCACCATGTTGCCACATTCTGTATATGCATACAGCTGGCCTTAAGGTATTAATCCTTGTTTGTTACTCGGCTAAACTCAGCTGCAAAACTTCCTCTGCTCCCCCCTTTTGACAGTGACTCAATAGCTAAGCTTCCTCTGTATCCTCCTCCCAGTGTGACAGCTCAGCTTACTGTGCACCCCTTCCCAGCTGTGACTCAGCAATTCAGCTTCATTCTCCTGACCTGGCAGCTCAGCTCACCTTGCTCCCCTCCCAGCAGTGACTCAGTAGCTTCAACCTGCTTCTACCTCCGAACGTGGCAGCTCAGCTTCTTTGCTCCCCTCCCAGCAGTGACTCAGTAGTTCAATTATCACTGCTTCTACCTCCGAATGTGGCAGCTCAGTTCCTCTGCTCCCCTCCCAGCATTGACTCAGCAGCTCAGCTCATCCTGCTTCTCCTCCCACCAGTGAATTTGTAGCTCCGCTTCCCCTGCATTCCCCTCCTGGCAACTAATCTCACTCCCTCTCCCAGCAGTGACTCAGCTTCTCCCCCCCAGCAGTGACTCGGAGCTCAGTTTCCCCCTCCTGGCAGTGACATAAGAGCTCAGCTCACCCTGCTCCCTCCCCCAGCAGTGACTCAGCAGTTCAGCTTCCCCCCCAGCAGTGACTTGGCAGCTCAGCTTCCCCCTCCCAACAGTGACATGGGAGCTGAGCTTACCCTGCTCCCTCCCCAGCAGTGACTAAGCAGTTCAGCTTCCCCCCCAGCAGTGACTCGGCAGCTCAGCTTTCCCCTTCCAACAGTGCCATGGGAGTTGAGCTCACCCTGCTCCCTCTTGCAGTGACTAAGCAGTCAGCCCCAGCAGTGACTCGGAGCTCAGTTTCCCCCTCCTGGCAGTGACATAAGAGCTCAGCTCACCCTGCTCCCTCCCCCAGCAGTGACTCAGCAGTTCAGCTTCCCCCCCCCCCAGCAGTGACTCGGCAGCTCAGCTTCCCCCTCCCAACAGTGACATGGGAGCTGAGCTTACCCTGCTCCCTCCCCAGCAGTGACTAAGCAGTTCAGCTTCCCCCCCAGCAGTGACTCGGCAGCTCAGCTTCCCCCTTCCAACAGTGCCATGGGAGTTGAGCTCACCCTGCTCCCTCCCCCAGCAGTGACTAAGCAGTTCAGCTTCCCCCCCAGCAGTGACTCGGCAGCTCAGCTCACTCTGTTCCCTTTTCATCTCACAGGTGGGCTATGGGTAGGGGGCAGAAACAGTGTCTGGCATCGTAAATTATTTACTGTTTGGACTGCCAATGTTGAAATCTTCCTGCCCTAGTTCCCAGTTCTGCTCCCTCTCCCATTGGACTTTTCAGTGTTCCTGCCCACCTTGGGAGTGGCTCCACTCCTGCTGTTATATCAGCTTAGGGTAGACTGATTTTTTTTTTTCATTGAGTAGCTTTTTAATTTGTTTTTATTTTGTACCCCGTTGTGACTCACTCTAGTTGTCGTGGATGAAGTCATCTCTGCAGGGGAGGGCTATGAAACTGACCACCAGGACTACTGCGAGGTCTGCCAGCAGGGGGGTGAGATTATCCTGTGTGATACCTGTCCACGGGCCTATCACCTAGTGTGCCTGGAGCCAGAGCTGGAGCGAGCACCTCAGGGCAAGTGGAGCTGTCCTCATTGTGTAAGTTGTTATTCCATAATTCAATGGCACTTTGTGGTATTTTTTTTTCTTTTTTGGATTCAGGGATGTTTAAATCACAGGGATGGTGCTGACCAATCAGATGCCATTTAGCCTGAACTGTCATCGCTGCAAGGAGAGGAAAGAAAGCAGTGGGGCATTCAGATCTCCCATCTCCTCTCCTACCACTCAGCATGGGATGCCTTCAGGGAGGCTTCCCGTGCCGCTCCTGTATGAAGTCAAGCTATGGCAAGCCTGGGTTCACACAGGAGCAGTGGGGAAACTGCATGCGATTTGGACAGGAACCGCATTCCCATTCAAAATACATGCTAATCTTTGAGACGCAAATTGCGTCCATTTGAGCAAATTGCACTGCAAAGTATTGGTTAAGGTATCGGGGGTATTTTTACGAGCACTCATGAAAATACTCGATATCGGCAACTATACCGGTATCGATGCATCCCTAGAAAAAAAGTTAAAACAATATCCTAATCATACAGGACAGCAAGTCATAGACCATAAGTTAAATGCCGCTACCTTTTGTGATTGGTCACTGAAAAAATCTTTGTAGGGAACGTCCCCATACACCATAGAACCCCGCCCACTCCATGGGACTTCAGGTTTTTGCTACTGTCCTTAGCTGATGGACATCTCCTGTAAAGAAATTCTTTGACTCTTCTATCAAAATCTAACTACATATTGCGTCAGAGCTCACTATCACTTTCCAGTGCTGTGGCCTTCCTAAACCATCAAGGTGGTACCAGAAGTCAGGTAGCCATGAACGAAGCAAGCCTAATTCTCTCCTAGGCAGACAGCCGTATTTCAATCTTGTCCGCTATCTGCATACCTGGAGTGAAAAACTGGCAAACGGACTCTTTGAGTCACCAATGCCTCCACCCTAAGATCTTCTTGATGCTCTTTCGGAAATGGCGAACACCAAATGTTGATATCATGGCCTCCAGATTCGACAAAAAGCTGGACAGGTTTGTGGGCAGGTTCGTGGGCAGGTTCAGAGATCTCTGGCCTTTGCAGTGGAAGCCCTGCTGGTTCCCTGGTCCAATTTTAGACTGGTGTATTCTTTTCCCCCCCAGTGAAAGTTCTCCCTCAACCACCCCACAATATAGTGGAAGAACGGATTCAGAGGATTCTCATAGCTGCATATAGGTCCAGAAGAACTTGGTACATGGACACAGACTCCTGAAGGATGAGCCTTAGCCTCTGTCAAACAGGCCGGACTGCCTGTCACAGGGCCCACAGGGATCCACCCTGATTCTCAGCCTCTGGCTTTAACGACATGGATGTTGAAACCCAGGTCCTAAAGGATAATGACATTGCTGTCATTCCTATCTTGCTCAAGGCAAAAAAATCCACCTCTTGTAGGATCTACCTTTACACTTGGAGGGTCTGCTTTGGCTTGTGCAAAAGGAGGAACTCTAACCCCTGAGAGTACTTTGTTCTTCATTTTTTTTTCTTCTTCCAGTCGTGCCTTCACAAACATCTGGTTCTTGGTACTCTAAAGGAACAAGTTTTGACCTTATCCATTCTGTTCCAAAAACCTTTGACTTTGCACTCTCTTGTCGAGACCATTACAGAAGGAGTTACTTGTGTCAATCCCCACTCTGACCTCCTATGTCATCAGGGGACCTGAATCTGCTACTTTTGTTTGAAAACCACCCCTTGAACTGATTCAGGATATCCCATTGGAAGGTTTCTTGAATAAGGTGGCCTTTCTGGTGGGCATTACCTCTGTCAGGCATGTTGAGTTGATGGCCCTCTTTAGCAAGGAGCCTTTTCTAGTCTTAAACATAGGAACAAAAAATTGATCCTGAGACCCAGACCTGCCTTCCTCCCCAGGTTGTTTTTTCCTTTCACCTTAATAAAAACATTATTCTCCCTTCCCTATGTCCTGCTCCAAAACATGCCAAGAAGATTTTACTTCACTGCCTGGATGTAGTCAGAACAGTTAGGGCCTAAATGGCTGCAACATCTTCCTTCAGAAGTCACTTTTTATCCTTCCTGAAGGCTCCAAGAAAGGACATCCTGCTTCCTCTTCCATCATTGCTAATTAGCTCTGGCCACTCATTTTCTGGGCTTGTGCTGCTTCTCCCTCTCATTCTCTGAGCTCTACTGTACAGTAGACTGCAAAAGGCTGATACCAAGTCAAAATTAGGTACTGCTGACTCCTAGACCACTTGCAATTAAAAAAAAAAAAACAATTACTAATGAATATAGAGCTGCATTAATTTGTGCCTTTTATTTTTGGAGTTCAGCTACCAGGTAGAATAAAGACTTTGTTCATTTTGTGTTTTTTTATTCTTGACTTTTGGTCGGCAGGAGAAAGAAGGAATCCAGTGGGAGGCCAAAGATCTGGAAGAGGAGGAGATGGAAGAGCGTCGACGGGACAGACGAGAGGAGGAGGATGACCACATGGAGTTCTGCCGTGTGTGCAAAGATGGTGGAGAACTGTTATGCTGTGATGCCTGCGTGTCCTCCTATCACATCCATTGCCTAAATCCCCCTCTGCCCGACATCCCGCACGGAGAGTGGCTGTGCCCACGGTGTACGGTGAGAAATGTGCATCCTCAAAAAGTTGAAACTGAACCCAGGATAGACATAACATAACATGTGCAGTATAATTGTAACTGTTTAAAGTATTTCTGAACCTAAAAAAAAAAATGTAATAATTAAGACTGCAAAAGGTTGAATTCAGGCAATTCTGGTGCTTGCATTTTAAAATATGCATTTTATCTGCTTCTGTGCCACCCTATAGGAGAAATACTGCTACAGGGCGGCACGTGATTTTGCAGTTTCTTGTAGGGGGCGTGCGCCCTACCCGCACCGCCATTCAAGGCCTCGGTTGTCAATCAACGGGTCCCAGCCGGTGATTTCCCCGCCAGCACCCGGCGATCTCCTAGATTATCGAAGTGGGATAGACCTGTGTATAAACAACACAGATCTCTCCCCTGTCAGCTCCTGCACACTGCTTTGTAAAGCTCTGCCATGCAGAACCATACAAACCAGTGTGCTTACAGTGGAAAACACTCAGCACACTGAAACAGCACACAATTACCCCTTTGATTGCCTCACATGTTAACCCCTTCCTGCCAAGTGCTATTAGTACAGTGTCAGTGCTTTTTATTAGCACTGATCACTGTATTGGTGTCACTGGGGATGTCAGTGACACCAAGTCAGTTCCCCCCAGTGTCAGAATGCCGCAGTCCTGCTATAACTTGCTAATTGCCGCCATTACTAGTAAGAAAAAAAAATTCAAGTATATATACCGCCATTTGTAAACGCTATAACTTTTGCATAAACCAATTAATTTACACATATAGGGAGATATTTTAGCAAAGACATGGAGCAGAATACATTTTGTCCTAAATTTATGACCAAATTTGATTTTTAAAATTTTCTTTACTGGATATGTTTTTATAGCAAAAAGTAAAAAAATATTTTTTTCTCAAAATTGTCAGTATTTTCGTGTTTATAGCGCAAAAAATAAAAACCGCACAGGTGATAAAATACCACGGAAAGAAAGCTCTATTTGTGGGAAAAAAAGGATGTAAATTTCATTTGGGTGCAGTGCTGCATGACCACGCAATTGTCAGTTAAAGTAACGCAGCTCTGTAACGCAAAAAATGGCCTGGTCAGGAAGGGGGGGGGGGGATCCTGTGGAGGGCAAGGGGTAAAAAAAAAAAAAAAGAAAATGGAACTACAGTGCATATGAGTACCACAAACCAAAAAAGCAATTTAATTCATTTGTATTATTTAAAGCACACTCACCCATTCTTCAGTGTCTCCATGCTTTCTTATTTTGTTGAGAAATTACTTGTGTGTGAAAAACACCCCTTATCATTTCCGGTTGTGGCCATCTTGAGTAAGGGCAGATGATTCATGCAGCATTTACTTCTTGGAATCCATCTGCCCTTAGCTCAGGCGTGTAGGAAGGAGGGTGTGCTTAGCTGAGAAAACCCCTCCTCCCCTGAAGCCTCTTGGTATGTATGGGATCATTTCTTGATACCAGGAAGTAACTGCAGAAATGTAAAACAAAACTGCTTAAAACAAGTAAATATGACATTTTTCTTCACTGTTACTAATGATAGCAGCTTAAGGATTTAAAAGTGAGTTAATTTAGAGAGCAAAGTTTTGCTTTAATATTTGTTCGATAAGTGCAAAAAAAAGAGAAAAGGTTGATCCTCCCAGAAATTTAGTGATTTCATAACATTCTGTGGCGAAATGACAAAACAATTATTATACAGGATTTATATGGCGCCGACAGTTTGCTCAGCGCTTCACAAAATGAAGGCAGACAGTACAGTTACAATACAATTTGGTACAAGAGGAAACAGAGGGCCCGGCTCCTCAGAGCTTACAATCAAGGAGACAATGCCTCTGATGCTGCGAAATCCCAAGCAGTGTCATCAGTCCTGCCAAGTTCACCTCTGTAAACTACAGGATCAGGCTTCTCCCCCACCATGATATGATGATGAAGATGAAGCTGTGCCTAGTTCAAATTGAGAAGCCAGCAGCTTAGGTGACAATGTTGCTCCTCAATAATTATGGTGCAGTGAATAGGCGTGGTCACCTTAGGACAGGAAGTGTGTTACTGGCAGGATCGCCAGGTGAAAATACAGAAAAAAAGGGCTAAAAAAGAAAACCAGTGCAGCCACCACATCTAAGGACCTGTCAGCATATTATGTTATTGTTTTTAGGTTCATATTATACTGTTATCTATTGAAGAATCTTTCAAGAAGCTTTCAGCCTTCTCATGAAGTGTATGCAGGATGTATAATGTGTTATACCCATTTGTAACAAAGGTTTCCTTCGTGTCTGCAGTGCCCACGGTTGAAAGGGAAGGTTCAGAAAATACTACACTGGCGTTGGGGTGTTCCCCCGGAAGGAATTCAGCCACCCCAGGAACCCAATCCACCTCTAGATCAGGAACAGCCCATAATCCTGCAAGGCAGGTCCGAGAGAGAATTCTTTGTGAAATGGCACGGCATGTCATATTGGCACTGTAGCTGGATCACTGAACTGCAGGTGTGTATGATTCGTGGTTCCAGAGGCCTCAAACCGAGTGGTGGTGTTCATCTAGATTGCAGGAGTCGGTCAGACCAGTGCAGCAGGAGGTTCCAGAGGCCTCAAACCGAGTGGTGGTGTTCATCTAGATTTCAGGAGTCGGTCAGACCAGTGCAGCAGGAGGCTGACACTGTGTAACAGCAAAAATCAACAAGTCATTTCATTTTTGTGGTATTAAGGGAACAATGTCACATATATGGTGGGAATGTCAAAAGATACAGGTATATTGGGAGGATATAATTTACTTAACCACTTCCCGTCCGGCCGCTGTATATAAACGCCCGGACGGTGACAGTGCAGGGGCGGGTTGCCGTTCATAAACGGTGCCTGCCATTTTGGATTGTGCCCGCTCCCTGGGAGTGTGCAGCACCGTGATCCGGTGCCCGTTGTATCTGGAGGACACAGCGGAACACCGATTGCTGTATGGGACCTCTGTGTGTGGTCCCCTTCATGTGATCACTGATTGGCTTCTGACATCACCTCTGACATCATTGCTTACTATGTGTGAAATCTGTGAATGATCACAGAGATCACATGGTACAGGGCTATTCACAACAGCCTTGTACCATGTGACAAGCTGTGACCAATCACAGCTCACAGTATTTCTCAATGGCTTCAAGAATGCAGCCAGAGAGAAATAGAAATGATTGCTTTTACAGCCTTTATGGGTGTAAAAGCAATCAGTGTAAAAAAAAAAAATCTTCATCACCCCCCCACAAGTAGTACAGTGTCACTATGGTGACACTGTACTGCTAGGGTGACACTGTACTGCTAGGGTGACAGTATGTAAAAAAAAAAAAAACAATAATATAAAAGAAAAAAATAAAAATGTTTTTTTAAAAAATTATAATTTTTGGTTATAAACTAATTTGGGTTATTTTTTTTACTAAAAAGATAACTGAATACATTTTGGCCAAGATTTATGATGAAAGATTATTTATTTGCAAATGTTTATAAGAAAAACACAATTTTTTTTTCAAAATTTTGGACTTTTTCATTCATACAGCAAAAAAAAAAAATCCCAGTGGTGAATAGATGCCACCAAAATAAAGTTTTATCTGTCTCAAAAAAATGCTAAAAAATTCATATGGGTACAGTGTTGCATGACCGCTCAATTGTCATTTAAAAGTGTGATAGCACTGAAAGCTGAAATTTGGCCTGGGCAGGAAGGGGTGAAAGTGTCCGGACTGGAAGTGGTTAATACAAGAGATTTTGGGGACTATTATCTTGAAAGATCCGGGCACATGTTTTTTCCATATAACTGAGGTTACTGTAGAAAAATAAAAAAAAATCTGATGATAGTCCACCTAATAAACACAGCAAAGGGATTGATACCCAAATACTGGCAGGAGCAGGAAGTACCGAAAATAAAAGATTGGATAAAAAGGGTAAATTATAGTTATAGGATGGAGGAACTGTATCATGTTGAAGACAGATTGGAGAGATCTAAAAAAAATGGGAAAAGTGGGATGGGTTTAAAGATCAAACAAACATGCTGAATTGGTTGGATTAGAGAATGATGAAAAGAGAGGTCATGCATAAAAAGAAGAAAAGGAAAAAAAGGTGAAAGGAAAGAGTGGAAAGGGGAAGAAAAGAGAGAGAAAAAAAAGAAGAAGATGGGAAATTGGAGGTAGGAAGATAGGGAAGAAGAGAGGGAGATCCTGAGATTAAGGCCCATGTACACGGGACACTTCTGAACGATGGAAACTGACTACTGGAAAACGTAGGTTAAAAAAAGTCTGTTTAGCCGCATTTGCACACCGTGTTTATGAGCGTTTGCGTTTAGAAGCGTTTTTAAAGATAACCTCAGGAGACCTTCCAAAATGCCCAGAATGCATTAACTATTTCAGACATTTTGAGAGGAATAGAGAGAGCAGAAGCAGAGAGAGTAGTATGTATTGAGATTAGCTGTCTTTTTTTTGGTGGTGTTTGGATGTTCCGGCTCATTTCTGTGCAGAAATTATTGCAGCCGTGTCTAACATATTTTCTTTCATGCGAAACCTCAAAGTATGGTGTACCGGGTCCATTTGAGTACCGGGAAAATGCTTTGCATGCATTTTTCATGGTGAAAAAAGGCTCTGGACAGCATCTGGAAATGGAAGAGTTAAAAAAAAATTCCAAACGCTTATAAACGCAGTTAGCCGCGTTTACAAGCGTTTGAAATGTTGATAAAATCTACTCCTTTACGCAAGTTTGGGACGTTTAAAAAAAAAAATGACTGTAAGCTCAACTGCCTTTAAACGACGATGTGTACACGGACACATAGGAAAACATTAGGGTGAGTTCAGGGGCTGCTGACAAAAACGCAGAAAAGCTCCTAAATGTCAGTTTATCAGCCGCAGTGTACATGGAGTCTAATAGAGGAAGGGAAGGAACTGGGAAAAATAGGGGTAGAAATGGGTGGGTGGGTACGATTAGGATTGGGTAGGGGAACTTTGGGTGCAATGAGAAAAGGGAAAAGTTTTTCTTTGTTTTGTTGAATGATTTGATCATTGAATTTTGTAATATTGAGATATTGAAACTAATAAAAACGTAATAAAAATTTAAAAAGAGAGAAAAGGGGAAAGAAAAAAAAAGAAACAAAAAACAAATAATTTCATTTTTAAAGTGGACCTTGAAAGAAAGTGCAAAATGTACCTCTTTTGTAGCACCTTTCCACATGATATAACACTAAGTGAAAGAAAAAGAAAAACAGGTTGGAAGGAAAAAAAAAAAAAGTTCCTTATGTTGTGTCAGGTCAGCTTGCCTGGGGGGGTGACATCACTGGGCCTGCTTTTTGGCATCCTTGGATAGCTACGGAGGCTAAAACTGGCCATACACTTTTATTTTTTTTTTTTTTGTTCAGCTGGAGATGGATGGAGGAACCCCCAGCCAAGACATTGGGGTTCATTTACTAAAGGCAAATAGTCTGTGCACTGCAAGTGCAGTTGTGCAGATGAGGGGAAGCTCTGCTGATTTCTATCATCCAATCATGTGCAAGCAAAAATGCTGTTTTTTGTTGTCCTTGCATGTGATTGGGTATTCTCTGCAAAGTGAAGCTTTACCTCATTTACTAAGCTCTGGAGCAGCTGCAGTTCCCGTGCACAGTAGATTTGCCTTTAGTAAATCAACCCCATTGGATTCTGGTAGCAGCTCCCAGTGCTGTCAGAATACATTGATCAGTGGCTGCAGCCAGTAGCGTGTTTATGTTTTGCGCTGTCCTACGCAACACAAAAAAATCTGCCGCCCCCCCACCACCCTTATGCCTCGTGCAAACTATAAGAAAATCGTACGAAAATTTTCGTATAAGGACCGATCGTCCGATCATCGGATCGTTAGTATGCAGCTTTTGAGAGTCGATCACGACAATTCGTACGACAATATCCGAAGGGACAAGCGCAAACATTTTTCTCGTACGATACCAGATCGTACGATTTTCGTTTAATCAGTAAAGTAGTCGTCTGAAAATACAATACAAATACAACGCAATACATACATCACTTTCGAAATTCTTTGCTTTCATAGGAGAATTTTCGTATCTTTAGTAACGTTTTCACTTTCGATGTGAGACTAGCAGGCGAAAAAAAAAAACGGCCGATCGTTCGTCCGATATTCTCATTGTGTGTACGGGGCATAAGTGTTATATGTCGGTAATAGTTTACTTGTTTCCTTACAACGGACAAAAGTAGCATTTGATCCTAAGAAAAAAAAAAATAGCTGTAAAGCATTCCATCATGAGAGCCAACATTCACCAATAGATAAAATATCCTGACACTATAAGCTAAGAGGATTCAACCAATGGGGGAAATATTGAGGGAGACTTTTGTACGGAGTACAGTCTGTGGACATTCCTGTGCAAAAGGCTGAAGGAATCTCCAGCTGTAGTGTGAAGAGAAACACTTAGCAATTGTATTATTACAACCTCGAAATGTGACAGCTTTCTCCTGGTTGTTAGGAAGCCAGCACCTGCCAGCGTCCTAACAACCAGTGACTCATCCCTCCCTGTCACATTCAGCTGTCATCCGGGATTCCTGACTGACTTGTGCATTTAGGCAAAGCAAAGCATGATTCAAAATTCATACCAGGCTCTTTAGGTCTGCTTTGGATTTTATAGAGAACGTCATGAAAAAAGGAACAAAAATAATGGCATGGGATCCCCCTCAAATTCCATACCTGACCCTTCCAGTTTGGAATGGACTTTAACCCCCCTGGCGGTATTCCCGAGTGTAGCTCGGGGTAAAGTTTCAGCACCACAAGCCGTAACCCCGAGCTACACTCGGGAATACACTGCAGTGTTGCTCCGGGATCCCTTCTGCACTTACCTTGTCCTTCGCTCCCGCGATGTCCCCCCTGCAGCATCCCCGGCCATGTCCTCCGGCCAATGCCAGCATCTGCCTTCCGGGTTCCGTTCCCTGCGACGTCGGGACGTACGGGGGATGAACGGCGGGAAATTTGAAAATGACAAAAAGTGACATTCACTAAAATCACTAAAATCACATAGTATAACATTCCTGTATCAAACCATTTCACATACATTTTGTCCCGAGTGCTTTGTCCGGCGCCCTGCCTGCATTTTTACTGTTCTTTCTGCCTGGAAACTGAGAAACGTCCATGGCGTCCAAAAAGCGTCCCTTTAGGTCAAAAGCGGTTTTAGACCATCTAGAGAACAGCGATAGTAAATCAGAACCACTTGCAGAATTGAGTGATAATGATTCGTGGGGGAAATTCCTCATCACACACTGAAAACGATTCTGCGACTGAGCTCAGCGATGTGCGAACTTGGCGCTCTATTTCACATTTCAGTGTTTTTGGTTTGATTACATTATTGGATTACATTTCTTCTTATTTTTTATGATTATTTATTATATTATAATTTATGATTTAGTGTCCCAAAGTTTATCATACCCGGGATGTTTACTAGACTCTCGTTGGGACAGATTTTAGTGAGTTATTCCTAAGAATTACAGGCCTACAATAAAACAAATATGTATTTCCATGCTAAAAAATGTTCCGCTTTGAGCACAGAAATACTGATATAATCAGACCGTTAGGGAGGTTAAAGTGATAATAAAAGCACCTTTTTTTTTTTTTAATAAAAAAAAAAGATTCTACTTACATGCTCTGTGCAACGATATTGCACAGAAAGGTTGCTTACCTCCTTTTTCTGGCAGTCCCCGCTGGCGCTATCTGCTCTTTAGTCCTTTGAGTATGACCTGTAGCAAGCTGGATGCTAAGGAGGCACCCATGCAAGCACGCTTCCACTGGGTCCTGCACTAAATTGTGTGCATCCATAGATACACACAGCACCAGTAAGCCACACCCCCACTTGCTCCTTACAGGAGTTTGACTGACGGCCGCTATGGCTCCGCTGCCGTCAGTTTCTCCTGTGAAAGCAGGACGTGAGGGGAGCAGTACTGGAGCTGGAAACGGCCAGTGTTTTTGAAATGGGGGTAGGACAGGTAGTAGGGCGGTTTTTACCTTAATGCACAAAATGCATTAAGGTAATAAAAACCTTTAGACTTTAAAACCATTTCAAAGGGGGAACCTCACTCAAAAAGCAAGAAAAAAAAAAAAGTGAGGTTCCCCCTTTCCATAATTTATTCCAGACCTTTATCTCAGCATGCAACTTGGGTGGCCAGAAAAGGGGGGAGCAGGTGAATGTGCATCACCACCCTGAATCATACCACATGCCCTCAATTTGGTGGTGGTACCATGCCAGGGGCATTGCAAAGCACTTCATGTTGATGATGACAAGTGCCTGTTCCCCACAATCTTGGCCTGGTGATTGTTGGGGTTTGCAGGTGGGGGGCTTATAATCTGGAAGCTCTACTTACAAGTAAGGGCCCCCAGACCCCCCTCCCCCACATCATCATGTAAGGGGTACATAGTAAAGCTACTCATTCTCAACATTCACAAATATTCTGTAGTGGTGAACCATCCAGGTCCATGCATTTTCGTTGGGAATGTTTGTAAAAGCCATATTGTTTGTTTTATAAAAGGACCCTTGTATACATAGATCACTTTTGGTGCTCCTTCAACATTTCTTCCAGCTGGAGATCTTTCACATGGTTATGTACCGCAACTTCCAGAGGAAGAATGACATGGACGAGCCGCCGCCTTTTGACTATGGCTCAGGAGAAGATGAGGGCAAAAGTGAGAAGAGCAAAGATGCTGAATACTCCGATATGGAGGAGCGGTTTTACCGCTACGGCATTAAACCCGAGTGGATGTCCTTACAGAGGATTATCAATCACAGGTGAGGGATTAAGAGGCCAAATTGTGAAGCAGGGATGTAGTTTCAGTCTGGCATTGGCTGTCTGTCTTGAAGCTGTAGGGCACATGTAAATCCCCTATTCAATCAGAGCAACACACCCTAAAATAATATGATAGCGCTCTAAATAGTTGCGGCTAAAACACTATTATTATTACTATTATTATTATTTATAGTACTACGAGTTTATATAGCGCCCAAAGGGTTTGCTCAGCGCTGTACAATAGGGGGGACAATACATGGCACAGTACAACAACAACAAACAACGTACGAGGGGTAAGAGGGCCCTACTCTTACGAGCTTACAATCTAGGAGGGAGGGGGTAAAGGTACAGTAGGATGTACAATACCTGTACCAAAATGAATACCAATAAATTGTAGCGCAGCAGACTAATAGCTCATATAAAAATAAATAATAATTATTGAAAACATAAAAATTGCTGCGCTGCCTCTACTGAAAAAAAGAATAAATAAATAAATAAACTCCCCTACTACATGTTACTACCCCCCACCTCACCCCCTCGGTCTCCACCCGAATCACACACCTACTGAGCGACATATCAGACTGGATGTCGCTCCACTTCCTTAAACTGAACCTCTCCAAAACCGAGTTTCTTGTCTTCCCCCCAGCCCGACACCACCCCCCATTGACTTCTCTGTCACATCCAACAACGCCACCATCAAACCCGCCCCGCAGGCCAGAGTACTTGGTGTCATTCTGGACTCCAACCTATCCTTCCAGCCCCAAGTCCAATCTTTAACAAACTCGTGCAGACTCCACCTCCGCAACATCGCCAAAATCCGCACGTTCCTAACCCCAGAAACCACTAAACAGCTCATCTACTCCCTCATCATATCACGACTCAACTACTGCAACTCCCTCCTCACTGGCCTGCCTCGCTGCTGGCTATCCCCGCTTCAGACGATCCTGAATACGGCTGCCAGACTCATTCACCTTTCCAACCGCTCCTTTTCCGCCACCCCCCTCTGCCAATCCCTCCACTGGCTTCCGATTGCGCAACGGATCAAATTCAAAATCCTAACACTGACGTACAAAGCCGTCCACCATACTGCCCCGAACTACATCACTGACCTAATATCCAAGTACCGCCCAGCACGCACACTCCACTCCTCACAAGACCTCCTTCTCTCTAGTTCCCTGGTCTCCTCCTCCCATGCCCGCCTCCAGGACTTCTCCAGGGTGTCACCCATCCTCTGGAACTCCCTGCCCCAACCCGTCAGATTATCACCTACTCTCCTCTCCTTTAGGCGCACCCTGAAAACCCTTCAGGGAAGCCTACCCCACCCCCCCTGCTAACTTGCCGATCTCCTCCACTCTTCCTACCACCCATCCCCCACAGCTATCTCCTCCTGTGCCACCATCCCCTCCCTCATAGATTGTAAGCTCCAAAGAGCAGGGCCCTCGATCCCCTCATGTTTTGCATTGTATTGGTATTGTTCTGTCACATGTTCTGTCCCCCTTTGTAATGTACAAAAGCCATTGGCGCTTTATAAATACTGTATAATAATAATAATAATAATAATATAGGGTCCCCACAAATGTGCATACACTACAATGCCCTATGGGCTGACAAATATATCCCTCCTGCCCAGTGACTAAATAGGGAACCAATATATATATATATATATATACTCATTGTGCTCAAACACCAATTGTGCTATAAAATAAATAATAGCAAATATACAATACCATCAAACTATATGTACAATGAACTTATATGCAAAAGACAATAAGTATGTATATTAAAATCTCAATCAATGTGCAAACATATAAAAGTTCCAATGTGGAAAGAAATTCCCATCCGCATCCAATGTGAATACTAGGTGATACAATAGTTAATCTTCTTATCCATAGCAATCCTCTGTGCGAAGTGCTCCTCCTCCAGAGCCCCACTCACCACAAATAATTTGACCTTGGATGGTAGGTCAAATAGGGCATTAGGTGTTGCAGCGCTCTCCTGCAGTAAGTTGGCCGTTTGTGTGATCTCGATACCTCTATACGCTAGTAACAAACTCCATATGTGAAAACACCTCCAGATCAGTCGCTTTTTAAAAACTCCAGAACATCCATAGTACTCCTCCACCACCGTAAAAACATCAAATGGAAACTTCCATAGCATAACCATAATTTATTAGGTAAAAAACACTTAAAATTGCACTTACATAAAAAACATGTGTATGGCACTTTAAATCCCAGCACAAAGCAATTTCTTCTCAAAGGACAAGTGTAGCGCTGTCAGGCCCCACCCTACCCGTTTCGTCGTATGACGTCATTAGGAGGTGGAAGGAGCTGAGACGTTTTAAACTGATGACCATCTGGGACAACGGGGACTTTTTCATGGAACTTTAATTATTGTTTATTATTTATTTTTATATGAGATATTAGTCTGTTGCGCTACACTTTATTGTTATTCGACTAGGGCACATGTGTCGAGCATGAGGCCCGTGGGCCAAATCCAGCCCACCAGGCCATTTCATGTTGCCCTCCAACCTCCCCTTCAGCTGCAGCACCCCCCTAGTCTCTGCCTCCACCTTGACTAAACTCCAGACCAGGGGAGAAGAATGCTCCTTACATTGGAGATCAGTGGAAAGAATGTTCCTTACGTTTGTGGTCAGGGTAAAGAACAGTTCCGTGCATATGTGATTGGTGGGAGGATTGCTCCTTACATTGGTGGTATGTGGGAGGATTGCTCCTTACATTGGTGGTATGTGGGAGGATTGCTCCTTACGTTGGTGGTATGTGGGAGGATTGCTCCTTACATTGGTGGTTAGTGGAAAGAATAATCCTTACATTGGTGATCAGTGGGATGAATGCTCCTTACATTGGAGGTCTGTGGGAGAATTTCCCTTACATTGGGGTCAGTGGGAGGAATGTTCCTTACATTGGTGATCAGTGGGATGAATGCTCCTTACATTGGGGGTCATTGAGAAGAATGCCCCTTACATTGGTGGTCAGTGGGATGAATGCTCCTTACATTGGTGATCAGTGCAAAGAATGTTCCTTACATTGGGGGTCATTGAGAAGAATGCCCCTTACATTGGTGGTCAGTGGGAAGAATTTCCCTTACATTGGTGGTCATTGGGAAGAATGTTCCTTACATTGGTGATCAGTGTGAAGAATGCCCCTTACATTGGGGGTCAGTGGGAAGAATGTCCCTTACATTGGTGGTCATTGGGAAGAATGTTCCTTACATTGGTGATCAGTGGGAAGAATGTTCCTTACATTGGTGGTCAGTTGGGAAGAATGTCCTTACATTGGTGGTCAGTTGGAAGAATGTTCCTTACATTGGTGGTCAGTAGGGAAGAATGCTCCTTACATCGGTGGTTAGTAGGAAGAATGCTCCATATATATATGTGGTTAGTGAAGAGAATGCTCCTTACATTATGATCAGGGGGAAGAACGCTCCTTACATGTACGTGATCAGTGGGAAGAATGCTCCTTACATTGGTGGTCAGTAGGAAGAATGCTCCTTACATTGGTGGTCAGTGGGAAATGTCCCTTACATTGGTGGTCAGTGGGATGAATGTCCCTTACATTGGTGATCAGTGGGAAGAATGTCCCTTACATTGGTGATCAGTGGGAAGAATGTCCCTTACATTGGTGATCAGTGGGAAGAATGCCCCTTACATTGGTGATCAGTGGGAAGAATGCTCTTACATTGGTGATCAGTGGGAAGAATGCTCCTTACATTGGTGATCAGTGGGATGAATGCTCTTTACATTGGTGATCAGTGGGAAGAATGCTCCTTACATTGGTGATCACTGGGAAGAATGCTCCTTACATTGGTGATCAGTGGGAAGAATGCCCCTTACATTGGTGATCAGTAGGAAGAATGTCCCTTACATTGGTGATCAGTGAAGAGAATGCTTCGTACTTATGTGGTCAGTGAAGAGAATGCTTTGTATTTATGTGGTCAGGTAGAAGAATGCTCCTTATGTACGTGATCGGTGGGAAGAATATGTGGTGAGTGAGAGAAGGCCCGCCTCTATAGACAGCTGAAAATATCATTAGTGTCAATGATCATTTATCTGAGAGACAGAAATTGCTCATTGCTCAAGGAACACCTAGCAATCTCTGGAGGATCCCTGGTTGAGAAAGGCCGGTCTAGAGCAACTTTTTAGGGACAATCAGACCATGTCACATTGATGTCTTTGGTGTCTGTCTTTGTTTTGTAGCGCGGACAAGAGAGGGAATTATCGCTATCTGGTGAAATGGAGGGATCTGACCTATGACCAGTCTACGTGGGAGGAGGACAACATGAAACTGCCAGACTGCAACTATCACAAGCGGATCTACTGGCAACACAGGTACCAGTCATTTGTAAGAACGTCACAGCTGTATTTCCGATACTAGGGGCTTGTGGGAAAGATGCTTATTCCTTTACAGGATAGTCCCGGTTGTGGCCTTCTGTTAGCTGAAAAATGTCGTGACATCTGAGTAATGATGGTTTATATGGAGTGGTGAAGGTTAAACATTAATACTCCTTGATAAAAATATTTTTGTACTTGTAAATCTAACTAAAAAAAAAATATAGAAGACTATTCTTCTCCGTTGATGCTTACCTTATTCCTGGATCATCCATTAACCTGCCCTCTATCTTTCAGAGAACAGGTTATGGGAGAGAGTGCCCTCTGCCCCCCTCAGTTCAAGATGAACCTCAAGGACTCCTTCATGCACGTTGTGCCCAGCTCCCCCACCAGCGATGTAAGTATATTTCCTGACAAAACATTGAAGGCGCTAGTTGTAAAGCAGCTGTATCGTATTACCATGGCTATACCTGCTTTAAAAGATTGCAGGTTTCTAAAGCGCAACAATTTGCTTGGAAATGCAGAAGCGAGAAAAGCAATTTTCAAATGAGTAGGAGAACAAAAAGACCTAGGAGGAGTCACATGAGTGGCCTCTCCTCCAGTCATGGAGTTCTTGTTGTGAGTGTGACTACGCAGGATTCACACTGTGTCTTGCATTTTATGAATGCAATGAAAAATACTCTTCTTCAGAAGAGAACAGTAGTTCTCTGCCTCCTAGATTGTAAGCTCGAAAGAGCAGGGCCCTCGAACCCCTCATGTAGTGTATTGTTACTGTCCTGTCTCATGTTATGTCCTCCTTGCTACTGTACAGCGCTGAGCATACCCTTTGGCGCTATATAAATACTGTATAATAATAATAATCTCTAAATTGGCCCCAAAGCACAGAGCTCTGATGTCAACCCAACAGAACACCTTTGGGATGAATTGAGAGCCAGGCCTCCTCTAACATCTCTACTTGACTTCACAAGTGCTCTTTTGGCCGAATGGCCACAAATTCCCACACACACACACAGTCCAAAATCTTGAGAAAAGCCTTCCTAGAAAGAAAGGGGAGCTTGTTATAGCCACAAAAAGTGGGAACAGCTCTATAATAAAGATTTAGAATGAGATATCCAACATAGATGACTTGAATTTCATCTGGTTCTTTCTGAATCGTCTAAAATTGAAGCTGTAGGGGGGCCCTGCATGCACACCTGGCTCGAACAAAAGTCAATTTAAAAATTGGCTGAAGCAGGATGGAAATGTGAACAGTGGTTGCAATGAAGACATTGAATTTATTTCGGGTACTTATATAGGGCAGTCAATTTACGCAGCGTTTTACATATATATTGTACATTCACATCAGTCCCTAACCCTCAAGGGGCGTACAATCTAAGGTCCCTAACTTACATCTCATACATTCACACATATTAGGGACAATTTAGACAGGAGCCAATTAACCTACCAGCATGTCTTTGGAGTGTAGGAGGAAACCCACTCAGGCACAGGGAGAACATACAAACTCCAGGCAGGTGTTGCCGTAGTTGGGATTTGAACCAATAAACCTAATACTACCAGGCAGAAGTGCTAACCATTTAGCCACTGAATTAAATAGTTGGCAGTGCAGATTTTTCTATCCACACTGTTTAGTGTGGCTGGGGGAATCACTTGATTTCTTTTGTTCAGCTTGCAAGCTGAGCCATGTATGGGTAGCCTTATGCAGCCCATACATTATTTCATTTTCTTTCCTTCCACCATAGGTGGAAGGAAAGAAAATCATTTGATTCTCCCATCAACATAATGATTACTGGTAGTGGCTATAGCCATCCACAGTAATCGTATGTAAAATATCTGACATGCTGATTGTACCCAAGTCGATCGATGAATCAACTTAGGTACAATCAACCTGCCTATACATTGATCAAATCCCAGCCGGTGGAGGCCGTGTGATGCTTTGGGAAATGTTCTGCTGGAAAACCTTGGGTCCTGTCATTCGTGTGGATGTTACTTTGACACGTACCACCTACATAAACATTGGTGCTGACCAAGTACACCCCTTGATGGAAATGGTATTCCCTTATGGCAATGACCTCTTTCATCAGGATAATGCTCCCTGCCACACTAAAAATGGATCAAGAATGGTTTGAGGAATACAACAACGAGTTCAAGGTGTTTACTTGGCCTCCAAATTCTCCAGATATCAATCTAATCAAGCATCTGTGGGATGTGCGGGAAAAACAGGTCTGATCCATGGAGGCCTCACCTTACAATTTGCAAGACTTAAAGGATCTGCTAATAATGGTTGGTGCCAGATAGCACAGGATACCTACAGCGGTCTAGTGACACCCATGCCTCGATGGGTCAAGGCTGTTTTGGTGGCATTTGGGGCTGTTTTTGTGTCAATTGGGGCTATTTTGGTGGCAAAAAGGGGACCTACTCAACATTAGGTGGGTGGTTACGAAGTTATGGCTGCTCAGTGTATTTCAAGCATTCGTCCTGAGTAAAGAGGCTGAGAAAGGCTTATTTATATACTACACCTTCAACTGCTGTATCGCCAATATCACCTTTATTATTATTATCATTATTACAGGTACTTGTATAGCGCCGTCAATTTACGCAGCACTTTACATATATATATTGTACATTCACATCAGTCCCTCAACCCTCAAGGGGCGTACAATCTAAGGTCCCTAACCCTCAAGGGGCGTACAATCTAAGGTCCCTAACCCTCAAGGGGTGTACAATCTAAGGTCCCTAACCCTCAAGGGACGTACAATCTAAGGTCCCTAACCCTCAAGGGGTGTACAATCTAAGGTCCCTAACCCTCAAGGGGATGTACAATCCAAGGTCCCTAACCCTCAAGGGGTGTACAATCTAAGGTCCCTAACCCTCAAGGGGCGTACAATCTAAGGTCCCTAACCCTCAAAGGGCATACAATCTAAGGTCCCTAACCCTCAAGGGGTGTACAATCTAAGGTCCCTAACCCTCAAGGGGTGTACAATCTAAGGTTCTTTATGCAAAGAACAGCATGCCAGTTTGTTACCAACATACTACATCTGAAGAAATGAATCCAAATGATTGAACGTCTGCTGTTCTGCTCCATGCTAGCTTACCAACAAAGCATTAATGTGCAACAAGTAAGGGGTGTAATGTCTCTAATGATTCTTTACACAGCCCACGGTGAAATATGAAGCTCAGCCGCAGTTTGTGACCGCCACGGGAGGAACCCTGCATATGTACCAGCTGGAGGGGCTGAACTGGCTGCGCTTCTCCTGGGCGCAGGGCACAGATACCATCCTGGCAGATGAGATGGGTCTAGGGAAGACCATACAGACCATCGTGTTCCTGTATTCCCTGTATAAAGAGGTAAGTCAACAGCAGGCTGGTGACAGAAATGTGCAAATATGGATGGAGAAGATATGTGGTTTTAGAGTATATCTTGAACCAATCTTATTTTGGGCGGAGTAGGGAAGGGTTTGAAACATAGAGGAATATTGGCAGAAAAAGACCAAGTGGTCCATCACGTTTAACTCCCCCCCCCCCATTTTTTACCATATTATCTGAGTGTAGATCTCTGTTTTTTTCCCGATAATGTGAAGCACAAAACAAACTAAAAGTGCACCAACCTTGCGCATTACCTCAGTAAACCAAAATGTATTAGTCACAGAATAATACTCACAAACAATGAAGTATATCAAGCATGTAAGTCCACAATGGGACTAAGGATAAAAGCAGCCTGCGCGAGTCCCATCATAGGAGTGGACACTCAGGTAACAGCTGACGCGTAATAAAGTTCACCTCCATATAACAGATGAAACTTCTGCTCCTTGCAGGTCACGGCTCATGCGCATATTCTTTTTGGAAAAACGATCATACGATTTGACCATCATTGAGTCGCAAATCGTTTGTTTTTCACGAATTTTGCAACATGCCCGATCACCGAAAAGGGGAGGAACTACGGAAAATCGGTCGGTGCCACTGACCCACTAACAGAGCAAAAATCGGCCGATTTATTCTTAGGTCCGATTTTCAGATGAAAAATCGGTCAAATTTCGACCCATGTATGGCCGGCAGTCCTTCCAAAGAAAAATCCCTCACTCTTCACAATCATGCCTTATTCATGTCATCAGTTTTCATCAGCTCCTATATTTGCGAATAACTGTTTTCAAAGAGGAAGCACACGAAGGGCAAAACTAGAACCAAAATCTCTGAGGAGCACAATTTGAGAATACATTGGGAATTGCTACTCCATCCAACCAGATATTGATGGGTTAGTTTATTAACCATTTCAATACCATGCAATTTTACACCTTCCTGCCCAGGCCAGTTTTCACGTTTCAGCGCTCTCACACTTTGAATGACAATTGCGCGGTCATACAACATTGTACCCAAACTAAAATTTTATCATTTTCTTCACACAACTAGAGCTTTCTTTTGGTGGTATTTAATCACCGCTGGGGTTTTTATTTTTTGCTAAATTAACAAAAAAAGACCACAAATTTTGAAAAAAAACACGTTTTTCTTTGTTTCTGTTATAAAAGTTTACAAATAAATAATTGTTCTTCATAAATTTAGGCCGAGATGTATTCTGCTACATGTCTTTGGTGAAAATAACCCAAATTAGGATGTATTTTTTAGTTTGTAGGAAAGTTATAGAGTTCACAAACTATGGTATAGATCTGAATATTGATCAATCCTGAAGTACTGACGGCCAATCTAATTTCTTGAGGTCAAAGAATGTCAGAATAGTACAGATATCCCCCAAATGTCAGGACAGTACAGATATCCCCCAAATGACCCCTTTTTGCAGAGTAGACAGTCCGATGTACTTCATAAGAGGAATGGCGAGTTTTTTGAAGTTGTATTTTTTTTGTCATAATTTTTCGGAAAATGAAAAAATTAAAAAAATTATTTTCACAATTTTTTTTTTACATACTGTCACCAGTGCAGTACAGCGTCATCATATAACTGGCATGGCGGTTAACAGGGACACTAACTGGTGACAGTATGAAAAAAAAAATATATATATGTATATTTTTTTTATTATTTTTAATTTTTTATTACATTTTTTTTATTTTTTTTAAGATTTTTTTTTCATATTTTACTATGACCAAAGTAGTACAATGTTACCATAGTAACATTGTACTACTTTGGGGAAGTGATCAGTATTTTTTTTTTTTTTTTTTTTACACAATTTGCTTATAGCAAAGAATTACTTTGCTATAAGCAAGCATTTACCAGAATGAAATCGATTCATTCAGTTTTTTTTTTTTTTTTGTGCTTAGCTGTGATTTGGTCACAGCTAATCACATGACATGTGCATGTGACCTGCTGTGACCATTCACAGCTAGGCACTAGTATACAATGGATGGCATGAATGAAGCCATCCATTGTATACAACTGTCATGTGACCTGCTGTGATTGGTCACAGCAGGTCACATGGTACCAGCAACGGGAGCCGGTACTCGGATCTGTCATCGGCCGTGTCCGAGGTACACGGCCGGTGACAGATTGCGCTGCTGCGCCGCTCTGCAGTTGCGCGAACTGAGCATGTGCGGGAGCACGCCAAATGGCGTGCACCCGGAATGCAGAAGCACTTTTGCCGCCGCCAAACGGCCATTGGCCGGGCGGCAAATGGTTAAAAACAAATATTTTGGGGACAACTGTAACATTTTGTACTTCCTCTGAATTTACAAAACGTGGGGCACAGACAGCAATAAAAAATTGGAAAAGCAAAAATAAACAAAACAGGGAGCTCCCGCCTTCGCATATTTCCTTAACTCTTTTGTTGAAGAAATTCAATACATTTGGGTTTTGCTGTCTAGTCCGTATTGTTACATGTAGCACTTGCTTGAGTTGCTTTGGCAATAATTAGTAGTTGTGGAAATGTGTGTTGGAAATGAAGACATCACTTTGTGCTTTTTTTTTTTTTATCTTCACCAGGGTCATACAAGAGGTCCTTTCCTTGTTAGTGCTCCACTGTCCACTATTATCAACTGGGAACGCGAGTTCCACATGTGGGCACCAGACTTCTACGTGGTTACCTATACGGGGGACAAGGACAGCAGATCTGTCATCCGAGAAAACGAGTTCTCCTACCAGGACAACGTCATGAAGGGAGGGAAGAAAGCCTTCAAGATGAAGGTGGGATGTTGGTGGATGTCGGTCTGAAGTCCAAAGAGTGTCAGGGGTTTTGTTCCTCTAAGCATTCTCTTTCCATGACTTTATGTTTTTGTTTTGACTGTCTCTTATTTAGGCTCAAGCCCAAGTCAAGTTCCATGTGCTGCTTACTTCCTATGAGCTGGTGACGATTGATCAGGCTGCTCTGGGATCCATTCATTGGGCCTGTCTGGTGGTGGACGAAGCTCACCGCCTCAAGAACAACCAGTCAAAGGTGTGTCCAGAAGCCGTCAACAGTAAGGGCAACCTCCATGCACCCTGTGCTGTTTGTAAAGAAGACCTAGACTCATCAGGGCTCCTTAGGCATCATGGCAATTGTTTCCTGTTGGCAGTTGCTCCAAACAGGTTTTTGTTTTTACAGTTCTGGTGGTTATATTTAAGAATGAAGTAAACATAACCAGTTGTTGTACATTACAGTAAAGCAGGCCATAGATTATGCGATTTTCTTTTCTGCAACAGTCAGTGTTGATGGGGGAATCCCTCCCACAGAGCCATTGTGTTCTGCCGGAGGAGGGGGGTGCGGGGAGCCATCTCTGCCAGGAAAACACAGTGATTATAGTGACTATAGCCACTGCAAATAATCACATGCTAAAAATCCGACATGCTGGTTGTACCCAAGTCGATCAATGGATTGACTTGGGTACAATCATCCCTACCATAGATGGATCGAATCTTGTCCAGTCCTTTCTGAACTGGCTGATATTTGATCCATCTATGGCTGGCTGTAGAGTTCTTCCTTAGATTCTGTCCATTTTGAGGCTCACTATGCTCCTTTCTTTGTATAAAAACTTCTCACTCCATTTTCCTGTCTTCTCACATATCTATAGTTTATATAGACAGGTCAATTATTTGTTCTGTGTTGCAGTTTTTCCGGGTCCTGAATGGCTACAAGATTGACTACAAGCTGCTCCTCACAGGAACTCCTCTCCAGAACAACCTGGAAGAACTGTTTCATCTGCTCAACTTCCTGACCCCGGAGAGGTTCAAGTATGTATATGACACCTAGAGCTTGATTTACTATTAAAATTGGAGAGTGCAAAATCTGGTGCAGCTCTGCATAGAAACCAATCAGCTTCAAGGTTGTTTTTTTTTTTGTCAAAGCCGAATTGAACAAACGGAAGCTTACTGGTTACCATGCACAGTTGCACCAGATTTTGCACTCACCGGTATTAGTAAATCAAACCCCCTTATGTCTTTATGCTTTAGAGTAGTTTTCGGCAAACTTGTATATTGTCAAAATCACCGCTAACCCCTGAAGTTTCTAAAAAGGCGTACCAGCAATACCCTTGAACAAGACCTTAACTAAAAAAATTGATTTGCTGCTTTATAGGGAGAATCTAGAAATGTTAAATTTTCTTCCAGAAAGAACATTTATTGACATAAATTCATAATTGTACTCACATCATCAGCAATACGCCATTCTGCACAGCATATACAATAATGTCCAACAGGTGAACAAAAGTTTGGGTCAGTTGGTACATACGTAAGCAAATATGAAGGCACATACACCTGGAAAACCAGTACATTAAAGTTGTAAGCTTGAAAGTCCACAGTCAATTCAAAGAGAAGTATGGCCTTTATTAAAAAACAAACAAACAAAAAAAAAACATACTTATCCAGGTGAACCTAAAGAAAAAAAAATGATACTTACCTAGATGGATGCAGCATCGATCTGATGCTACATCTGTCCCCTGCGAGCTCTACACTGAGAACTGAGTGGTTAACCACCGCTGATCGCTCAGTTCTCAACTCCGCTTTGAGGATAGAGTGGTGACTGTCAGTCTCCAGCTCTCTGCTCTGCCCCTCCAGCACTCACTGGAGCACTGGGCAGTGGAGGGGGCAGGAACGGCTTGCTCAGGCTCCCGGTGGATCGCTGAGAGGCTGAACCAGGTGCTGGTCCAGGCTTCTGGGTGGATCCTGACCATTTCGGGATCTTTTCAGAGCCTGGACTGGCTCAGTGAAGTCAGCCGACAGCAGGCTTTAGCCCACTGTTGACTAAAAATGGGCCATAAGAATGCAGAATGAACTGTGATCCTGTGAGCCATTGGAGCAGTACAGCCAAAAAAGGCTTTTGGCTCTACCTCTACTTTAAGGCCAGCAAATTGATAATCGGTTTTAAACAAGGGGGTGACATAAGAAATACAAATATAGTGAAAGGCGGGTGGATGGTTAATATATGTAATGTATGCTACAATGTATGTATGTATGTATATATATATATATATATATATATATATATATATATATATATATATATATTCACACACACAGTGGGTATGAAAAAGAATCAACCCCCCTTTAAAATAATCATTTTGTTGCTTTGCAGCCTGAAATGAAGACAGACACAGTTTTTATTTTTATACCAGCTGTATTTAGTGCAATTTATAATATCCAAGTGAAAGATATAACACCAACACGTCAGAAAAAAAATAAAAAAAATTCTAAACCAGAATCACTGAGTTGGAGAAAGGATCACCCCCCCCCCCCCCTAAAAATAACTTGTAAACTCAAACAGGTGTAGCTAATCATCTTCTCAATGGTGCACAAAGCCATTTGACTTTCAACTGTGATCGGCTGTGGTTATTTTGATTAGCTCAGCATGAAAAGAGCTTTCCTGGAGCATTTCAGTCCCTGATGCAACTGCAACTGAAGCAAACAATCAACTAACTATGGGTGGCAAGACACTGTCAAAGATCTCCGGGATAAAATTGTGTACAGGCACAAGTCAGGAGATGTATGCAAATAAATTCAAAGGCTATCAATGCCTTGAAGCACAGTGACCTCTATTATTAGGAAGTGGAAAGTATTTGGTACAACTCAGACCCTCCTTGGATCAGGACGTCATTCCAAACTGGATGAAAAATCCAGGAGGAAACAGGTCAGAGAAGTTACAAAGAGGCCTACAGCAACTCTGAAGCAGTTGCAGGAATTGATAACAGAGTGGTCATTGTGTGCATGTGACAACAAAATCACAGATCCTCCACAAATGTGGCTTGTATGGGAGGGGTGCAAAGAAAAATCCGATCATCAAGACAGACCGCATACAGTCATGACTGAGCTTTGCCAAAACGCACCTTGAAGATTCTGAGGCCACGTGGAAAAAGGTGTTCTGGTCACATGAGACTAAAATTGAATGATTTTGCCTCAGTGCTAAATGATACGTCTTTCCTGAAATCTAATACAGCTTTTACAGGATAGGTTGCCAGGTCTTTCTCCAACCCCCACCATGCAGGAGATCCCATGTGGCCAGGGATGAAACTAGGACAATTTAGACAGGAGCCAATTAACCTACCAGCATTGTCTTTGGAGTGTGAGAGGAAACTGGACTACCCAGAGGAAACCCATGCAAGCACAGGGAGAACATACAAACTCCATGCAGGAGGTACCATGGTTGGGAATTGAACCCATGACCTATTTACTGCATGGCAGATGTGCTAACCACTAAGCCACTGTGCCACCCAACCAGTAGTCATCTGAAAATACAATATAAATACATGACATTCTTCAGAACTTTTATTCCGTTGTTAAAGAATTTTTGTAATGTTGGTAACCTCTTCATTCTTAATATGAGACAAGCATGCAGAAAAAAAAAACACGATCATTCGTCCGATATTCTGAACATGTGTACGGGGTATAAGACATGTCCAAAAGACATGGAGGAAGGTACATATTTCTGTGTTGATCTCCTGGCTTCTGCTTCATTGAGTCTGGGAATCTGTGCTTCCTCCACCTTTACTGCTGTTTCTTGATCATTATCCCCATCAATCATGAAGGGACCAGCTCTGACATGAGGAAGCAAAGCCTTGCTTCTTCCAAGATAGCTGCCACTACTAAGAGACACAGAGGGCAGCTACATACTAAGGGCAAATGGACTGTTCACTTTGTAGTTGCTGATTTGCTTTTCAACCCCTCGACTACAGGGCACTTATACCCCCTTCCTGCCCAGCCCAATTTCCAGCTTTCAGCCCTGTCGCACTTTGAATGACAATTGCGCGGTCATGCAACACTGTACCCATATGAAATTTTTATAATTTTTTTCTGACAGATAGAGCTTTATTTTGGTGGTATTTAATCACCTCGGGGTTTTTTATTTTTTCTTAAACAAACCAAAAACCACTGAAAATTTTGAAAAAAACGTTTTTTCTTAGTTTTTGTTATACAATTTTGTAAATAAGTGATTTTTCTCCTTCACTGATGTGCGCTAATGAGGCTGCAGTGATGGGTACTGATAGGTGGCACTGATGGGCACTGATGAGGAGGCACTGGTAGGTGGCACTGATGGGCATTGACAGGCATCACTGATGGGCACTGAAAGGCAGCACTGATGGGCACTGAAAGGCAGCACTGATAAATGGCACTGATAGGTGGCACTGACTGGCACTAATAGGCAGCACTGACTGGCACTGTTAGGTGGCACTGACTGGCACTGTTAGGCGGCACTGGTAGGCAACACTGATGGGCACTGATAGGCGGCACTGATGCACACTGATAGGCGGCACTGACTGGCACTGATAGGTGGCACTGACTGGCACTGATAGGTGGCACTGATTGGCAGCACTGATAGGTGGCCCTGATGCACACTGATAGCATTGATGGCAGGGTGGCACTGACTGGCACTGATGGGTGACACTGAAAGGCAGCTCAGATGGGCACTGATATATGGCATTGATGTGCACTGGTAGACACTGATATGTGGCACTGATGTGGCACTGATGGGCACTGAGAGCTGACACTGATGGACACTGACAGGTGGCACTGCTGGGTCTACATTGATCATCAGTGCCCTGATGATCAGTGTACATGTCCCCTCTGAGGAAGGCCGATTACCGGCTTTCCTCTGTCAGTGTGACAGCTCGTGAGGAGAGAAATGCCGATAACCGGCATTTCCTCTTTTTACTTGCGATCAGCTGTGATTGGACACAGCTGATCACATGACCGAGCCAACATCTTTGGCTCTTTCCGTGGATCGGAGATCCGCTGTGTGATCTGCTCCCGGAGCTGCGCATGTGCAGTTAGAGTGGGAGGACGCCATATGACGTCCATCCAGAACGAGAGAACCGCCTTGCGCCCGTTATTGTACTATATGGTGGGCGGGAGGCGGTTAAAGGAACTATCTCCAAAACATAGTGAATGAGGAGAAGCTTCACATTTCAAAGAATACCTAATCGCATACAAGGAAAATAAAAAAATAGCATTTTTACTTGCACGAATATGTAGGATGGAGGTCAGTGAAGCTTCACCTCGTTCACTAAACTCTAGGGACTATTCTATTGGAGAATGCAACTGCACTTGCAAAGTGAACAGTCTATTTGCCTTTAGTAAATAAACCTCACGGAGCAGAACAAGGAATGGAAAGTTAGTAATAAGGAAATGTCAGCTACAAGGAGACCACTCGTGATACCGGTGATGCTCGGGTTCTGCAGTGATTGAATCATGCTCCTACCGTTTAAAAAAAAAAAAAAAAAAGTCAATTGTGTAGTGATAGCTTGCAATTAATTAGGTTAGTTCAAATGTGGGCAGAAAGTATATAATTACCTGACTGACATGTTAGACTTTCTGAGCACTAGACTGCAGTGAGCGTCTACCTGCTGACAGGTGGGGTTAGTACTTGCCATGCCCATAGTGATTCTTAGTAGGCCTAAGGGCATAGGAGGACACAGAAGCGGTGCAGTATAGCGCTGATTTACGCAGAACACAAAAACCGAGCCAATAAAATAACATCTCTGCATATCTTGTTTGATATTGCTACTCCTGATCTTGTTTTTTTTTTTTTTTTTTTTTTTTAAGTAATCTTGAAGGTTTCTTGGAAGAATTTGCTGACATCTCCAAAGAGGATCAGATCAAGAAGCTTCATGACCTACTGGGCCCCCATCTCCTGCGCCGACTTAAAGCTGACGTGTTCAAAAATATGCCGGCGAAGACAGAACTGATTGTGCGCGTGGAGCTGAGTCCCATGCAGAAGTAAGAGGGAGATGATGGAAGTGGAGGATGGGATAAAGGGTTTAAAATGAAAGCCTTGTGGCCTGTAGCAGCATATTGGGTTCTTCCTTTCTTGTATACTGCTCATGAACATTGGATATGGGAAAAAAATCTCACTGAGCAGGCAACTCAGACTGTTCTCCTTTCAGACATCTAGAGAGGTCGATTATGAGATAGCTGTGCTCAGATAAGAATGTAGAAGTTTGGAGGCATTTTGCAGCTTTCTAGATAGCAAGGCCTACATTGTCTTGGCTTGTATTTGGTTCATAGCTGGAAGGCATCAGTGGTCCACAGCAGTAGTAAACAGTAACCAGTCATTAATGAAATCATTAATCAATATTTTCTATACAAAATCAGCTGGTTATGTTGTAGTGAGTTATTCATTACAATTGCATCTGTCTTTTAGAAATTGATTTTTTTTTTTCTGTTCACATTTGCAGAAAATATTACAAGTTTATACTCACTCGAAATTTTGAAGCACTCAACTCTCGAGGTGGAGGGAACCAGGTGTCACTGCTCAACATTATGATGGATCTAAAGAAATGCTGCAACCATCCTTATCTCTTCCCAGCAGCATCCATGGTGAGTTTCAGTGTGTAAATTTCCTTCCTTCTGCATAGAAAAAAGCAATGACCATTGATATGGGAAGAAAGGGGGATATGAGTCTGTCCTCCTGCAGGGTGTTACAGACAGAAAGAGCTATGTGTCTGTCCTCCTCCTGCAGGATGATACAGACAGAATGGGGCTATGAGTCTGACCTCCTCCTGCAGGGTGATACAGACAGAATGGGGGCTATGAGTCTGTCCTCCTCCTGCAGGGTGTTACAGACAGAAAGAGCTATGTGTCCTCCTCCTGCAGGATGATACAGACAGAATGGGGCTATGAGTCTGACCTCCTCCTGCAGGGTGATACAGACAGAATGGGGCTATGAGTCTGTCCTCCTCCTGCAGGGTGATACAGACAGAAGGGGGCTATGAGTCTGTCCTCCTCCTGCAGGGTGATACAGACAGAAGGGGGCTATGAGTCTGTCCTCCTCCTGCAGGGTGATAGACAGAAGGGGGCTATGAGTCTGTCCTCCTCCTGCAGGGTGATACAGACAGAAGGGGGCTAGGAGTCTGTCCTCCTCCTGCAGGGCGATACAGACAGAAGGGGGATAGGAGTCTGTCCTCCTCCTGCAGGGTGATACAGACAGAAGGGGGCTAGGAGTCTGTCCTCCTCCTGCAGGGTGATACAGACAGAAGGGGGATAGGAGTCTGTCCTCCTCCTGCAGGGTGATACAGACAGAAGGGGGATAGGAGTCTGTCCTCCTCCTGCAGGGTGATACAGACAGAAGGGGGCTATGAGTCTGTCCTCCTCCTGGATGATACAGACAGAAGGGGGATAGGAGTCTGTCCTCCTCCTGCAGGGTGATACAGACAGAAGGGGGCTATGAGAGTCTGACCTCCTCCTGCAGGGTGATACAGACAGAAGGGGGCTATGAGTCTGTCCTCCTCCTGCAGGATGATACAGACAGAAGGGGATAGGAGTCTGTCCTCCTCCTGCAGGGTGATACAGACAGAAGGGGGCTATGAGTCTGACCTCCTCCTGCAGGGTGATACAGACAGAAGGGGGATAGGAGTCTGTCCTCCTCCTGCAGGGTGATACAGACAGAAGGGGGCTAGGAGTCTGTCCTCCTCCTGCAGGGTGATACAGACAGAAGGGGGCTAGAAGTCTGTCCTCCTAGAAGGTGATGCAAGCAGAAGGGGGGTTTTCAGTTTGACCAATGGCAAACACTGACTTGCACTCTTGTTTTCTCAGGAATCACCTAAGCTCCCTAGTGGTGCCTATGAGGGAGGAGCTCTTACCAAATCCTCTGGGAAGTTATTCCTCTTACAGAAGATGCTTCGGAAGCTGAATGAGCAGGGACACAGGGTCCTCATCTTTTCCCAGGTGGGTGCAGGATGACCTTTACCACTTCTACTAGAAGTACCGTGGATCTGCTTTAATATGCTCAGTCCCTGAGAGACATCATGGCTTACTTAATTAATGTGGAATCTGAAATGACCTCATTCGTATTGGTCTGCGATTTGCTTCCTTGTGTTCTATCAAGCAAGCACGTGTTTTCAGATTACTGGTCACTGTCGCCTCTGCTGACTCTTCTTTCTCTTTCAGATGACAAAGATGTTGGACCTATTAGAGGACTTTTTGGATTTTGAGGGATACAAATATGAACGAATTGATGGTGGAATAACAGGATCCTTGAGGCAGGAAGCGATTGACAGATTTAATGGTGAGCAGATCATCAAAGCTCTTTGAAGAGCAAGAAAAAGGAAATCTTTATTTAGTCTTCATGTGTTTTTATGGTTTGTTTACTGCTTTACATTGCAGCCCCTGGTGCCCAGCAGTTCTGTTTTTTACTCTCCACCCGGGCAGGGGGCCTGGGAATAAATTTAGCTACTGCAGACACTGTCATCATCTATGATTCCGACTGGAACCCCCACAACGACATTCAGGTAGTAAAACATTGACTCTCCCTTTGTAACGATCTCCTCTGTTTGACTCCATTCACCTTGTCTATCCTAACTTTCACATATAGGGAACTACATGTATCAGGCCTCAAAGTACATTGGGAATGTGACAGTCTGTTTTTTTTTTTTTTGTGTCTACCTGACTTTGTTTAAAACAAAGCCATAAAAGTCAAAAGCTGTAACATCTAAAACTGTAAAGATCGCCACCATGAGAATTATAACTGGTCTGTAAGAGATCACAGACCTTAACCGCTTTCCCGCCGCCCTATAGCAGATATACTGCTACAGGGCGGCATGGGTGCGCAAAATCACGTATATATGTGATTTTGCACTTCCAGGTAGGGGGCACGTGCGAGCGCCCCACACGCACCGCTATTCACGGTCTCTGCTGTCAATCATCGGGTCTTGGCCAGTGATTTCTCGCTGGCCCCCAGTGATCGAGCAGGATTACCGACGGAGAGGAGAGAAAACTGTAAGTAAACAATACAGATCTCTCCCCTATCAGCTCCTGCACACTGCTATGCATGGTTTTGCATAGCAGAGCCATGCATAGCAGTGTGTGAAGCACACACATAATAGAACAGTACACAGTTAACCCTTTGATCGCCCCACATGTTAACCCCTTCCTGCCCAGTGCCATTAGTACAGTATCAGTGCTTTTTATTAGCACTGACCACTGTATTTGTGTCACTGGGGATGTCAGTGACTCCAAGTCAGTTCCCCCCCCAGTGTCAGAATGCCCGTCGCAGTCCTGCTATAAGTCGCCGATTGCTGCCATTACTAGTAAAAATAAAAACCCATTATATATACCGCCATTTGTAGACGCTATAACCTACACATAAACCAATTAATTTATACGTATTGGGATTTTTTTTTGCAAAGACATGGAGCAGAATACATTTTGGCCTAAATTTATGACGAAAATTAAATTTTTTAAAATTTTTTTACTGGACATGTTTATTAGCAAAAAGTAAAAAATATTGTTTTTTTTCTCAAAATTGTCAGTCTTTTTTTTTTTTTTTTTTGCGTAAAAAATAAAAAAAAAAAACGCACAGGTGATCAAATACCACCGAAAGAAAGCTCTATTTGTGGGAAAAATGGGCGTAAATTTAATTTGGGTGCAGCGCTGCATGACCGCGCAATTGTTAGTTAAAGTGACGCAGCGCTGTAACACAAAAAATGGCCTGGTCAGGAATGGGGGTAAATCCTCAGGAGGGCAAGTGGGTAACTAGCAGAAGCCAGGACAGAACAGCCAGCATACAGTATATGTCTACCTACACATTGCGTTGTAAACTGACCCCGTTCGGTTTTACCGGCATCTTTTGAATGAACTTTGACACTCCTGGATTGGTGAACCTGACACCCACCCCCATTTTCTGAGCATCGGCCTGGGGACCCTAAGCCTTGCCCTTGGGAAGCGCTGCAAAGTTTTTCATACCTACACCGGGATGTTTTGCTTTGTCAAGTTATATACTTTTTTATTCAAAATGGGTTAAATAGACCTAAAATGAACGTATACAGCATATTCCTTAAAAAGTGGTTGGAAAGACCTTCGTTATAATTTGTGCATTCAAGTCTGATATGCTATCTAATGTTTTAAAGTGTATATAAAGCCCAAGTGGTAAACGGTCAGGTTGTTATTGCTGTGGAGATACAATATCTTTATTTCTCCTGGTTACTATCTACACCAGAGGTCTCCAAACTTTTCAAACATAGGGCCAGTTTACTGTCCTTCAGACTTTCAGGGGGCCGGATTGGGCCAGCAGGGGTAGAAAATGGCCCTGACCCAGCATCAATAAGAATAAACATTACCTTAGGGTTGGTGGTCAGTAGGAGGAGGAGTAATGCCCATTGTTGGTATTAGTGGCATAAATAATGCCCAATCATTGGTATCAGTTGAAGATCTAGTGCCGCATTGTTGGAGCCAGTGGGAGGAATACTGCCCAATTGTTGGTTTCAGTGGGAGGAATACTGTTGCATCATTAATATTAGTGGGAGGAATAGTGTCCCATCATTTGTGTTGGTGGCAGGATTTATGCCCCATTGTTGATGGAAGAATAGTCCCCAAGGGCCGTATAAACACAAACAAAGGGCCGCATCTGGCCCTCAAGCCATAGTTTGGACACCACTGATCTACACAGATATATTGATGGAAAAATCTAACATTTTCGGTTGTGTTGACGGGCTTTTGTTCATGGAGTTTGTACAAGTATAATGGTAATGCAAAACCTACAGGAAGTAGGTCAACTGCATGTCATATACACCTGTAAAAAAAAATCTAAATGACCTTAGAAGTGTCTAAAATGTATTTTATCGTCAAAAGTCCAAGGCTTGTCGACACAGGTCCTTGGAATTTTCATTAGGAGAGTAAAAGAGGGGAAGGGGTTCCATTGGGACACTTGTTCTGGTGGCAACTGGCTAAGAGAATTCCTCTTACTTAGGAGAGATTTCCTCTTGCATCTTGTTGTTTCTACATGAAAAGACAAGGGACGTCTCCTGAGTGGGACACAGAGAGCCTGAAAAAAATTGACAGAGGTGCTAGCCCTTCCTTAATCACTTGCCATCCAGTATATATATATATATATATATATATATATATATATATAATATAATATATATAATAAAATTAAAAAAAAAATAAAAAAATATATATATATACATACACACACACACACAGTTCATCCGTTCCCCTATCTCCCCTGCAATGAATAAAGCCAGAAGAGATGAGAATTAATCACCTCCGGTTTCAGAGCTGTCATTCTCTGGCAGGTCAGGGAAGCAGCTAAGCAAGCATGATCTGTATTTGATCAGCTGTCTTGGAGGGCAGGGGAGGCATCAGGGGTCTGATGTCTCCCTTAATAGTACTAGAGCCCTGATGTCTCCCTTAATAGTACTTGTCACTGCCCTATGCTATCACAAGGGGACTTGTTCACCCTTTGTGGTAGCAATAGAGTTAAAAGAAAAAAAAAAAAAAAGTAAAAAGTGCAAAAAAAATTAAAATAATAAAAAAAAATAAAGCACCTGCGTCCCACCGTGCTCACGCACAAATGCAAATGTAGGGCCAGGACGCATATGTAAATAATGATTGCACTACACCTGTAAGGTATTGCCGCGAACATTGAAGTGAGAGCAATAATTCTAGTGCCAGACTCTCTGTTTAACTCTGGACTGATAACCTGTAAAGGGTTTTCAAACGTCACCTATAGAAATTTTAGGTACTGTAGTTTGTTTCCATTTTACAGGTGTGCACAATTTTAAATCTTGACATGTTCGATAGCTCTTTACTTGACACAACAAATTGGGTTTTATAAAATGCACACTAAAATTTATTTGTTTTTGAAAATTTCCATTTGATACACAGCTACGCAAATATTGTGGAAATTTCAACAGCCACCATTTTATTCCCCATGGCCTCTGCTTTCAGGAAATGATTAATATTCGGGGGTGGGGGTTCTAAATAATTTTCTAACAAAAAAAATTAAGATTTTAAGATGAATAGAAATGTAAATATTGCCCTGGATGGCAAGTGGTGATCCATCCAAAGCTAAAAAAGATATGCTTTTGCTTTACATATATGTTACAGTATTTTTTATATATACTAATTATGGCAGCCATATCTACATTGTTATAATGTGGATTCTCTATATAAGCAGGAGATGGTGTGTTTATGTTACAAAGTGATGGTATGCTAACACTGTATTCTTTGTGCCCTCATATCTTTATTTCCAGGCCTTCAGCCGGGCTCATCGCATAGGCCAAGCCAACAAAGTGATGATTTACAGATTTGTGACGCGGGCGTCAGTGGTGAAGAAAGGATAACCCAGGTGGCCAAGAGGAAGATGATGCTGACTCACCTGGTAGTGAGGCCAGGCCTAGGCTCCAAGGCCGGCTCCATGTCCAAGCAGGAGCTTGATGACATCTTAAAGTTTGGAACGGAGGAGCTTTTCAAGGATGAAATTGAAGGTGTGTGCTGTCCCAACTTTGAAGAAGCAGTGGTAGACTGGTCCCTGTGTTGTCATGTTGTCTCTAAAAAGATTAGCAGAAGGTCCTCTGGTGTTTAAAGGGACCTTAGAAATAGATTAGCAGAAGGTCCTCCATGTTTAAGAAGACCATGGTAATAGATTAGCAGAAGATCCTCCATGTTTTAGACCATGGAAATAGATTAGCAGAAGGTCCTCCATGTTTAAGAACACCATGGAAATAGATTAGCAGAAGGTCCTCCATGTTTAAGAAGACCATGGAAATAGATTAGCAGAAGGTCCTCCATGTTTAGGAAGACCATGGAAATAGATTAGGAGAAGGTCCTCCATGTTTAAAGAGAGCGTGGAAATAGATTAGCAGAAGGTCCTCCATGTTTAAGAACACCAAGGAAATAGACTAGCAGAAGGTCCACCATGTTTAAAGAAACCTAGAGATAGACTAGCAGGAGAACTTCCATGTTTTAGAAGTCCAGTGCTGTCCTCACACGGGCTTGTTCCCCACTGGTCTTCAGGTCTCCGGCACCAACATCTTGGATGTGGGAAGTTGGCTATGACTTTGGTGTTTTACGTCCAGCTCCCCACTACACATGTGTGAAGAACGCTGTGTTTTCAGCATAATCACACAGTCTTCTGGGACATGTGATGTGTCCCAGGAGGTTGCAGGCGGGGAGAGAACTTCAGAACTAGGTATCTACTCCCGAAAATAACAAAAAACTTGCAAAAGTGGTGGGGAGGGGAGGGGAAGGGGAGGAGGATGAGCGGATCTTCTCATTTTAGGTGCTCTGTATCGGAGCATTTGTACAAGTACTTGTGCAAATGCTTAGTATCGGCACAGATACTGGTATTGGTGCAACCCTAGGCTGAACCCTTCCTTACTTTATCCAGAATTTAAAAAAATAGTTTTCGCTTTAGGGTAGACAGATGTATGACTTGTATTAAAAAAAAATCACCAGTAACTGTTTTCTCTGTGCTAGGAGACAATAAGGAGGAGGACAGCAGTGTCATCCATTACGACAACAGTGCCATCGATAGGCTGTTAGACCGAAATCAGAATGTGACGGAGGACACGGAAGTCCAGAATATGAATGAGTATCTCAGCTCCTTCAAGGTGGCCCAGTATGTGGTGCGGGAGGAAGAAAAGGTGAATGGGACTATACGCAAAGCAGATCTGAGTTTACTCCACCCAGAATTGATATTCCAGTGGTTTAAAAAAACAAAGACAGATTTATACAGCTGTGTACTCATTATTACACCCTTAAAGTGTTACTAAACCCCGGACCCTCCATTCACAGACAGCTGCTGGAGAGTAAACTGCTGCGGTTTACTTGTTCAGCAGCTGACTGCAGTAGAGAGGCAGTGCGCGATACAGCACATCACACAACCCCCCCCCCCCCCCCTTTTTTTTTTTTTTTTACAGTGAAATTTATTTGAAGTGTACAAAATTGACATTTCATTCATATCACTGTACAGTGGCATGATGTGCTGCTCAGCTGTACAGTGACATGCGATTCTGTACAGATCGATGCAATAAAATGAAATTGTTTTCTGTGTGCTATCGACCAACATTTTACAGTGCACATGGTGTGAATTGGTCCTAATGTAGTACACAAAATAAAAACCAGGGAAAGAGATCCACTGGCAAAGGGAATCTAATGAGGACAACTGTTGTCCTCATTGGAACCCATTTGCCAGTGGATCTCTTTCCCTGGTTTTTCTTTTTTTATTTTGTCTACATTTACTAGGTTCCAAGGACGCCACTTTTTGTTTTTCAATTAGTGAGTCGGTGAATACTATTTGTTGTCTTGGAGTTACCCTATTTTAGGGACTCTAGCCCTTAGATTTATAAAAAAAAAAAATTTCCTATGAGGCATCCCAGTTTTTTATTTATCTTGCAATATTTATTTCAGGTACTTATATAGCTCTGTCAATTTCTGCAGCGCTTTGCATATATATTGTACATTCACATCAGTCCCTAACCCTCAAGGGGTGTACAATCTAAGGTCCCTAACTTACATTCATATACGAGGGCCAATTTAGACAGGATCCAATTAACCTACCAGCATGTCTTTGGAGTGTGGGAGGAAACCGGAGTACCTGGAGGAAACCCACACAGGCAGAACATGAAAACTCCAGGCAGGAGGTGCTGTGGCTGGGATTTGAACCAACGACCTGAGTACTGGCAGGCGGAAGATGCTAACCATTTAGCCACTGTGCTGCCCAGAGTGTCCTAATTTAGTACTCCTATGCAATATGTCGGTCTAGTGGGTTTGCATATGCTTTAATTAGACAAATCTTCATCCAGGAGAGGAAAACATGCGAGCGGGGGGTTCATGTCGGTTATTATATCACCTATTAGCAGCAGTGCTTTCAGGTTCTCTAATTATACATATACACCTCTATGAGGCCTGCGGAGGGAGGGGCAAAGCATAACTACATGTGACGCAGCTAAATAAATCATCCTACATCGACTCTGGTAATTGGGAGTAATAGATTGACATTTCTAGATCAACAAGTTACATTGCTTGTTAATTGCATAACAAGTCTTGTTCAGGGTTAGCACATATGGAAAATTCTTGTTAATGAGAGAACCTCTGGTAGCTTGGTCATTAGAAGGTTAAAAGGGGCTAATGCAGTCCATAGACGGGTCGAAAACCGGGCGTTTAAAAAAAAAAAAAAAAAAAAAAAAATCGGCCGTTCAATCGGCTGACGTTACCACCAACGGTAAAAAAAATTGGCCGATGTTCGTCCAGTCTACGGCCGGCATTTAACGCCATAATTACTTCTGTCCCTGCAGAGAGCTCCGCTATTATACTTTACATGAAAAAGTCTTGCGGTTGCAACAATGTATCCATTTCGGATACAGATGGTTTTATTCGGATACAAATGTATACATTGTTGCAACCGCAAGACCTTTTCATGAATGCAGGGTCCTGGGAGACCAGATATAGTGAATGCAGGGTCCGGGGAGACTGGATATAGTGAATGCAGGGTCCGGGGAGAATGGATATAGTGAAGGCAGGGTCCGGGGAGACTGGATATAGTGAATGCAGGGTCTGGGGAGACTGGATATAGTGAATGCAGGGTCCGGGGAGATCGGATATAGTGAAGGCATGGTCCGGGGAGACCGGATATAGTGAATGCAGGGTCCGGGGAGACCGGATATAGTGAATGCAGGGTCCGGGGAGCCCAGATATAGTGAATGCAGGGTCCGGGGAGCCCAGATATAGTGAATGCAGGGTCCGGGGAGCCCAGATATAGTGAATGCAGGGTCCGGGGAGCCCAGATATAGTGAATGCAGGGTCCGGGGAGCCCAGATATAGTGAATGCAGGGTCCGGGGAGCCCAGATATAGTGAAGGCAGGGTCCGGGGAGATCGGATATAGTGAAGGCAGGGTCTGGGGAGACCGGATATAGTGAAGGCAGGGTCCGGGGAGACCGGATATAGTGAATGCAGGGTTCGGGGAGACCAAATATAGTGAATGCAGGGTCCGGGGAGACCAGATATAGTGAATGCAGGGTCCGGGGAGCCCAGATATAGTGAATGCAGGGTCCGGGGAGAGCGGATATAGTGAATGCAGGGTCCGGAGAGACCGGATATAGTGAATGCAGGGTTCGGGGAGACCAATAGTGATAGTGAATGCAGGGTACGGGGAGACCGGATATAGTGAAGGCAGGGTCTGGGGAGACCGGATATAGTGAATGCAGGGTCCGGGGAGACCGGATATAGTGAATGCAGGGTTCGGGGAGACCAAATATAGTGAATGCAGGGTCCGGGGAGACCAGATATAGTGAATGCAGGGTCCGGGGAGACCAGATATAGTGAATGCAGGGTCCGGGGAGACCCGGGAGACCGATATAGTGAATGCAGGGTCTGGGGAGACCAGATATAGTGAATGCGGGGTCCGGGGAGACCGGATATAGTGAATGCAGGGTCTGGGGAGACCAGATATAGTGAATGCAGGGTCCGGGGAGACCAGATACATTGTTGCAACCGCAAGACTTTTTAATATAAAATATAATAGCGGACTGGAGTTCTCCTCAAAAAAAATGTGCAAAAAGCCCGCTATGCAGAGTCATACAAAGCAGTGTGGTGGAGCTGACGGGAGAGAACTGTATTGTTTACATACAGGCCTCTCCCCCCCCCCCGTCGGCAATATTCGGCGATCACTGGTTGCTGGCAAGTAATTACCGGCAGGGACCCGGTGATTGACAGCCGAGGCCTCGAATAGCTCGCTTGCTCACGCCCCATACCCGGAAATGCGAGATCATGTATATATACATGTGACTGTGCTCTTCCCTGCCGCCCTGTAGCAGTATGTCTGCTACAGGGCAGTGGGAAAAGATAACCTTAGCTCCCCCCCCTCCCCCTAAGAAAAGTGTAGCATGTCCTCAGTGCATATCAACAAGACAAAACAGAATGTTAATTAGATAACCTAAGTCTAGGGTTTGTATATAGGTGTGATTCAAGAACTGTGCATACTAATAGGGTGAGACCTTTTCATTATTTCACCTCTGTCTACTCATTGTGTGAACATGGGAAGGGTTATTGGTGCATAACAAAAGGTATAATGCTTGTTAATGGGTAACCTCTGGACAGAGAATAATGGATGCATGCCATTCATTGTGGTGTTTGTTAGAGGAGTATGGTAAGGAGAGCTTAGATTAAAAAAAGGGGGTGTGATAGTGTGTCACATGATCTGAAAGCTTTGAAGCAATTAACATCACCAGAGTTCAGAGCATCAGCCTTGCTGAGGAGGATGGCATGGAACACAGAGCACCTACTAGGAGCTTATGCACTTCCTTCAGAGAATGGGAGAGGAATGGAAACTGCAGCTGAAGTGGCTGGAAGGTGTTCGATGGAAGTCTGCCTGTCTTAACCATGCAGAAGCTAGGAGGAGAAGGTAATCCCTGCCAGAAGCACTAGCTAAAGGATAGGTCAGCAACTTAATGGCTAATTCAACCTTAAAGGAAAAAAATTAATAAATGCACATGTGTTGGCAGGAAAAAAAAAACGTGCATTTATTATTTTGCCACAGGAGCCTGCAATGTATTGCACTTGCAATCAGTGGCTCTCAGGTGCAATGTCAGGCTCCTGTAGACACCTCCTCTAGCTTTCTGCCCATACCTCTGTACAGGCTTTCAGATAGCTGGAGGAAGTGTCAGTGGACTACGAGTGTGCTGATTACCGCACATATAGTCCGTTGAAACTACAAGTTCATCTGCGGCATTGGCAGGTGGAAATTGCAGTTTGTTCATTTACAGATCACTATGAAGGAATGTTGTGGTTGTGCAAGCTGAGCCCTCAACGTGGCCGCAGTTATGGGGGAAAGGAACCCACACGTGCTGCCACAGGGTGGGTGCTTGGGAACATGCGACACCCTAAATATGGGTGTAACATGTTCCTAAAAGTGAACTTCTCCTTTAAACCAGGTGGGAGCTATGGAGTGCGTTAACGTTCAGCCACTGGAATAAACTAGGGCCAGATGTAATCTCCTAACAGGAACATCTATAACTGACCAAGGCACCCATGTGGGCGGTACAAGACGTCATCAGTGTGAGGAGCCTGGTGCAGGGAGCAGCAATTGTGGGATACAGTATAACCAAAATGATGGTCATCTCATCTACAGCAGGTTATAGAACTAGAGCACCTCATCCTTTGTACATAATGCTAGGATTTACACTGACCAAGCACATGCCTTCAGTACAGTGCCAGTTACTGGCAGATACTGCAGAAAAAGGAATCCTTGGTGCTATGACTTGAGCTAGGCACTTTAAATGCCATTCATGCAAGCTCAGATGTCCATCACTAGAACCTGAGCACAAGTTTTGGTGCCCAAAGCAACAACTCTGTGCAGAAAAAGGCATCCTTGGCGGTAGGACTTTAGCTAGGCTTTTTAAATGCCATTCATGCAAGCTCAGATGCCTATCACCTGGAGCCTGAGGATAATTTATGGTGCCCAAAGCAACACCTCTGTGCAAAAAAAGGCATCCTTGGTGGTAGGACTTTAGCTAGGCGCTTTAAATGCCATTCATGCAAACTCCGATGTCCATCACTAGAACCTGAGGACAAGTTTTGCTGCCCAAAGCAACACCTCTGTGCAGACAAAGGCATCCTTGCTGGTAGGACTTTAGCTAGGTGCTTTAAATGTCATTCATGCAAGCTCAGATGTACATCACTAGAACCTGAGGACAAGTTTTGGTGCCCAAAGCAACACCTCTGTGCTCCTCACCCCTTTTATACAGAACATTTTCCTTTTTTATTGGCCTTAACCTGGATTACGATATTTGATGTAAAACAAGCTTTTCTGACATGCTAGTATTCACACTAAGGCTCCATGTACACGGGACGTTTGGGAAAACACTTCTGAACGATGGAAACTGACTGCTGGAAAACGTAGGTTAAAAAATGTCTGTTTAGCTGTGTTTGCATACCGCATTTATGCGTGTTTATTTGCGTGTAGAAGCATTTTTTAAAGGTAACCCCAGGAGACCTTCCAAAATGCCCAGAATGCACGGAAAAACAGTAAAAACTTAACTATTTCAGACATTTTGAGAGAAATAGAGCAGAAGCAGAGAGAGCAGTATGTGTGGAGATGACCTGTGTTTTCTGGTTGTATTCACTATGGATCCCATCATGAGCATAATGCGGCACGTTCTACCATTGTTTCCTTCACGCGAAACCTAGAACTGACTGCGCTGGTGTACCGGTCCATATGAATACATGGAAAACGCTTTGCATGCATTTCTGATGATGATAAAAGGTTCTGGACACCATCTGGATATGGAACCGTTAAGAAACGCTTCTAAACGCAAACGATTATAAACGCGGTTAGCCGCGCTTACACGCATTTACAAGCGTTTGGCAATTGAAACGCTGATATAATTACTCCTGAACGCAAGTTTGGTGCGTTCAGAAAAACGACTGTAAACGCAACTGCCTGTAAACGACGATGTGTACACGGACACATAGGAAAACATTAGGGAGAGTTCAGGGGCTGCTGAAAAAAACGCAGAGAAGCTCCTAAACGTCAGTTTATCAGCCGCAGTGTACATGAGTCTAATAGAGGAAGGGAAAGAACTGGGAAAAATAGGGGTAGAAATGGGTGGGTACGATTAGGATTGGGTAGGGGAACTTTGGGTGCAATGAGAAAAGGGAAAAGTTTTTCTTTGTTTGTTTTGTTGAATGATGTGATCATTGAATTTTGTAATATTGAGATATTGAAACTAATAAAAACGTAATAAAAATTAAAAAAGAGAGAAAAGGGGAAAGAAAAAAAAAAGAAACAAAAAACAAGTATCGTATTTTTCGCTCCATAAGACGCACCTGACCATAAGACGCACCTAGGTTTTAGAGGCAGAAAACAGGAAAAAAAAAATTCTGAACTAATGGACTGCAGACATAGTACAGGAGATGACCAGAGACTGTGGACAGTACAGGAGATGACCAGAGACTGTGGACAGTACAGGAGATGACCAGAGACTGTGGACAGTACAGGAGATGACCAGAGACTGTGGACAGTACAGGAGATGACCAGAGACTGTGGACAGTACAGGAGATGACCAGAGACTGTGGACAGTACAGGAGATGACCAGAGACTGTGGACAGTACAGGAGATGACCAGAGACTGTGGACAGTACAGGAGATGACCAGAGACTGTGGACACAGTACAGGAGATGACCAGAGACTGTGGACAGTACAGGAGATGACCAGAGACTGTGGACAGTACAGGGATGACCAGAGACTGCGGACAGCACAGGGATGACCAGAGACTGCGGACAGCACAGGGATGACCAGAGACTGCGGACAGCACAGGGATGACCAGAGACTGCGGACAGCACAGGGATGACCAGAGACTGCGGACAGCACAGGGATGACCAGAGACTGCGGACAGCACAGGGATGACCAGAGACTGCGGACAGCACAGGGATGACCAGAGACTGCGGACACACAGGGATGACCAGAGACTGCGGACAGCACAGGGATGACCAGAGACTGCGGACAGCACAGGGATGACAGAGACTGCGGACAGCACAGGGATGACCAGAGACTGCGGACAGCACAGGGATGACCAGAGACTGCGGACAGCACAGGAGATGACCAGAGACTGCGGGACAGCACAGGAGATGACCAGAGACTGCGGACACAGTACAGGAGATGACCAGAGACTGCGGACACAGTACAGGAGATGACCACAGACTGCGGACACAGTACAGGAGATGACCAGAGACTGCGGACACAGTACAGGAGATGACCAGAGACTGCGGACACAGTACAGGAGATGACCAGAGACTGCGGACACAGTACAGGAGATGACCAGAGACTGCGGACACAGTACAGGAGATGACCAGAGACTGCGGACACAGTACAGGAGATGACCAGAGACTGCGGACAGTACAGGACATGACTGCTGACCTTTGGGGAGGGGGGGAGCGGGTACCTGAATTTGACAGGTACCCGCTCTTACTTCCGCTGAGTTGTTCTTTGATCTTACCTGTTCCTCTATCCAGCAGCGCGCTGTCTTCCCGGCTTCTGTAGTGTGGGCACTGGGCATGACAGCCGGGTGCCCAGTGCGCATGAGCGAGAAGCACTTGCGCTTTGTGATTGGTCCGGCGCCTTCTGGGATCTGTCATGTGTCCCAGGTACCGCCTTACCATTCACAAAAAGCACCGCTTCTTGCGCATGCGCACTTGGCACCCGGCTGTCATGCCCAGTGCCCGCACTACAGAAGCCGGGAAGACAGCACGCCGCTGGATAGAGGAACAGGTAAGGTCCCGCTGCAGAGCTGAGCGGCCGGCCCGGTATTCTGACACGGCCGCGGTGGAAATACCGGACCGGCCGCTCCATATTCGCTCCATAAGACGCACTGACATTTCCCCCCCCAGTTTTGGGGAAGAAAAAGTGCGTCTTATACGGCGAAAAATGCGGTAATGTTTGGCTAAGCTGTGTTTGCTTCTTCCGCCTATACTTCCTATTGGTCCTGTATTTGTGAGTAAGCCTCAGGGAGGTGCACATCTAAAACTGTTGTGGGATAAATATTTAGCAGTGGTCCGTACCCATGCACGCGTACTGAATGTGGCTGCAGTGACTTTAGTAGTAGACAGAAGTAAATGTGAACCTCCAGAATCCTAATCTTATTATTATTCAGAGTTTATAAAACGTCAACAGTTTCCACAGAACTTTACAAAATAAAGGCAGACAGTATAGATACAATACAATTCGACATAAGGAATCAGAGGGGCCTGCTGCTCTCAATCTAAGAATATCTTCCAGGAGGATAGGAGAGCACGACAGAGAAAAGGAAATGGTGAACGGGTATATCGACAGCTTTGTTTAAATTGCCTGTGTATTTTAAATTGACTTAAAAGTACGCTTACCCAATTAATGTCCTCCTTCGTTCATATAGATGGAAGAGTTGGAACGGGAGGTCATAAAACAAGAAGAGAATGTAGATCCCGATTACTGGGAGAAGCTCCTTAGGCACCATTATGAGCAGCAGCAGGAAGACCTGGCTCGGAACTTGGGCAAAGGGAAGAGGGTGCGGAAACAGGTCAACTACAATGACGCAGCCCAAGAGGATCAAGGTGAGGCCACTTAAAGTGGTATTTTTCAACCCCCCCCCTTCATGTTTTTTTCTCCACTTACCTGTCTTGCTGTGTCCTTTTCAAAGCACATACTCACCCTCACAGCAAATCCAGCCTTGTCCTGCTTTTTGGTTGCCAGTCCCACGCTGCCATCTTGGTTTTGTTCAGCTGGCTGTCTTGTGTAGACAGCCAGCTCAGATGATGCACAAGACCCTCCCCTGTCCTGCCCTCTAGAACACAACCCCGCCCAGGCTTTTGTGTGCCAATCTGCAGCCTCCTGGGAGATGTGATGCAAGTATCCCAGGAGGTAATATATTGACGCTGAAGAGATGGGGTTAAATATTACAGTCCCATATAGGTAGTAGGGAAGTATTCCGCTATTGGGATAGCACAGTCATGAGGCAGCACCCTATAGAGTTAAACTGGAAGATAAAAGGAGAGAGAGGGGCGCCTGACTAAGTGCAGTATTTGACAATCATTTATTGTACACAATGGTATGTAACTCACAAGAGGTAAGTAGTTAGCAGGCATGGATACATAGGGATGTCATCCAGATGGGGTTCCAGAGGCAGAGAAGAGACGGTAGATGGACATCTGGGGTCAGACTGACGAAGAAAAAACTAGCTTCGAAACACGTTACCGCCCCTTACCGTAGTCACACTTCCTCCCGGTGGCCATCTTGCCTTCCAGCCTGGTTCCACACGAGACACAGCCTGTACACGCTGCAGAGGACTCAATGTGTGTCGGGAGACCTGGCTTTCACCACAGCTGTGGCCCCAGATGTCCATCAACCCTCTGCCTCTGGAACCCCATCTGGATGACGTCCCTATGTATCCATGCCTGCTAACTACTTACCTCTTGTGAGTTACATACCATTGTGTGCAATAAATGATTGTCAAATACTGCACTTAGTCTGGCACCCCTCTCTCTCTCCTTTAAGTATCCCAGGAGGCTGCTGGACCAGGCCTAGGCCTGGAATGGGGGGGTGATAGTTGGGGGGGATTGGGTCTAAAAATGTAATAATACAGAAAGGAATGGGAGAAAAAATACTGCTTGTGGATGGAGCTACTGGTAAAGCGGAACTAGCTTCCTTTTGGGAGTTTAACTAAGAATATCTGCTTGAGTGATCAAAGCAAAACTGCACACTAATCTCAGGCTCAAAAGAATTGATCCAACTGCTGTTGTGTACCTGACCGAGGCAACATTAGGTACAGTTACCCGAGGGGAGGTTTGTTTAGCCTTCCTCAGATTGAAGATTGTGGGAGGGTGAATGTGGATAACCTGTCTCTACCTTCCAGATAACCAGTCTGAATACTCTGTAGGCTCGGAGGAGGAAGATGAAGATTTTGACGAGAGGTCAGAAGGTGAGCTTGATAAGAGCTGGGGAATTTAGCTTTAGGTTGGCCATACACTTTACAATTTTCTGCCCAATTTCCTTTAGATTTACCTTCAACTATGTAGTGCAAGGGCCAGTCTAATTGGATACAACTGAAAGTGTTGTTTAGGTGTGACCTCGTTATATGGTTTTTGGTAAATCTAAAGTAAAAATCTCAAGAAAATTGTATAATGTATGGACAGCCTAAGATCTGTTCTGCAGTTCAGAGTTGTTTACCTTTTTTCTTTTTCTTTTTTTTTTTTACCTAATAGGTCGCAGACAATCCCGTCGCCAGCTGCGCAATGAGAAAGACAAGCTGCTCCCACCTCTTCTCGCTCGAGTTGGTGGAAACATAGAGGTAAAATGATGAGATTCATGTCACTAACGTTGGTTCCTTCCCATCTGGCTTGTGTTCTATCCTTTATTTACACAGCCTAGGCCTGAATTATGATCTCAGTCTGCATAATGCACTCCACCTATTCATGACCACAGTTTTTACGGTGTCCTCTGTGTCATATTACAGGTCCTGGGCTTCAACACGCGGCAGCGAAAGGCTTTCTTAAATGCGGTTATGCGATGGGGTATGCCACCTCAGGACGCCTTCTCCACGCACTGGCTGGTGAGAGATCTCCGTGGCAAGACTGAGAAGGAGTTCAAGTAAGTGGTACACCCACCTACCTGTGTCTTCTCGGACCATGGGTGTCATCACTGTCCCTATGCTTCTAAGTATGCATTATTGTTGTCTGGCAGGATAAGGTTTAAAAGATGGTCCATTCAAAACTGACTTTTTGGGCAGATGCTAGAAGTCAGTCTCTTTCTCTTTCTTCTATCTCTTTCTTTCTATTTCTCTTCTTTCTTTTTCTCTTTCTCTTTCTTTCTTTCTCTTTCTTCTATCTCTTTCTTTTCTTCTTCTTCTATCTCTTTCTTTCTCTTTCTTCTATCTCTTTCTTTCTCTTTCTTTCTTCTATCTCTTTCTTTCTCTTTCTTCTTTCTCTTTCTTTCTCTTTCTTCTATCTCTTTCTCTTTCTTCTATCTCTTTCTTTCTCTTTCTCTTTCTTCTATCTCTTTCTTTCTCTTTCTTCTTTCTCTTCTATCTCTCTTTCTTTCTTCTATTCTTTCTTTCTTTTCTATCTTTCTTTCTTTCTTCTATCTCTTTCTTTTCTTTCTCTTTCTTTTTCTCTTTCTCTTTTCTTTTTCTTCTATCTCTTTCTTTCTTTTCTCTTTCTCTCTTCTCTTTTCTTTCTTTATCTCTTTCTTTCTCTTTCTCTTTCTCTTTCTTCTTTCTCTTTCTTTCTCTTCTTTATCTCTTTCTCTCTCTCTCTCCCCCCCCCCCCCCCCCCCCCCAAAGTTCCTAGATGATATAACATTTGGTATGATAAACCCATCTACAGTGGGAATAGAAAAGCGTCCTCCCACTTTAAAATAAGCACATTTTGTTGCTTTGCATCCTGAAATGAAGACACACAGTTTTTGTTGTATCCGGCTGTATTTACTCAGTGCAACATATAATATTCAAGTGAAAGCTATAGCACCAACATGTCAGGAAAAAAAAAATTACAAATTCTAAAACAGAATCGCTGAGTTAGAAAAAAAAAGTCACCCCCCCCCCCCCCTCCTTAACCCCTTCCCGCCTTTGCCTCCCAGCCCTTTAAGAGTTTCAGAAGCCGGGAGGGGTTTAGGGATCATGTGACCGCCGTGACGCGTCATCACGGCGGTCACATGATTGGGAAAGGTCACGATCGAAAGATCAGACCGTGACCTTTCCGTGAGTACGCGCTTTCAGCACATATGTTTTTTGTTAATTGGACGCAAATGTGCGGCTGCTCGGCGTCTAGGTCCAGACGCCGGGAGGCCGCACATTTGTTTGCTGCTGGCGTGAAGAGATTAAAGTGACATATAAAATCAATCAGGTGTAATTAATCAACTGCTCCATGGCACACAAAGCAATTTGCCTTTCAGTTTTGATCAGCTGTGATCATTTTGATTAGCTCAGCATGAAAAGAGCTTTCCTGGAGCATTTCAGTCCCTGCTGGTACAACTGAAGCAAACAATTAACTATGAGTAGCAAGGCACTGTCACCGAGATCTCTGGGATAACATTGTGGACAGGCACAAGTCAGGAGGTGGATACAAAAAAAATTCAAAGGCTATATCAATGCCTTGAAGCACAGTGAAGTCTATTCTTACGAAGTGGAAGGTATTTTGTACAACACAGACTTTTCATGGATCAGGACGTCGCTTCAAACTGGATGAAAGAGCCAGGAGGAAACAGGTCAGAGAGGTTTCCAAGAGGCCTACAGCAACTCTGAAGCAGTTGCAGGAATTGATGACAGAGTGGTCATTGTGTGCATGTGACAACAATATCACAAATCCTCCACAAATGTGTCTTGTATGGAAGGGTTGCAAGAAAAAAAGCCGCTCATCAAGAAAGGCCACACGCTGTCGCCACTGAGTGCAAAATTTGCCAAAACGCACCTTGAAGATTCTGAGGCCACAAGGAGAAAGGTGTTCTGGTCAGATGAGACTAAAATGGAATGATTTGGCCTCAACACTAAATGATACGTCTGGTGGAAATCCAGTACAGCTCACCATCCAAATACCACCATTCCTATAGGAAAGCATGGAGGGGGGAATTTTCTGTTATGGGGGTCTCTCTGCAGCAGGGACTGCAGCATTTGTCAGGATAGAAGGAAAAATGGACGGGGCAAAAACCCATCAAAGGAAAATCTGCCCTCTGCCAAAAAGTTGTCAATGGGAAGAAAGTTTACTTTTCAACATGACAATGACCCAAAGCGCACAGCAAAAATGAGCCTTGCATGGCCTAGTCAGAGCCCAGACTTAAACCCCATTGAAAATCTGTGAAATGACTCGAAGACCACAGTCCACAAATGGTCACCATCAAATTTAACTGAACTTAAGCAGTTCTGCAAAGAAGAGCGGGCATATATTCTAGATGTTAAAGTTAGTATAGACATCCCAACAGACTAAAGGCTGGAATTAAAGCAAAAGGGGGTTCAACAAAATACTGATGCAAGGGAGAATCCTTTTTTTCCATCTCGGTGATTCTGTTTTTTAAATTTAAAAAAAAAAAAAATTCTGACGTGTTGGTGTTACAGTATATCTTTCACTTAGATGTTAATCAGTTGAACTGAGTAAAAACAGCTGGATAAAACAAAAATGGTGTCTGTCTTCATTTCAGACTGCAATGCAACAAAATGTGACTATTTTAAAGGGGGTGATTTTTTTTTTTTTTTTTTTTTCTATACCCACTGTAGTGCTGTGGCAAGGATCCAATATTTAAATGCTTTTGTGGCTTCCCACGTGATGATTCCCTTACTCATCTGATGCCCGCTTGGTGATTAGTCTGTTTCCTGGGGGCAGTCAATGAGTTTCCGGCCGCCTCCCCCTCACACAGACGCACATCACATGCTGCGACTGGCCAGAACTGGGGACAAGACTCAAGTTGTGTCTTTCTGCCCTTAGCCAGATGCAGGTCAAAAGTCACTTAGTAATACCACACAGACCAGGCGGGTCAGGATGCTGTGGCATATCTGATGGGAAAAGCAGAACATAAATATTTGTGGCCAGACCAGATGCCAGAATGTATTTCTTACCTGTGCTATACTGTCTCATTAATTGACCTTGTTCTAACACATCCTTTCTTAACCTTTTCACCCCAGTGGAACCCTTGGAATCATTTCTAGGTGTCAGGGAACCATACTAAAGCTAGTTCATTAGGGGTCAGTGGTAAGAATGCCCATTGCGTTTGGGGGGTCAGTGGTAAGAATGCCCATTGTGTTGGGGGTCAGCGGTAAGAATGCCCATTGCGTTGGGGCTCAGCGGTAAGAATGCCCATTGCGTTGGGGCTCAGCGGTAAGAATGCCCATTGCGTTGAGGGTCAGCGGTAAGAATGCCCATTGCGTTGGGGGTCAGCGGTAAGAATGCCCATTGCGTTGGGGTCAGCGGTAAGAATGCCCATTGCGTTGGGGGTCAGCGGTAAGATTGCCCATTGCGTTGGGGGTCAGCGGTAAGATTGCCCATTGCGTTGGGGGTCAGCGGGAAGAATGCCCATTGCGTTGGGGGTCAGCGGGAAGAATGCCCATTGCGTTGGGGGTCAGCGGGAAGAATGCCCATTGCGTTTGGGGGTCAGCGGGAAGAATGCCCATTGCGTTTGGGGGTCAGCGGGAAGAATGCCCATTGCGTTTGGGGGTCAGCGGGAAGAATGCCCATTGCGTTTGGGGGTCAGCGGGAAGAATGCCCATTGCGTTTGGGGAAGAATGCCCATTGCGTTTTGGGGGTCAGCGGGGGTCAGCGGGAAGAATGCCCATTGCGTTTGGGGGTCAGCGGGAAGAATGCCCAACTTAGGACTTGTTCACACTGGCTTTGCTCTCTGAAGTGCGATTTGCGTTCAGATGGCTCTTCAGAGAGCATTAAACAGGTGTGAGGAATGTTGTATTACCGGCTTTAACTCCTTGAACCCTACACTAATGTGCTGCAAGAACATGCATTGCATGTGGTTGCACAGTGGCCCTGTTCACTTGAATGAGTCGCATTCTCCCCCCCCAAAAGCGACTGGAGGTATAATTCCTGCCATGGACATGAAGAAAAGCATTGCAGTTGTGGCATGTATACTCCCCGCGACGATTGAAGCTAAAAAGGGTCTCCTAATTGTGCGCATGTATTGTCACGTGTCCCTGGTGGAGTGTATGTAGACAAGAAATGGCAGACTACAGGGGATCTGCAGCATAAGATGGCAAATAGAATGAAAAAAGGTATTTTATGGAGAAATTTTTTTTTTTTTCTTTTTTTTTTTGAGAGAAAGATTTGTCTAAACATGGAAATATTAATAAAACAGAATGGTTAGAATTGAAAAATGGTTGTAAAATGAGAACCACTAAACAACTGGCTTTGGCAGTAGAATCTATGGTCAGGTTATTGAAGCTTTGTGGGTGTTTCACATTATTCGAGACTGCATAAAGTTTTTTGTTGTCAGAGACACTGTCTGCTAGACTTGCCGTTTGCGAAGATCAGTGATTGAGATAGCCACAGATAATATCAGAGTCTCCTGTTCTAAGTCAGCTCAAAGTATACAGAAGCAGTGATGTGTAAATAACTACCATTGTATGATTTAATCAGGTGAGCTTTGCAATTTATTATATGATTGGATTGTAAAATGTGTTGTGGTGGTCTCAGTGTCTGTGGACCTCATAACCGCTGTCATATAGGGTTCCTCCATTTAGGGCTGAAGGACAACCTTACTTATGAAGTTACTGATGTCATATTTTTCTTTTTGTTCCACAGAGCTTACGTATCGCTCTTCATGAGGCATCTATGTGAGCCGGGTGCTGACGGTTCTGAGACATTCGCAGATGGTGTTCCCCGTGAGGGATTATCTCGCCAGCAAGTTCTAACACGTATTGGTGTCATGTCCCTAGTCAAGAAAAAGGTAACTTTGAGCCCATTAAAAAGGCAAGTGACTCTGGTGACATTCTCCCTTGCTGATTCTGTTCGGTTCCAGCTGACGGTCACTGCAGCACCCACTTGTACACAGCCATTTTTAACACAGGAATGTGTGCGTTTGGATTGTACACTTGCACTGTGTGTTCTGACACCTTTCTATTCGAACCAGTGTTAATTGTTTCATGTCCTTACACCCTAACCCACCAGTCTGTATGATGTCAGCAGTTGACCTTTGACCTGTGTCCAGGCTGAAGGTACTGACACGTCTGGAACCCTTCTGCAGCTATAATATAGAAGCAAAGACTGACGCTTCCCCAACTAGGCCCCGATGAGCGGTGCAGGCGTGGATCGGTGCAGACTGACATCACCTTGTACCAGGGGCGGACTGACAACTCACGGGGCCCCCGGGCAATAGGGGTTCATGGGGCCCCTGTGTCCTTGCCCAAACTCAAAAAAGCCTATGAAAAATGTACCAGGGGCATCTCATGGGGCCCCCTACTGACCCCGGGCCCTCGGGCAGTGCCCGAGTTTCCAAATGGTCAGTCCGCCCCTGCCTTGTACACACACTGATACAGATCGGGTGGAAGGAGTGGCAGTCTTTGTTTCCATGATACACACTACTGGAAGGTGACACTTCATACTGGCCCCTCTACCTCTGAGCACCAGCGGGACACCACACACTTCTGCTTAGAGCGGCACGACAAGTCACATTTCTGCGGTTGTGTAAAAGGCAAGCAGTAGCACACTAACCTCCCTTAGGAAACGAACCATATAATCTGCCGGGTGTCAGATGACTTGGGGAGTTGCCACATGAGATGACAATTAATAAAGCCAGATACGCAGAAACTAAAACTCCATCAGGCAGGAAGGCTGCTCAGACCAAGGCACAGATTTGTATTGCATTTCGAATAACGTGAGAAAGAGTTAGAGCATCTGTCAGGTTTTTTGCTTTCTGTGTCCTCATTGGAGGGATTCTCCTCCCTGCCTATTAGGGGGGAGGTGATGGTAAATCTCGCCAACAGGGATATATAGAAAAACACGTTTTAGTAGCGTGACATTGTTTTTACTGAGGTATTTTTCTTACTGTCCTGGTGGTGCCCATACTTTTTTTTTTTCTTCTTTTTTTTTTTTTTTTTTTTTTTTTTTGCCCAGGTGTCATAGGGACAGGAAGCAAAGTAAAATCTCCCTGAAAAAAGAGAAAAAAAAAAAAAAAAAAAAAAAAAAAAAATCCACTCTATCATTAAGGCCTTATGCACACTGGTTGTAACCAGTCCTCATGCACACGTTTTGCCAACGCTGGTAACATTAGCTGTGTAAAGTCACGTTAAAAACCAGAGGTTTTTTTTTGTGTTTTTTCATTAGCGTTTAGCAGCATTTGCGTTTTTAGCAGGTTTTTTTGACCAAAAAATTTTTTTTTTTTGCGTAAAAAAAAAAAAATTAAAAAAATAAAAAACCGCCTGTTTGCAGTGTTTTTCAGTGTTAGCCACAAGCCTACAGGGCACTTATACCCCCTTCCTCCCCAGGCCAATTTCCAGTTTTCAGCGCTGTTGCACTTTGAACGACAATTTCGCGGTCATGCAACACTGTACCCATATGAAATTTTTATCATTTTTTTTTTGTGACAGCATTATTTTGGTGGTATTTAATCACCTCCTGGATTTTTTTAATTTTTCTTAAACCAAAAACCACTGAAAATTTTGAAAAAAAAAAAAGTTTTTTCTTAGTTTTTTGTTATAAACTCTTGTAAATAAGTGATTTTTCTCCTTCTCTGATATGCGCTAATGAGGCTGCATTGATGGGCACTGATAGGCTGCACTGATAGGTGGCACTGATGAGGAGGCACTGGTAGGTGGCACTGATGGGCATTGACAGGCATAACTGGGCACTGACTGGCGGCACTGATGGCACTGTGCACTGACAGGCGGCACTGACTGGCACTGACAGGCGGCATTGATTGGCAGCACTGATAGGTGGCATTGATAGCTGGCACTGACTGGGATGGGTGACACTGAAAGACAGCTCAGATGGGCACTGATATGTGGTATTGATGTACACTGGTAGGCAATGATATGTGACATTGATGTGGCACTGATGAGCACTGACAGCTGGCACTGATGAGCACTGACAGCTGGCACTGCTGGGGCTATGCTGATCATCAGGGCACACTGATCATCAGTGCTCTGATGATCAGTGTACATGTCCCCTCCGCGGAATGCCGATTACCGACATTATTATTATTATTATACAGTATTTATAAAGCGCCAATAGTTCGCTCAGCTCTGTACATTACAAAGGGGGACAGAACATGTGACAGAACAACAACAATACAATGCAAAACATGAGGGGATCGAGGGCCCTGCTCTTTCGAGCTTACAATCTAGGAGACATTTCCCTGTTTACATGTGATCAGCTGTGATTGGACACAGCTGATCACATGACCGAGCCGACATCTTCGGCTCTTTCCGTGGATCAGTGATCCGCTGTGTCCGAGGGACACAGCGCACCACCGATCGCTATGCTCCGGGAGCCGCGCATGCGCGCTTAGAATGGGAGGACATCAAATGATGTCCCCCCAGAACAAGAGAACCGCCTTGTGTCCGTCATATTACTGTATGGCGGGTGGGAGGTGGTTAAGGAACGACTGATGTTTCGTTTATCGGACGAAAAAAAAACGGCTGGTTTTCGAGCCGTCTATGGCCTGCATTAGGGATGTTCTTTCATTCTCAGTGATAGTAGTAAACAGGACAAATAGAATGTGTGACCCTCCCTAAAGGGGGCACAGACGGCAATAAAAACCTGCTCAATTCCTTCTCTGTTCTATCCAAAACTAAAATAAAAAATCTTCCTTTTTAGCTATACTTTTAATACTGTATGGTATTTAAACTGTTCAATAATCAGCTAGCCATTGGTGTAAAGGTAATAATGGGTGCTAAGTGACAATCAGGACATTGCCAATACTTGTGATTACATGCTGATTTTCCTTGTCTTCTGCGCCATTGTGACTTTTATTCCTCCCTCACAGGTTCAGGAATTTGAACATATCAATGGGCGATGGAGCATGCCGGAGCTGATGCCTGATCCCAGTTTAGACTCCAAGCTGTCATCGCGAGCATCCTCACCCACCGTAAAAACCAGCACGACTACTCCAGAACCCTCCCTCACCAACACCCCCTGCACATCTAAACCTGGTACGTCCAAGTGTAAAAATCCTCTACAGCCATTGGCTGTCATATGCCTCAGAGCAACACCTTCAGCAGTCTGAGTTTGCTGTTTTTGACACACAAAATGTTTAAAGTGTTAAAAAAAAACTCACAACAGTACAATCAGTCTGTAGATGCAGTAAAGCATGCTTGTTATACTGACTGTGGAACCTCAGGGGTTAATCCTCTGCATTGTGTATAAAGGCTGTTTGATCCTGTCTTCTCTGATCTGACCCTTCTACTGCCCCCAATCCATCTGCTGATAGAACAGAGCTTTGGGGGCAAGCTGCACATGCTCAATTTCATGTGTATTGGTAGGTGTTTTTTTTTTTTTTTTTTCTTGAGAGGGTGCATGTGATCAGCACAAGGCCAATCATCACTGTCCAGACAGAGGGCAGGGGTTCTGCAGCCTCATAGGACAATCGGGGAAGAATGAAAACTCCATCTACAAGCTTTAACCAGTGCTCTGCTGGACACTGATAGAAGTCAAAAGACTGCTCTACCTGCTGATGAGAAAAGAGATTTGGCAGTTTATATTTACTAAAATAATTGCATTTCCATGTTCTGTGTATTGTGAAAGACCGGATATAGTGAATGCAGGGTCCGGGGAGACCAGATATAGTGAATACAGGGTCCGGGGAGACCAGATATAGTGAATGAAGGGTCCGGGGAGACCAGATACAGTGAATACGGGGTCCGGGGAGACCGGATATAGTGAATGCGGGGTCCGGGGAGACCGGATATAGTATAGTGAATGCGGGGTCCGGGGAGGCCGGATATAGTGAATGCGGGGTCCGGGGAGACCGGGTGAGGGGGTCTGGGGAGGCCGCATATAGTGAATGCGGGTTTCCGGGGAGGCCGCATATAGTGAATGCGGGGTCCGGGGAGGCCGCATATAGTGAATGCGGGGTGAGGCCGCATATAGTGAATGCGGGGTCCGGGGAGGCCGCATATAGTGAATGCGGGGTCCGGGGAGGCCGCATATAGTGAATGCGGGGTCCGGGGAGGCCGCATATAGTGAATGCGGGGTCCGGGGAGGCCGGGGAGGCCGCATATAGTGAATGCGGGGTCCGGGGAGGCCGGATGTGAATGCGGGGTCCGGGGAGGCCGGATATAGTGAATGCGGGGTCCGCATATAGTGAATGCGGGGGTCCGGGGAGGCCGCATATAGTGAATGCGGGGTCCGGGGAGGCCGCATATAGTGAATGCGGGGTCCGGGGAGGCCGCATATAGTGAATGCGGGGTCCGGGGAGGCCGCATATAGTGAATGCGGGGTCCGGGGAGGCCGCATATAGTAATGTGAATGCAGCACTTTAAAAGGGGGTCCGGGGAGGCCGCAATAGTGAATGCAGCACTAAAAGGAAACCTAAAGTGGACCTTCACTTAAAAGTGAAAGTTCTGCTCAGCCTACTCCCCCCTCACCCCCCTTCCTTCTCCAACATGATTTTTCTTTTGCCCATACTTCTCTTGTGGGTCACGGGGGTATAGTTATATTTGTCCTCCTGTGGCCTAGCATCAGCTGATAGTGGGTTGTTGCCACCTATAAACTGCCCCGAGTGCCTCCAGGCTTGGGAAGCTTCCCGACAATATTGTCAGGATCCACCCGCTGCTTGATTAACAGCTGTCTCCACCTATCAGCATGCAGCTGAGAGCCGGAGCAAGATGCTACCATCCCCTCCCCAGTTCAGCATTTGGAATGTGAGTGCTGGAGGGACAGAGCCTGGGAGCAGTGACTGACAGTTGGCAGCTTGAGAACTGAGGAATTCGTGGTCATGAGATTGCTCAGTTCTCGGTCTTAGAGTTGATGTGGGACAGCTACAGCTTTTTTTTTAATCACATGCTTCTTTAACCCCTTGCCCTCTAGAGGATTCCCCCCCCCTTCCTGACCATCCATTTTTTGCGATACGGCGCTGCGTTACTTTAACTGACATTTGCGCGGTCATGCAACGCTGCACTCAAATGAAATTTACGTCCTTTTTTCCCCATGAATTGAGCTTTCTTTCGGTGGTAATTGATCGCCTGTGTTTTTTATTTTTTGCACTATAGAAAAAAAAAGCCAGAAAAAAAACAATATTTTTGACTATTTTGCTATAAAACATATCCAGTAAACAAAAAAATCAAAAAAATCGAATTTCATCATAAATTTAGGCCAAAATGTATTCTGCTCCGTGTGTTTGCTAAAAAAAAATCCCAATACGTGTAAATGAATTGGTTTATGTGAAAGTTGTAGCGTCTACAAACAGTGGTATAGATACTGGAATTTTTACTAGTAATGGCGGCAATCAGTGACTTATAGCGGGACTGCGGCGGGCATTCTCACACTGGGGGGAACTGACTTGGTTCGACTAACATCCCCAGTGACACCAATACAGTGATCAGTGCTAATAAAAAGCACTGACACTGTACTAATGGTACTGGGCCTGAAGTGGTTAACATGAGGGGCGATCAAACGGTTAATGTGTGCCGTTTCACTATGTGCTGTGTCCGTGTGCTTCACAGTAAACACACTGCTTTAGATGGCTGTGCTGTGCACAGCCATCCTAATCAGTGTGCACGACAGTTCTCCTCCCGTCAGAGATGCTCGGTAATCACCAGCCGGGACCTGGTGATTGACAGCGGATTGAATGGAGGCGCGAGTAGGGCGTGCACACGCCTCGCGTGTGCCCCCCACCCGAAACTGCAAAATCACATGTGTGTGTGTGTGTGTGTGTGTGTATGTACAGTATATGTGTGTGTGTGTATATATATATTTAGTGTGACTTTGTGCACCTGTGCTGCCCTGTAGCAGTATTTCTGCTATAGGTCAGTCAGAAAGCGTTAAGTGTAATGACAAAATAATGTAATTAAAGCTGAACTCTGGGAACTGAAAAAAAACTACTGTTGCAGTAACAGCCCCTGCCCCAAATACAAGGGTTAAGTGTTCATTTTTGTCTAGGTACAAGGGTAAAGGGCCATTACTTACCTTATTTTGCTCCTCTGGAAGTTATTGGCAGGTCCTCGGCATCCTCACTTAAAGCGGAGCTCCACCCAAAAGGGGAAGTTCCACTTTAAGGACTGCTCCCCCACTCCCCATTAAGGATTGGCACTTTTGACAGGTACCCGCTCCCACTTCCGCCTAGGTCAGCGGTTCTCAACCTGGGGGTCGCGACCCCTTTGGGGGTCGAACGACCATTTCCCAGGGGTCGCCTAAGACCATCGGAAAACACATATTTCCGATGGTCTTAGGAACCGAGACACCGCTGCAGTCTCCGGCGATGTGTGGGCGGGATGATACGCTGCTGTCACCCGGCCACACCTCCAAGATCGCTCAGCAGCTCCGCCTCCTCGCCGCTGATTGGCCACCGGAACTGTAGCTCAGGAGAGGCACACAGGCGGCCAATCACCGGCGAGGAGGTGGAGCTTGGAGAGGAGGAGCCAAGCGGCAGCGCGCGGACATCAAAGAAGACCGAGGGAGCGAGTGAAGAGGAGAGCGGCCAGAGAAGGAAGACCGCTGACAGGTAAGTGAGAGAGCGAGCCCAGGCTGGAGCAGGGGTCAGCAAGGTAAGTATCATTGGTGTCAGTGGGAGGAATAGTGCCCCATCATTTGTGTCACTAATACCAACGATGGGGCACTATTCCTCCCCCCACTGACACCAACGATGGGGCACTACTCCTCCCCCCACTGACACCAACGATGGGGCACTATTCCTCCCCCCACTGACACCAACGATGGGGCACTATTCCTCCCCCCACTGACACCAACGATGGGGCACTATTCCTCCCCCCACTGACACCAACGATGGGGCACTATTCCTCCCCCCACTGACACCAACGATGGGGCACTATTCCTCCCCCCACTGACACCAACGATGGGGCACTATTCCTCCCCCCACTGACACCAACGATGGGGCACTATTCCTCCCCCCACTGACACCAACGATGTGGCACTATTCCTCCCCCCACTGACACCAACGATGTGGCACTATTCCTCCCCCACTGACACCAACGATGTGGCACTATTCCTCCCCCCCCACTGACACCAGTGATGGGGCACTACTCCCCCCACTGACACCAACGATGGGGCACTACTCCCCCCCACTGACACCAACGATGGGGCACTATTCCTCCCCCCACTGACACCAACGATGGGGCACTATTCCTCCCCCCACTGACACCAACGATGGGGCACTATTCCTCCCCCCACTGACACCAACGATGGGGCACTATTCCTCCCCCCACTGACACCAACGATGGGGCACTATTCCTCCCCCCACTGACACCAACGATGGGGCACTATTTCCTCCCCCCACTGACACCAACGATGGGGCACTATTCCTCCCCCCACTGACACCAACGATGGGGCAGTATTCCTCCCCCCACTGACACCAACGATGGGGCAGTATTCCTCCCCCCACTGACACCAACGATGGGGCAGTATTCCTCCCCCCACTGACACCAACGATGGGGCAGTATTCCTCCCCCCACTGACACCAACGATGGGGCAGTATTCCTCCCCCCACTGACACCAACGATGGGGCAGTATTCCTCCCCCCACTGACACCAACGATGGGGCAGTATTCCTCCCCCCACTGACACCAACGATGGGGCAGTATTCCTCCCCCCACTGACACCAACGATGGGGCAGTATTCCTCCCCCCACTGACACCAACGATGGGGCAGTATTCCTCCCCCCACTGACACCAACGATGGGGCAGTATTCCTCCCCCCACTGACACCAACGATGGGGCAGTATTCCTCCCCCCACTGACACCAACGATGGGGCAGTATTCCTCCCCCCACTGACACCAACGATGGGGCACTATTCTTCCCCCCCCCCCGACCCCAATGATGGGGCACTATTCTCCCCTCCACCACACTGACATCAATGATGGGGCACTATTCCTCCCACTGACACCAATGATGGGGCACTATTCCTCCCCCCACTGACACCAACGATGGGACACTATTTCCCCCCCCCCCCCCCCCCCGACCCCAATGATGGGGCACTATTCTCCCCTCCACCACACTGACACCAATGATGGGGCACTATTCCTCCCACTGACACCAATGATGTGGCACTATTCCTCCCACTGACACCAGTGATGGGGCACTACTCCCCCCACTGACACCCAAGTGATGGGGCACTACTCCCCCCCACTGACACCAGTGATGGGGCACTACTCCCCCCACTGACACCAGTGATGGGGCACTACTCCCCCCCACTGACACCAGTGATGGGGCACTACTCCCCCCACTGACACCAGTGATGGGGCACTACTCCCCCCACTGACACCAATGATGGGGCACTACTCCCCCCACTGACACCAATGATGGGGCACTACTCCCCCCACTGACACCAATGATGGGGCACTACTCCCCCCACTGACACCAATGATGGGGCACTACTCCCCCACTGACACCAGTGATGGGGCACTACTCCTCCCACTGACACCAGTGATGGGGCACTACTCCTCCCACTGACACCAGTGATGGGGCACTACTCCCCCCACTGACACCAACGATGGGGCACTACTCCTCCCACTGACACCCAACGATGGGGCACTACTCCTCCCACTGACACCAACGATGGGGCACTACTACTCCTCCCACTGACACCAACGATGGGGCACTACTCCTCCCACTGACACCAACGATGGGGCACTACTCCTCCCACTGACACCAACGATGGGGCACTACTCCTCCCACTGACACCAACGATGGGGCACTACTCCTCCCACTGACACCAACGATGGGGCACTACTCCTCCCACTGACACCAACGATGGGGCACTACTCCTCCCACTGACACCAACGATGGGGCACTACTCCTCCCACTGACACCAACGATGGGGCACTACTCCTCCCACTGACACCAACGATGGGGCACTACTCCTCCCACTGACACCAACGATGGGGCACTACTCCTCCCACTGACACCAACGATGGGGCACTACTCCTCCCACTGACACCAACGATGGGGCACTACTCCTCCCACTGACACCAACGATGGGGCACTACTCCTCCCACTGACACCAACGATGGGGCACTACTCCTCCCACTGACACCAACGATGGGGCACTACTCCTCCCACTGACACCAACGATGGGGCACTACTCCTCCCACTGACACCAACGATGGGGCACTACTCCTCCCACTGACACCAACGATGGGGCACTACTCCTCCCACTGACACCAACGATGGGGCACTACTCCTCCCACTGACACCAACGATGGGGCACTACTCCTCCCACTGACACCAACGATGGGGCACTACTCCTCCCACTGACACCAACGATGGGGCACTACTCCTCCCACTGACACCAACGATGGGGCACTACTCCTCCCACTGACACCAACGATGGGGCACTACTCCTCCCACTGACACCAACGATGGGGCACTACTCCTCCCACTGACACCAACGATGGGGCACTACTCCTCCCACTGACACCAACGATGGGGCACTACTCCTCCCACTGACACCAACGATGGGGCACTACTCCTCCCACTGACACCAACGATGGGGCACTACTCCTCCCACTGACACCAACGATGGGGCACTACTCCTCCCACTGACACCAACGATGGGGCACTACTCCTCCCACTGACACCAACGATGGGGCACTACTCCTCCCACTGACACCAACGATGGGGCACTACTCCTCCCACTGACACCAACGATGGGGCACTACTCCTCCCACTGACACCCAACGATGGGGCACTACTCCTCCCACTGACACCAACGATGGGGCACTACTCCTCCCACTGACACCAACGATGGGGCACTACTCCTCCCACTGACACCAACGATGGGGCACTACTCCTCCCACTGACACCAACGATGGGGCACTACTCCTCCCACTGACACCAACGATGGGGCACTACTCCTCCCACTGACACCAACGATGGGGCACTACTCCTCCCACTGACACCAACGATGGGGCACTACTCCTCCCACTGACACCAACGATGGGGCACTACTCCTCCCACTGACACCAACGATGGGGCACTACTCCTCCCACTGACACCAACGATGGGGCACTACTCCTCCCACTGACACCCAGTGACGGGGCACTATTCATCCCACTGACATCAGTGATGGGGCACTACTCCTTCCACTGACACCAATGACATGGCACTACTCCTCCCACTGCAAAATTACAGTTATGAAGTAGCAATGAAAATAATTTTATGGCTGGGGGTCACCACAACATGAGGAACTGTATTAAGGGGTCGCGGCATTAGAAAGGTTGAGAACCACTGGCCTAGGTGATCGGAAGCGGAAGGTGTCGTCCCTCCCTCCTGTAGTCTTGTGGGACCACATGACAGGTCCCAGAAGACTACAGGACCATTCATGAAGTGCAGCGCTACTCGCACATGCGCAGTGGGTACCCAGTTATGAAGCCGCAAGCTATCACAGCCGGGTGCTCACACTGAAGATGCCGGCCTCCTGGAATACAGGACGGCCAGTGAAACGGGCTGCAGGTGACACACCACGGGACCGAGGGACAGGTAAGTGGCTGTTTTTTTTAAAAGTCAGCAGCTACAGTTTTTGTAGCTGCTGACTTTTATTTTTTTTTACAGGGTGAGTGAAACTCCACTTTAAGATGGAGGACTGCTGGTCCTGCATTGTATGTGAGGACATCACAGCTGCCTCCACCAACCGGAGTGCTGAATAGTAGATGCTTCAGTGATTGGTCTCATGGAAGGAGGAGCCTGTGAGATTGAGGGATAAGGTAAGTAAGTAACTGTACATGTTACTGGTACACTAGGCACAAACAAGCATGGTAAAGCTCCACGTCTAATATCCCTTGTAACAGTTCATTTGAGGCAAGCTGGCCGAAATGAACTATTTGCTGCACTAACAGGTGTGTTTGTTTGGCCGGCTATATTAACTGTAAGTAGCCCCAGCTACACACAGTATACAGTGCTGTGTTCCGGCGGCAAGATGTGAACTTCCCGTCCCACTCTCAGAACAAAATAGTCAGGCTGTGCGCTGCTCAGCCATTCATGGGGAATCTATTTGAAGTGCCGTGGAGAGTTCCACTGCAAGGATAGCTTTTCCAGTTCCCTGGAGTTCAACTTTCAGAAAATGTAGTTCCTTATTGGTGATTGTTTCATTTTGCTATTGATATCTTACTAATGCTGAATATGGACCTGGATCCGAATACAGACAGGGAGAGTTCATTCTCTAAGATGAGTGGCAATTCATTATTACAGGAGTGTCATAAATCGGTCTGTTCTTTAAATATTTTTATATGTTTTTGGAGTTGGGTATATTATTTTGTACCCTTGTTTTATGTTCTTGTAAATGAAAATTTGTGGTATTTTGGTTATCCTTTGTGAGATCATTTGTTTTGGCTTGTAGTTTACAAGTCTCTTCCCTTTTTTTTAAAGTATACCAAACTGGCAGTCTGTACATATTCATTGTGTCTTTTCTTCCAGCCACTCCAGCCCCTAGCGAGAGAGCAGAGAATGGGGGAACGCCTGTGGACAAGGAAGAGCCCGAGAGTAGAGAAGAAAAAGACGTGAGAGGAACAGAAAAGAGGGAGATGGAGAGTGATCAGGCAGCAAGTGAGAGGGTAAGGCTAACCATACACTTATTTCCTTTCATTCAGCCTGCAGGTCACCTTCATCTACACTTAAAATCAGTGGATTCCTTCATCTACACTAAATACCATGGATAGAAGAGTGTCTGGATAGATAGAAGAGTGTCTGGATAGATAGAAGAGTGTCTGTCTGGATAGATAGAAGAGTGTCTGGGATAGATAGAAGAGTGTCTGGATAGATAGAAGAGTGTCTGGATAGATAGAAGAGTGTCTGGATAGATAGAAGAGTGTCTGGATAGATAGAAGAGTGTCTGTCTGGATAGATAGAAGAGTGTCTGTCTGGATAGATAGAAGAGTGTCTGTCTGGATAGATAGAAGAGTGTCTGTCTGGATAGATAGAAGAGTGTCTGTCTGGATAGATAGAAGAGTGTCTGTCTGGATAGATAGAAGAGTGTCTGTCTGGATAGATAGAAGAGTGTCTGTCTGGATAGATAGAAGAGTGTCTGTCTGGATAGATAGAAGAGTGTCTGTCTGGATAGATAGAAGAGTGTCTGTCTGGATAGATAGAAGAGTGTCTGTCTGGATAGATAGAAGAGTGTCTGTCTGGATAGATAGAAGAGTGGGGATGCCAGCTATTGTATTCAGACTGCTGCATGAATACCTAAACAATGACTGCACCTGATTACTTTTACAAATGCAGCACTTTTTCTATCCTGCTATTGTCAGGATCCCTCCATGCGCTGGAGGGATCCTGACAATATTGTCGGAATCCACTCGGCTGCCTGATTGACAGCTGATTCCACCTCTCAGGTCTCGGCTCAGAGCTGGAGCCATTTGCTCCCACCCCCTCCTGGCTGGCGCTCTTGTGACCGCTGGAGGAGAAAAGCGGTGACTTGACAGTCAGTGCTCTCCACTCTGAGCAGACCAGTTACTGAGCGATCAGCAGTCATCTGGGGCTTAGAGCCAACGTGTGATAGCTGCAGCATAGAGGTAAGTATGAACTTTGTAATTATTATTATTATTATTATTTTTTTTTTTTTTTAAACCCATACATCTCCTTTTTTAAAAGCCACCAATTTTATGCATTGCTTTTATATCAACCCCTGCCCTCATTGAGCTTACAATGTAATGTCTCTATCTCACACACATACACAAACACATGCTAGGGTCAATTTAGACACCAGCTAATTTCCTGCCACATTTTTCAGTTTTAATTGATAATAGGAGCAGAGAGGAAATCTTCCAATGAGTAAATCTGTTCTGGTTGCAGTGGTTTAAGAGGGGATCTCCCTTCATTTAGTAGAAATTTCATTTTAAGTCCTGTTGTATCTTTGGGACAGGACATGGAGGAAAATCTCCCCAATGGGGTCTTAAACATTTTTTGCTGCATTGAAAACTAAGAAAAAAAATTAGTGCGTTCTATACACTTAACTCACTAATGCAGGCCATAGATGGGCCAAAAACTGGCCGTGTAAAAAAAAAAAAAAAAAAAAAAAAAAAAAAAAAAGAAAGACAAAAATCAGTTGTTCAATAGGCCGACGTTACCACCCACGGTAAAAAAAAATCAGCCGATTTTTGTCCTGTCTACGGCCGGCATTTAGTTACTTCTGTCCCTTGCAGAGAGCTATTATATTTGACATGAAAAAGTATTGCGGTTGCAACAATGTATCTATTTGTATCCATTTCAGATACAGATGGTTTTATTTGGATACAAATAGATACATTGTTGCAACCGCAATACTTTAATATGTCAAATCAGGGGCGGACTGACCATTTGGAAACTCTGGCACTGCCTGAGGGCCCGGGGTCAGTAGGGGGCCCCATGAGATGCCCCTGGTACCTTTTTCATAGGCTTTTTTGAGTTTGGGCATGGACACAGGGGCCCAATGATCGCCTATTGCCCGGGGGCCCCATGAGTTTTCAGTCCGCCCCTGTGTCAAATATAATAGCGGACTGGAATTCTTCTTCTTCGTGCAGGTCACGGCTCATGCGCAGATTTTTTATCGGTAAAACGATCGGCCGATTTGCCCATCATTGCCGGGAAAATCGGCCGATTGGCAAAATCGCCGATTTTTTTTTTTTTTTTTTTTTTTTTTTTTTTTCCCCCCCCCAACTTTACCGATTAAAAAAAAAAAATGTGCCAAAAACCCGAAAAACGGCCGACCAATTAACCCACTAACGGTGCAAAAATCGGCAGATTTTTTTTTACTCTGGATGCAAAATCGGACGATTTTCGACCCGTCTATGGCCTGCATAAGTTATACTGCGTCTAAGTATTCACCATATTGAATTATTCATTGCAGCACATACCAGCACGTTCAGATACTCTCGCTGCCAGTCCTTCTTCTTTAGATATCTGCTAGTCTATGGGTAGCCTTCGCGATCTGGTAAAGCTGTGATCATGAGTTTACTTCTCACAGGGGACAATTCTGCATTCTCTAAAGGTCTGCAAGGTCGTCCGTGTTTTTTTTTTTTTTTTGGGGATTTTCCCAGATCTTCTACTCCCATAATCCAAAACAAGTTATTTACTAAAACTGGGGCGTGCAAAATCTGGTGCAACTCTATTCAGTCAGCTTCCAGGTTTTATTTCCACAGCTTAACTGAACACCCTGAAGCTATGTTACCATGCACAGCTGCACCACATTCTGAATGATCCAGTTTTAGTAAATCTCCCCCGTAATAAACTTCACAAGACTTCTTCTTCCCCTTTAAGTCGAATTGTCCCTGGAATTTGTCTTTGCTTGTGTGTGACAAAGGACTGTTAGATGACATTCATCAAATAATTACTGAATGTTTGCCCATTAAAACGAATATCTGACTGTCTTTTCAGACCCCGAGTCCTCCGGACACGGTAAGCCCGCCATCCAACGCTGTTCCTGATGAGAAGCAGACCTCAGATTCTCCAGAAATGGTGCAAGGAAAACAAGAGCCTAGAACCCAAACCCCGGTCACAGAGGAGCGAAGCGGTAGGTTTACATAACTGACAGAAGCCTAGTGTCCATTGCAAGCTCTGTGTGGCATGACTTTTCCTTAGATTTTGTTATCCACTCAGACTTTTTAGGCCCTTTTCACACAGGCGTTCCATATGTCCGTTTTTTTCATCTATCCGTTTACGGATGAATAACAGACACCCATGTATTTCTGTGGACTAGTGGATGTAAATGGATGATCATCTGTTTACATGCAAGAATATTCGCATCCGTTAACCCCTTGCCCTCCAGAGGATTTACCCCCCCTTCCTGACTAGGCCATTTTTTGAGTAACGGTGCTGCATTACTTTAACAATTGTGCGGTCATGCAATGTTGTACCCATATGAAATGTATGTCCTTTTTTTTTTTTTTTTTTTTTTCCTCACGAATTGAGCTTTTTCAGTGGTATTTGATCACCTGTGCAGTTTTTATTTTTTGCGCTAAAAGAAAAAAACAATAGTTTGGACTTTTTGATATTAAACATGTCCAGTAAACAAAAATGTTAATCACATTTCGTCATAAATTTAGGTTAAAATGTATTCCGCTACGTCTTTGCTTAAAAAAAAAATCCCAATATGTGTAAATTAATTGGTTTATGTGAAAGTTATAGCATTTACAAATGGCGGTATAGATACTTTTTTTTTTTTGCCCACTAGTAATGGCGGCGATCAGAGACTTTTAGCGGGACTGCGGCAGACATTCTGACACTGGGGGGAACTAACTTGGTGTCTCTGACATCCCCAGTGACACCAATACAGTGATCAGTGCTAAAAAAACAGCACTGACACTGTACTAATGGCACTGGGCAGGAAGGGGTTAATGTGAGGGGCGATCAAAGGGTTAACTATGTGCAGGGAGTGTTTTACTAGGGGGGGGCGGGGGTGTGTGCTTCACTGTAAGCACACTGATTGGGATGGCAGTGTGCCAGAGCTGACAGGAAGTAAGACTGTTTGTAAACAAAACAGTCTTCTTCCCCGTCGGTGATTGTCAATAATCACCGGGCACCGGCAGGTAACGGGTAATCACCAGCCGGGACCCGGTGATTGACATCCGCAGCTGCGAATGGCGGCGCAGGTAGGGCACGCGTGGCTCGTGTGGGCCCCCCGTACCCGGAAATGCAAAATCACGTATATATACATGATTTTGTGCACCCGTGTAGCAGTATATCTGGTATACAGTTACGGGGAAGCGGTTAACATCCGTTTTTGTAACGTAAGGAAACCCTATTTTTCTTCTGTAAAAAAAAAAACAGGATGGATGAAGAACTGAGGTGAACTGATCCGTTTTTTTTCTTGGAAAAAACATGACTGAACTGATGAAGTAAAGCAACGCCCGTGTGATTGGGCCTTACAGTGTTGTCTCCCTGCAGGAGATAATATGATATTTTTTGGGCATTTTTAAGCTTAGCATAAGACATATTATTGACATCCTTTCAAATACTCTTCATTTTCTATGCATTTGTGTGATTTACTTCTATGTCACTTTAGGGTGTCTCCTTTTTAATCTTTTCTGCCTTGTGACCTCGTGAAATTTCAGTCCTCCACGTCACCTACTGTCAGGGTTTGGCTGGGCGCCGTACATGAGACATCCTGTACTGATTACAGTGCTTGGTGTGGGTTGGGTTTGGCATTAATGTTCACTGGCAGCTGGGTGAGCACTACTGTGGGCAGTTGCATGAGCTGGCAACGCAAAACTTCTGAAATTTGGTGTAGTGAGATAGGAGGGAACACCAGCGATTGGCACTTAGGTTAGGGGGTGTTTGACTGCTGGATGTGAAGCCGAAGAGCACACCCAGCTTACCACCTACCCCTTTTTTCCATTAATCAGTGGGTGGCACTGATGTCATCACAGTATATACAACTACAGCGGCTTGATGAGTCCCAGTAACCCTGCTTCTGGAAGCAGGCAGCGATGACCAGTCATTTTGGAAGAAGTCGAGGCCTCCCTGGTAACTTTTTCAATGGGTATTGCGTGACAATGGAATGGAGCAGAACAAATGAAATACTGCAGGGTATTCCCTGCACACCTAACATCTGTCTGTTTAGTATACTTGATGAAGAACGTTGGGCAACATTATACAAGAATACTTTGTTAGGGAAGAATTGTCCATAGCACATAAAGCCATTGCTGTTAAATGGGTGATTCCATCACCCCCCAACCCCCCCACCAGTGTACGTCAATGGAAAATGTTGCTCAACCAGAGTATTCCATGTGAGAACTTAATGCATTGGAAATCATTTCATAAATGATGGGACTGAATGATGAATTTGTACTCAAAGTGGTTGTAAAGTTAAAAGGTTTTTTCCTTAAAGAATTAAGGTAAGACAGGCAAGACTTGAAAGTTGCTGTTCCCAGACGCTCTCCATCCAATCTGACAGAGCTTGAGCGATTCTGCAAAGAAGAATGGGCAGAAATGTCCCTTCCTGTCCAAAGCTGGGAGAGACATCCCCAAAAAGACTTGCAGCTGGAATTGCAGCCAAAGGGGGTCCTACAAAGTATTGACTCCGGGGGGCTGAATACAAATGCTGCCACACTTTTCACAGATTTATTTGTAAAAAAAAACTTTCAAAAACCTTTTCTCATTTTCCTTCCACTTCACAATTATGTGCCACTTTGTCTTGGTCTAGCACATACAATCCCCAAAATTACGTTTTTGGTTGTAACATGACAAAATGTGGATAAATTCAAGGGGAATGAAGACTTTCAAGGCACTCTATTATCAGCATTCATTTTATTTTAGTGGTTTAAATTCCCTGCTCATGCATAACCCTTCTTAGCTTAGTTTTTGAGGTAGTGTCCTATTCTTTCACAACATCTGGACCCCAAGTCCTTGGAATTGCAGGCAAGTCCTCTTCATATTAAAGAGGCACCTCCACTTCAGCAGGTGGGGGGACATCTGTTGGCCTTTGCAGTCATTTGAAAGTCTAGAGGTTACAAAGGAAAGTCTGGCGGCTGGCGTTTCACTGCTTTCATCCTCCACGTTTTGTACACCTAAGTGTTTCTTCAGAGCTACAAAATGAACGGTTTTCTTTGCAATGATAGAAAGGCTTTTGTCTCAGGGATCATTACACGTGTGCTAGAAGAGAAGTCCTTTAGCTTCTATTCCAACCTTTTTACGGTTCCCAAATGGACATGTCCAGCCTGTTCTGGACTTCAAGGCTCTCAACAAGTTCCTGAAGGTACAAAATTTAGGATAGAGTCCACTAATTTTGGTGATTGCTTCACTTCATCAGGGGGACTTCTGGCATTGATGGATATCAAGGATGCTTTGGTTCCAATGTCTGGAGTACTTCAGGCTAGCCCTTGACATGGCACAGGCAAAGGTACTGCTCCTGCAGGACAAGTGCCTGTACCTTTTGATCCTAGTTGGAGTCCCTAAGGTCGTTGGAAAGTTCTTTGATTCGGGTTTGTATTGATGGTTCTGGGGAAGATGGTAGCCACCTTTAATTCGGTCCTACATGCAAAGTTTCTTTCCAGAGCTTTACAACTTAATATCCTGTTGGTCTGGAACAAGTGTCAGGAGCCCTTGGATTGGCCAAGGCACCTGACTCCCAAGACCAGGTTGGTTCTGAAATGGTGGAATTCCACCAGATGCTGGATACTTTCTTCCTTCTGATTACTTGAAAGGTCTTATAACGGATGCCAACTTGTCGGGCTGGGGAGGTGGTCTGAAGAACCTCTCAGGTCAGGGAGCATGGCATCAGAGGAGCTGAAGTCATCTATCAAGATCCTGGAACTTCAAGCTTTTCAGCTGGTTCGCTCACACCGTCTGTCTGCCTTTAGGGTCTCCCTGCTGGGGTGTAGTTGGCCAATGCCATTGCAGTGTCATACATATCAGCCGTCAAGGAGGAACAAGAAGTTGTGCCACTCATAAAGAAGTGGACCTGATCTTGTCCTTGGCAAAACATTGCAATCTGGCCCTCTCCATTGTGTACATTTCCAGCGTGGAAAATTAGCTGGCAGATTTTCTTAGCTGTCATCAGTTGAATCTGAAAGAATGGGCCCTTCACCTGGAGGTGTTAGCAGAGGTTTGTCTGTGTTGGGATATGATGGATGTGGATCTCTTGGTGTCCAGATTCAGCAACAAGCTAGATAGGTTTGTGGCCGGGGATCCACAAGCGCTTGCGGAGACCCCTCGGGATCAGTTTTCCCTGATCTATGACTCCCCTCCACTGCAGCTTGTTGTACAGGATAAAGGTGGAGGACATTCTGGTGATTCTTATTGCACCAACTTGGCCAAGAAGTGTGTGGACATCACAAATCTCTGGGCAGATGAGCCATGGATTCCTCCAGATCAGCCAGACTTGCTGTCACAGGGTCAGATCTTCCATCCTTCTTTACAGTCGCTGGCTTTGACAGTGAGAGCACAGTATGGTGTCCACACGGTGTGTGGACATCACAAATCTCTTGGTAGATGAGACATGGATTCCTCCAGATTTACTGTCACAGGGTCAGATCTTCCATCCTTCTTTACAGTCACTGGCTTTGACAGTGAGAGCACAGTATGGCGCAAAATGTAAATCAGATGCTAAAAATTACAGTAGTGCACCCAAATAATTCATAAGTCCATAAATAGTCCATCAAGGGTTGAGGATGTATCAACTCTGTACACTAGCTGCAGATCCTCACAAAGAAAGAAATGTCTGTATGAAATAGAAAAATACGCCAGACTAACTGTAGTATATGGATGACATTTTAATGAATAAAAAAGACAAGCAGCAACGCAAACCGAGGGAAGAGCAGCGCTCATGAAAGATCATAGGCAGCTTCAAAAGATGTTCAGGGGAGGACACGCTGATCTATGGATGGAGCCTGTGGCACCTCCAGAAGCCAAAGGATGTAAGGGAACTGGCAAGCAGGGCCATCTGTGGAACACTGGACACTGTGGAGTTGATTTACTAAAATTGGAGAGTGAAAAATCTGTTGCAGCTCTGCATAGAAAGCAATCGGCTTCCAGGTTTTTTTTTTCCAAAGCTTAATTGAACAAGCTGAATTTAGAAGCTGTTTTGCTACCATGCACAGCTGCACCAGATTTTGCACTCTCCAGTTTCAGTAAATCAGCCGCTTTTGTGTGCGTCCAGTAGCGAACACCGCAGGTAATCATTGGATGCGCAGACAACCACGAATACAGTTGCAAGAAAAAGTATGTGAACCCCTTGGGATTACGTGGAGTTTTGCATGAATTGGGCATAAAATGTGCCCTGAACGTCATCTAAGTCACAACAATAGAAGAACACAGTCTGCTGAACATAATACTACACAAACATTAGATGTTGCCATGGTTTAATTGCACATAACATGTAAACATTCACAGTGCAGGGAGGAAAAAGTATGTGAGGCCCTAGCTTAATGACTTCTCCCAGAGCTAATTGGAGCCAGGAGTGAGCCAACCTTGACTCCAATCAGTGTGATGATATTGGATGTGTTGCTGACAGCTGTCCTGCCTTTAAAAAACACACACCTGTTTTGGCTTTACTGGTTTCAAGAAGCACTGTCTGATGTGAACCATGCCTCACAGAAAAGAGCTCTCAGAAGACCTACGATCAAGAATTGTTGACTTGCATGAAGCTGGAAAGGGTTACAAAAGTATCTCCAAAAGCCTTGATGTTCATGTGTCCACGCTAAGACAGATTGTCTACAAATGGAGAGAGTTTAGCACTGTTGCTACTCTCCCTAGGCGTGGTCGTCCTGTAAAAATGACTGCAAGAGCACAGCTCAGAATGCTGCATGAGGTAAAGAAGAATCCCAGAGTGTCAGCTAAAGACCTACAGAAATCTCTGGCACATGCTAACATTTTTGTTGACACATCTACAATAAGGAAAACATTAAACAAGAATGGAGTACATGGGAGGACACCACGGAGGAAGCCATTGCTGTCCAAAAAGAATATTGCAGCACGTTTGAAGTTTGCAAAAGAGCACCTGGATGTTCCACAGCACTACTGGCAAAATATACTGTGGACAGATGAAACCAAGATTGAGTTGTTTGGGAAGAACACACAACACTATGTGTGGAGAAAAAAGGCACAGCACACCAACATCAAAACCTCATCCCCACTGTAAAACATGGCGGAGGGAGCATCATGGTTTGGGGCTGCTTTGCTGCCTCAGGGCCTGGACGGATTGTTGTCATTGATGGGAAAATGAATTCCAGAGTTTATCAAGACTTTTGCAGGAAAACATACGACCATCTGTCCGCCAACTGAAGCTCCGCAGAGGATGGGTGATGCAACAGGACAATGACCCAAAGCATACAAGTAATTCAACAAAACAATGGCTGCAACAGCACAGAATACGCCTTCTGGAGTGGCCCAGTCAGAGTCCTGACCTCAACCCGATTGAAATGCTGTGGCATGACCTTAAGAGAGAAATTCAAACCAGACATCCCAAGACTACTGCTACACTGAAACAGTTTTGTGAAGAGGAGTGGTCCAAAATTACTCCAGATCGTTGTGCGGGTCTGATCTGCAACTACAGGAAACGTTTGGTTGAGGTTATTGCTGCCAAAGGAGGGTCAACCAGTTATTAAGTCCAAAGGTTCACATACTTTTTCCTCCCTGCACTGTGAATGTTTACATGTTATGTGCAATTAAACCATGGCAACATCTAATGTTTGTGTAGTATTATGTTCAGCAGACTGTGTTCTTCTATTGTTGTGACTCAGATGACGTTCAGAGCACATTTTATGCCCAACTCATGCAAAACTCCACGTAATCCCAAGGGGTTCACATACTTTTTCTTGCAACTGTAGCTGTGGCCATCGGCAACCTGCCATTATAGTGGAAAAAAAAAAAAAAAGTTTCTGTTGCTACAATTTACACTGACCTTAAATGTGAATGTAGCCGTGGTCATCCATATACTACAATTGTGCTGGTTTTGACAGCATGGCTGTCGAAGCCTAAGTCCTGAGTGAGAGAGGTGTTTCTGACTCTGTTATCCCTACCCTTCTTAACCTCCCTAGCGGTCTGATTATGTCAGTGTTTCTGTGCTCAAAGCGGTACATTTTTTTGCATGGAAATATGTATTTTTTTTTATTGTAGGCCTGTAATTCTTAGGAATAACTCACTGACTGAAATCTGTCCGAACAAGAGTCTAGTAAACATCCCGGGTATGATAAAATTTGAAACACAAAATCATAAATTATAATTTAATAAATAATCATAAAAATTATAATCTAAATTTAATTCAATAATGTAATCAAACCAAAAACACTGAAATGTGAAATATAGCGCCAAGTTCGTACATCGCTGAGCTCAGTCGCAGAATCGTTTTCAGTGTCTGATGAGGAATTTCCCCCACGAATCATTATCACTCAATTCTGCAAGTGGTTCTGATTTACTATCGCTGTTCTCTAGCCGGGCTAAAACCGCTTTTGACCTAAAGGGACGCTTTTTGGACGCCATGGACGTTTCTCAATTTCCAGGCAGAAAGAACAGTAAAAATGCAGGCAGGGCGCCGGACAAAGCACTCGGGACAAAATGTATGTGAAATGGTTTGATACAGGAATGTTATACTATGTGATTTTAGAGTATTGAGTAATGTCACTTTTAAAATTTTCAAATTTCCCACCAGTTTCGTCCCCCGTACATCCCGACGTTGCAGGGACCGGAACTCGGAGGACAGATGCCGGCGTTGGCCGGAGGACATTGCCAGGGACACTGCAGGGAGGACATCGCGGGAGCGCAGGACAAGGTAAGTGAAGAAGAGATCCAGGAGCAATGCTGCAGTGTATTCCCGAGTGTAGCTCGGGGTTACCGCTTGTGGTGCTGAAACTTTACCCCGAGCTACACTCGGGAATACCTCCAGGGGGGTTAAGGCAAGAATGTTGACATCCAGGAAGGTGTATCATCGTACATGGAAGGATTATTATTCCTGGTGTTAGGCTCCTAAGTATCATTCCCAACAGTATGTCATGGGGTGAATCTTGGCTTCTCTCCAATCTGCTGTGTCTCTATGTTTAAGTACCACAAAAGGGCAGAGCTCGACCTTGGCCATTCTTTTCAGAGACCTATCATATCTAAATCTTTGGTAAAAGCCTCTGTAAAGGGAATGTTCCTCCTGTGCAGACGTCTTTTGTATCAGTGGGACCTTAATTTGGTCTTGTCTGTTTTGCAGACTTCACCTTTTGAACCTCTCAGAGAGATGACTTTGTCGCAGCTTGCATGCAAGACTGTCTTTTTGTTGCCATTACTTTGGGACTCAGAGTTGACTGTGCTCTCCTGCAAGGAACGATTCATGGCTCTCCAGCAGGATAAAGTGGTGTTGAGGCCTTGGTCCTTTTTTGTTTTGTTTTGGGTGTTTATTTTTTTTTTTTTTAAACGTTAGGTACTCTACCTGAATCAGGACATTGTGTTGCCCTGATCTAAAGAATCCTAAAGAGAAGGTGCTTCACTTTTTGTATGTTGTTCAAGCTATTCGAATTGATCTGAAGTCTATATCTTCATGTCAGCGCCTAGGTTTGTTTGTCTGGAAGGTGTTTGCAAGGATCAGGCTGCTTTTCAGTCCTGCTGTTTCTAGGTGGATTCTTCTGTTTATTTTTCAGGCCTGTGATATTCTAGGCAAGGTTCCTTCTTTTTCCCAATCAAGGCCTATTCCACCAGGAATGTCAATTCTTCCTGAACTTTTAAGCCTCCAGCTTCTGTTCAGGTTTGTAAGGCTGCTTCTTGATCTTCTTGTCACACGTTTACTAAGGTCTACCAGGTCAAAGTCTATGCCTCCGTGGACACCAGTTTGGGGTGAGAGGTCTTGCAGGCTGCCTTGTAATGGGTTTTTTTCCCCTATTCTGTTTTTGGTTTTGGGCGTGTCAACCTTGTTGCTATGTTGTCCATCATGTTCAGTGCTTTGGGGCATCGTAAGTAATCATCAGTATGAAGTGTCCTTGTGATGTAAACCAAAAAGATGTTACAGGTAAAACAAAAATCCAAATTTACGAGTTATTTTTTTTTTTTTTTTTGCCCCATGTAGCTTCTCAGATGGAGAAACCACAAGGTGGTGTCACAGAGAAATACCCAGCTGCAGAGAAGGCAGAAGCCGGACAGGGTGAAGCAGCAAGAGGTATTTCATAGTATACAAGTTGTGTATGGGCAGACGCATGGCTGAGCCTCTATGCTAAATGAGAAATAATTTATGTCCTTGTCTTCCAGGAGCAGAAGAGCTGAAGCTGGAGAGGGAGACTCTGAAAGATGGCAATCCCACCAACCAGCGGGAAGAGACCAGGAACAGCAATGGGACGAAAGAGCAGGGGCGACCAGAGAGACCCCGCTTTATGTTTAACATTGCCGATGGGGGATTCACAGGTAGGTATAAAATGAAGAAGGTCTGAGAGGAATAAAAGTGGCATGGATTAGTAATAGGTAAAGATGAGGAACATGTATGTCATATCTTCCACCTTCTGTCATCCTCAGAACTTCACACTTTGTGGCAGAATGAGGAGCGTGCTGCCATCTGTTCCGGGAGACTCAATGAGATCTGGCATCGTCGTCATGACTACTGGCTACTGGCTGGGATTGTAGTGTATCCTTGCTTGTCTTGTACATCGTTATCCATTCTGTATTTAAAAATAAAACTAATGAAAATTTGCATAATGAAAGTGAAGAATGTTTGTATGTGGCTAGATAATTTTTCAACTGTGCATTCTCTTTACTTCTTTTTTTTTTTTGGGGGGGGGGGGGTGTCTCCTCTCTCTTTTTATCTGTTTTGTCTTTTTTTCCTTTCACCATCATTTCCATCATTCCTTTTCCTATATTTCTCACTCTTTTCAGTTCTTTGTCTCCTTTCTGTTCTTTTCTTGTATCATTCCTTTCATTCTCCTCTTCTTTTACCTCCTTTTTAATTGTCCTTTCTCTATTTCCTTGTCCTTTCTCACTTTATCCTTTGCTGTTCCTTTCCTTTCTCCATTTTTTTTTTTTTTTTTTTTCCCAACTTTTTTTCCCCCCCTTTTTTTTTTTTCTTCCTTTTTTCCTTCACCCCCCCCCCCTTTTTTTCCCCTTCTTCCTCCCTCCTTTTTTTCCCCCCCCCTTCCCCCCCCCCCCCCCCCCCTTTTTTTTTCCTTTTTTCCCTTTTTTTTTTTTCCCCCCCCCCCCCCCCCCTTTTTTTTCCCTCCCCCCCTTTTTCCCCTGTTCTTTTTTTCTCTCCCCCCCCCCCCCCCCCCCCTATTTTTTTCCTTTTTTTTTTTTCCCTTTTTTTTTTTTTTTTTTTTTTTTTTTTTTCCTTTTTATCTTCTATCCTCTTCCCCTTTCTCTTTTACTTTTTCCTTCTTCCTTTTTCTCTTCCCTGTTCCTCGTCCTTTTTTCCCCTTTTTTTTTTTTTTTTTTTTTCTTCTGTCCTCCTTCCCTTTTTCTTTTTACTTTTTTCTTCTTCCTTTTCTCCTTCCTTTTTTCTCTTCCCTGTTCCTTGTCCTTTTTTGTTTTTTTCCTCTCCTCCTTTCTTCCCCTCTTTTTTCTATTTTTCTATTTTTCTTTTTCTTCTCTGCATTTCCCAGATTCTTTGTTCACCACTTTGAGTCCCATTGTGACTTTTCAGCATTTTGTTTGTTCTCCTTAACCCTTGCTCAGACACGGTTATGCAAGGTGGCAGGACCTCCAGAATGACTCTCCATATGCTATCATTAATGAGCCATTTAAATCTGAAGCCAACAAGGGCAACTTCCTAGAGATGAAGAATAAGTTCTTGGCTAGACGCTTCAAGGTGTGCACTTCCTGAATTTCTGCTCAGCAATCTTCATTTTATCATAGTCTGGTATATTCACCAGTCCATCCACCTCTTTATCATCACTTTCATGGGAACAATTACAGGATAACACCCACCTCTAAGCGTACATTATCACCCCACAGCATTATTAGACCATTCAGCTTAGAAAAATCATTTTTTTTCCCCCCTTATATGTTTTTTCCAAAAAAGAATAAATCTTGTTTCTAAAGTGTTAAGAGAGACTAGTTAATATCTTTCTATCTAATAAAAGGGGAAATATTCAGGACTATGATGTGAGGCTCTGTGGCTACTGTACTGTTAAGTAAGGGAACTTGCGGTGTAGGTTTGAGTGACAGATTTACTTTAACAGGAATTCATCAACCTGTAACTTTGGTTTAACCTTAACCACTTCCCGTCCGGCCGCTGTATATAAATGGCCGGACGGTGGCAGTCCAGGGGCGGGTTGCCATTCATAAACAGCGCCCGCCATTTTGGTTTGTGCGCGCTCCCTAGGACCGCGCGGCACCATGATCCGGTGCCCGCTGTGTTCTCCGGACACATCGGAACACCGATCGTTGTACGAGACCTCTGTGTGAGGTCCCGATCATGTGATCACCGATTGGCCAATCAGTGATCAAATGAATAGGTGTAATCAAGATGTCACTTCTGACATCATTGCTTACTACGTGTGAAATCTGTGAATGATCACAGAGGTCACATGGTACAGGGCTATTCACAACAACCTTGTACCATCTGACAAGCTGTGACCAATCACAGCTCACACAGTATTTCTCAATGGCTGCAAGAATGAAGCCAGAGAGAAGGAGAAATGATTGCTTTTGCAGCCTTTATGGGTGTAAAAGCAATCAGTGTAAAAAAAAAAAAATCACCCTCCACAAGTAGTACAATGTCACTATGGTGACACTGTACTGCTAGGGTGACAGTATGTAAAAAAATAAATAATAATATAAAAAAATATATAAATGTAGAAATTTTTTTTTTTTTTAATTTATAATTTTTGGTTATATACTAATTTGTGTTATTTTTATTTACTAAAAATATAACTGAATACATTTTGGCCAAGATTTATGAAGAAAGATTATTTATTTGCAAAATTTTATACGAAAAACACTTTTTTTGGACTTTTTCATTTATGTAGCAAAAAAAAAAAAACAAAAATCCCAGTGGTGAATAAATGCCACCAAAATAAAATTTTATGTGTCTCAAAAAAATGCTAAAAAATTCATATGGGTACAGTGTTGCATGACCGCGCAACTGTCATTCAAAGTGCGACAGCACTGAAAGCTGAAAATTGGCCTGGACTAGAAGGGGGTGAAAGTGTCCGGACATGAAATGGTTAAAGGATCTGTACTGTAGACGCAGAGGACACATGAGCAGTCACCAGTATTGCCTGTGGTGTCACTGCAGCTGCTCTTTCCGCCATTACTGACAACCTATGTCTCGTTCTGCACTGTTTCTGTCTAGGCAGCCATTTGAAAGAGACAGGGTTTTACTTTGTCATATCACAGCTTTTCTCTGTTTACTGGTGACCCAATGACTGAGGAAGACGAGGAGTATGCCTTTTCTTCTCTGTCTTCCTCGCTTGAAGGTGAAGGTCATCGGATGATTCTGATCACACCAACTTACCCAAAGAGAATAGGTTACGCAGACCTCATCAATCAAGACTTTTCCAGACTTGTCGCGCTGTTTGATATTTCCATCCTGCTTTACTGTTGGAGGCTTGTTGATGGTATGGCTGTGGAAGCGCACATCCTCAGGAACAATGGTGTTTCTGACGCTGTAATTCTTTCCCTTCTCAGTGCAAGGAAGTTGACCTGCAGGAAGGTGTACTACTGTACATGGAAGGCTTATTTTGCCTGACATGAGGCTCTCATGTTTCATCCTCAGCAGTACGTCATGGGCGCCTTTTTGCTTTTCCAGTTTGGAGTACCATCAAGGGCCAGGTCTCTGCCTTGACAGTTCAGTTTCAGAGACCTATAGCATGCATCTTATTCCTTGGTTAACCTCCCTGGAGTTATTCCCGAGTGTAGCTCGGGGTAAAGTTTCAGCACCACAAGCGGTAACCCCGAGCTACACTCCGGAATACACTGCAGCGTTGCTCCGGGATCTCTTCTTCGCTTATCTTGTCTTTCGCTCCCGCGATGTGTCCCCTGCAGTGTCCCCGGCCATGTCCTCCGACCGATGCCAACATCTGCCTTCCGGGTTGCGATCCCTGCGAGCGTCGGGACGTACGGGGGACGGAACTGCACGGGAAATTTAAAAGTGTCAAAAAGTGACATTCACTATGTAACGGAACCGGACCCCGACTGCTTGGGTATTTCCGTTAAACTCCCGCTTCCCTGTCCGAACACAGATCCGCGGACACCACCGTGACCATACAGTAAATAGACAGCACCAGGCTTCTTAAGACAGGAAGTCAACTGCTTTATTTTAACACAAGATATATACACAGGGCAGGGAAATACAAACAGTAACAGGAAACACATCAGCAGGCGGTCCCATCAGGGGAAAGGGCTGCAGGAAATACCCCCACCAAACCAAGACACACAATAGAACAATGAGATACACCACATGGCAGTAGACAATACAGGAACACATGCATCCCATAATATATAATGTGTCTGGCAAGCAAGACACAATAGAACAATGGAACAACCATGTGGCAATAAACAATGAACAACCCCCACACCCCACCTATACATGTCCACACAATACTAGGACAGATCACCCTGTACCCCTAACAGGCACAGGGTGACTCACACATAATGGGAATATGGGGACCGGAGACGGGTCCCCCCACCCCTAAAAGTCACTCCCGTCACACACTAAATACACTAAAATCACATAGTATAACATTCCTGTATCAAACCATTTCACATACATTTTGTCCCGAGTGCTTTGTCCGGCGCCCTGCCTGCATTATTACTGTTCTTTCTGCCTGGAAACTGAGAAACGTCCATGGCGTCCAAAAAGTGTCCCTTTAGGTCAACGCGGTTTTAGACCGGCTAGAGAACAGCGATAGTAAATCAGAACCACTTGCAGAATTGAGTGATAATGATTCGTGGGGGAAATTCATCATCAGACACTGAAAACGATTCTGCGACTTTGCTCAGCGATGTGCGAACTTGGCGCTCTATTTCACATTTCAGTGTTTTTGGTTTGATTTATATTAATGAATTAAATTTTATTATTATATTATTTTTTATGATTATTAAATTATAATTTATGATTTCGTGTTTTAAATTTTATCATACACGGGATGTTTACTAGACTCTTGTTCGGACAGATTTCAGTGAGTTATTCCTAAATATTACAGCCTACAATAAAAAAAGACATATTTCCATGCAAAAAAATGTACCGCTTTGAGCACAGAAATATGGACATAATCAGACTGCTAGGGAGGTTAAAAGCCTTTGTACAGAGTATCATTTAGACTGTTTGTTTCACCTGTGCGACCTCCTTTGACTACTTTGGGGTTTATTTACTAAACCTGGAGAGTGCAAAATCAGGCTCTGTTCTGCATAGAAACCAATCGTCTTCTAACCTCAGCTTGTTCAAGTAAGCTTTGTCAATAAAAACTGAAAGCTGATTGGTTTTTATGCTTTTGCACTCTCCTGTAGTAAATAAACCCCCTTGGGTCCTTAATCTGGTGTTATCTGTTTTACAGACTTCTCCACATGGGCCAAAAAGGGGTCATTTGGGGGATATCTGTAAAGATAATAAATAAATTATCAATTTTCGTACTGTCACGGATCAGTGTCCCTGATCACCGCCATGCCAGTTATATGATGACGCTGTATTGCACTGGTGACAGTATGTAAAAAAAAAAAAAAAAAAAAAAAATAGTGAAAATCATTTTTTTAATTTCTTAATTTCTGAAAAATGACAAAAAAATTACAACTTCAAGAAACTCGCCATGCCTGTTATGAAATACGTTTGACTGTCTACTTTGCAAAAAGGGGTCATTTGGGGGATATCTATTGTCCTGACATTTGGGGGATATCTGTACCGTTCTGACATTTGGGGGATATCTGTACTGACCTGACATTTGGGGGATATCTGTACTGTTCTGACATTTGACATTTGGTCCTGACATTTGGGGGGATATCTGTCCTGACATTTGGGGGGATATCTGTACTGTTCTGACATTTGGGGGGATTGTTCTGACATTTGGGGGATATCTGTACTGTTCTGACATTTGGGGGATATCTGTACTGTTCTGACATTTGGGGGGATATCTGTTGTCCTGACATTTGGGGGATATCTGTACTGTTCTGACATTTGGGGGGATATCTGTACTGTTCTGACATTTGGGGGGATATCTGTACACATTTGGGGGATATCTGTACTGTCCTGACATTTGGGGGATATCTGTACTGTCCTGACATTTGGGGGATATCTGTACTGTTCTGTTCTGACATTTTTGGACCTCTAGAAATTAGATTGGCCGTCAGTACTTCAGGATTGATCAATTTTCAGATAAATCCCATAGTTTGTGAACTCTATAACTTTCCTACAGACTAAATAATAAGTACTCATTTGGGTTATTTTCACCAAAGACATGTAGCAGAATACATCTCGGCCTAAATTTATGAAGAACATATATTTATTTTCAATGTTTTCGAGTTTTTTTTTTTTCTTTATTTTTTTTGATCGCTTCTTTCATGCAGGGTTGTTTTTTTTTTTTTTTTTTTTTTTTTTTTTTTGGCTGTTTTTACTTGGTGTGCAATGTTTTAGAATTTGTTGCACTCTCCTGTAGGAAGCTTTTTCTCATTCTTCATCAAGATAAGGTGGTGGTGAGGCCTCTGCCCTCCTTTTTATACATAAGGTGGTTTCCTCATTCCACCTGAATCTGGACATTTTGTTGCCATCTTTATATCCTAATGTAAACATCTTAAAGTGAAACTTTACACTCTCAATCAACGCCGACTATTTTAAATCCTTCCGCTGCTAGCGCAAGTAAATGGATAGGAAGGTACAGTATATCATATACAGGGGCAGACTGACAACTCATGGGGCCCCCTGGGCAATAGGGGATCGTGGGGCCCCTGTATCCTTGCCCAAACTCAAAAAAGCCTATGAAAAAGGTACCAGGGGCATCTCATAGGGACCCCTACTGACCCCGGGCACTCGGGCACTGCCCGAGTTTCCAAATGGTCAGTCCGCCCCTGATCATATACTTGTTTTAAATGGTTTTGTTTTACATTTCATTAGCTACTTTCTAATTTCCATGCCTAGGCAAATGATGTCATACATCCCAGGAGTCTTCAGGAGGGGAGGAGGGGATTTTTCAGCTAAGCACAAAACAGTTCTCTGGTAAACAAAACAGTTCTCTGCCCTGTTAGCCCCTGTCAGCTCCTGCACACTGCTTTGCATGGCTGTGCACAGCACAGCCATGCAAAGCAGTGTGCTTACAGTGAAGCACAAACAGAACATGATGTAAAACCGCACACAGTTAACCCTTTGATCATCCCACATGTTAACCCCTTCCTGACCAGTGCCATTAGTACAGTGTCAGTGCTTTTTATTAGCACTGATCACTGTATTGGTTTCACTAGGGATTTCAGTGACACCAAATCGGTTCCCCTCAGTGTCAGAATGCCCTTCACAGTCCCGCTATAAGTCGCTGATCGCCGCCATTACTAGTATAAATTAAAAAAAAAATAAGCCCAGTGTATATATACCGCCATTTGTAAATGCTATAACTTTCGCGTAAACTAATTAATTTACACATATTGGGAATTTTTTTTAGCAATGACATGTAGCAGAATACATTTTGGCCTAAATATATGATGAAATTAGATTTTTAAAATTTTTTTACTGGACATGTTGAATAGCAATAAGTCAAAGATATTGCTTGTGTGCTCAAAATTTGTATTTTTTTTTAATAGCGCAAAAAATAAAAACCGCAAAGGTGATCAAATACCCCCGAAAGAAAGCTCTGTTCGTGGGGAAAAAAGGACGTAAATTTCATTTAGGTGCAGTGTTGCATGACCGCGCAATTGTCAGTGAAAGTAACGCAACGCCGTAACGCAAAAAATGGCCTGGTCAGGAAGGGGGGAATCCTCTGGAGGGCGAGGGGTTAAGAACATTCGCCACCCTTTGGTTGTTGTTTTAAGCTGTAGACGTCTGAGTAGCTCAATTTCAGCAGTCTGACTCCATGTTTGTTTTTCTAAAGGCTCCACTAGTTCTTTATCAACTATTTCTAGGTGGATTTGTCAACTTCTTTCTCAGGCCTGTGATATTGAGGCCAATGTTCCACCTTTCCCAGTCCACCAGGACCGTCGATACTTCCTGGGATATTCAGCATCAAGCTTCTCTTCAAGTTTGTAAGGCTGTTTCCTGGTGTTCTTGTCACAGGTTTTTCTGGGTTGATGTTCATGCCTTTTGTGATCACCAGTTTTTCTGGGTGGATGTTCATGCCTTTGTGATCACCAGTTTTTCTGGGTGGATGTTCATGCCTTTTGTGATCACCAGTTTTTCTGGGTTGGATGTTCATGCCTTTTGTGATCACCAGTTTTTCTGGGTGATGTTCATGCCTTTTGTGATCACCAGTTTTTCTGGGTGGATGTTCATGCCTTTTTGTGATCACCAGTTTTTCTGGGTGGATGTTCATGCCTTTTTGTGATCACCAGTTTTTGGTGAACGGTCATAGTTGGGTCATTGTACCTGGGTGAGGAAACCTGCCTTTTTTTTGGCCAGTGTCCATTCCCTTGAAGCTCACGTCATAACCCAAGTAGTCATACATTTGAATGACCATGTCCTATGATGTACCTGAAAAAAAGGGTTTTATGGGTTAACGAAAAATCCTAATTTTGTTGCTGTCTGTGTCCCCTTTAGGGGGATTTTACTGCCTCTATTTGTATAAGTGACCATCGTCACAGAGAAAATGAGGGGAAATTCAATATTTTAGGGCTGTGTCCAGTACAATAGGTGAGGGTAAATCTTCCAACATCCATTCTGGACAGCAGGAGCCTTTATGAGAGTCAGGGCGGACTGAAAACTCGTGGGGCCCCGGGCAATAGGGGATCATGGTCCCCTGTGTCCTTGCCCGCACTCAGAGCACACCCAAAAAATCCTTTAAAAGGTACCAGGGGCATTTCATGGGGCCTCCTGCTGACCCCGGGCCCTTGCGCAGTGCCCGGGTGCTCAAATGGTCAGTCCGCCCCTGATGGGAGTAGACCACTTCTAGCCAATTGGCGCAAAAGAGCATTTTGTAGGGCAAGGTCAATGTGTAGCCAGCCAGATCATTCGCCTTTTCCAGGGCAGTTGCAGGTGATAGTCACATAAGAGCATTTCCCTTCATTCAAGTATTTTCCTTGTTTCCCACTAGCTCCTGGAACAGGCTTTGGTGATCGAGGAGCAGCTCCGCCGTGCCGCCTACCTGAACATGACGCAAGATCCGTCTCATCCAGCCATGGCTCTTAATGCCCGATTCTCGGAGGTGGAGTGTCTGGCAGAGAGCCACCAGCACCTGTCCAAAGAGTCCCTAGCGGGAAACAAGCCTGCCAATGCTGTTCTTCATAAAGGTAAGAGGGAGAGAAGACGACATGGGTGTGTAAAGAGATCTGGTCATCTCTGTGCTCTATAGTGTAGCACAGGCCATAAATCTGTGTAGTACCTTTTGAATTTTAAAGAAATACCCGTTTTTTGTATCATAATTATAACACAACGACAGTTCGGTATTCTAAAAACAAATGTTTCTGTAAAAGAAATCAAAAGAGGGGAGGATGGGTACTCTACGCCTGACTCTAAAATCGAACTCCAACCAACACCTTTTTTTTTTTTCTTTGGACTGAGCGGGGAAGGTTTGAACCTCTGTAAGGGTTTTATTGCTTCTGATTAGGATAGAGATAGACTTTTAACCAGTTGCCGCCCAGCCTGTGAGCAAATTGTGGCCGGGCAAACACTTCATCCCTCCGGGAGGACGCCATATGGCGTCCTTCCCAGATCGCACATTGTGCGTGCCCACAGGGCCGCTCTGCGGTGAGATCTGTCATCGACTGTGTACCTCGGACATGACCAATGACAGATCTGTGTACCAGCCCCGTTGCCAGTACCATGTGACCTGCTGTGACCAATCACAGCAGGCCACAGGACAATTGTATACAATGGTTGGCTTCCTTTCATGCCATCCGTTGTATACAAGTGTGTCTAGCTGTGAATGGTCCAACGATCACATGCACAGGCTGGGCCAATCACAGCCCATCTGTGTCATGTGATTAGCCATGGCCAATCACAGCTAATCACAACACTAAAACCTGAATAAATCGATTTCATTCAGTTAAATGCTTGCTTGTAGCAAAGACATTCTTTGCTATAATCAATCAAATTGTGTAAAAAAATAAAATAAAATTAAAAAAATCCTGATCACTTCCCCAAAGTAGTACAATGTTACTATGGTAACATTATACTACTTTGGTCATAGTAAAATATGAAAACAAATCTTAAAAAAAGAAAAACAAATTAAATTAAAAAAAAAAAAAAATGTAAAACTGTTTTTTTTTTTTTTTTTTTTTTTGTTTTTGTACTGTCACCAGTCAGTGACCCTGATCACTGCCATGCCAGTTATATGCTGACACTGTACTGCACTGGTGACAGTATGTAAAAAAAAAAAATTGTGAGAATTTTTTTTAACTTCTTAATTTTTCGAAAAATTATGACAAAAAAAATTACAACTTCAAAAAACTCGCCACGTGTCTTATGAAATACGTTGGACTGTCTACTTTGCAAAAAGGGGTCATTTGGGGGATATCTGTACTGTCCTGACATTTGGGGGATATCTGTACTGTCCTGACATTTGGGGGATATCTGTACTGTCCTGACATTTGGGGGATATCTGTACTGTCCTGACATTTGGGGGACATCTGTACTGTTCTGACATTTGGGGGATATCTGTACTGTTCTGACATTTGGGGATATCTGTACTGTCCTGACATTTGGGGGATATCTGTACTGTTCTGACATTTTTGGGCCTCAAGAAATTAGATTGGCCGTCAGTACTTCAGGATTGATCAATTTCAGATATCTCCCATAGTTTGTGAACTCTATAACTTCCTACAAACTAAATAATAAATACTGATTTGGGTTATTTTCACCAAAGACATGTAGCAGAATACATCTCGGCCTAAATTTATGAAAAACAATTATTTATTTGCAAACGTTTATAACAGAAACAAAAACATGGGTTTTTTTCAAAATGTTTGGTCTTTTTTTTGTTAATTTAGCAAAAAATAAAAACCCCAGCGGTGATTAAATACCACGAAAAGAAAGCTCTAGTTGTGTGAGGAAAATGATAAAATTTTAGTTTGGGTACAATGTTGTATGACCGCGCAATTGTCATTCAAAGTTTAAGAGCGCTGAAACCTGATAATTGGCCTGGGCAGGAAGGGGGTAAAAGTGCCCGGTATGGAAGTGATTAGAATTAAAGTTCTTACAACGATGTGCATACATGCACAGAATACCTTTTTATGGCAGAAGAGACATACAGAGAGTTGTTCTTTAGGGAGATGAGGTATACAAGTAAGCATAAGGGAAAAATAAACTGAACTGAAGTGTGTCAGACAACATCTCACCAATCACTCCAGTACTAGTCTCAGATCTCTTCTTTCCATTCAGTCTTGAACCAGCTGGAGGAACTATTGAGTGACATGAAAGCAGATGTGACCCGCTTGCCAGCCTCCCTCGCCCGCATTCCACCCATTGCCGCCAGACTGCAGATGTCTGAACGCAGCATCCTGAGCCGGCTTGCAAATAAGGGGAATGAGAGCTCAACCCATCCGGTGAGAAACCAGGGCGGGTACTAATGAGAGCAGACGTGACCCTGCTGCTACTCTACAGATGGAAACTAGAAGCACTTTGTTAAGGGAGTCACTTTGGATGGGGGGCCCATGGAACACAGCTCATTTTGGAGAGGTGGGGAGACCCCTGTCTCAGTTCCCCATATCCCTCTTATGTGTAAGTCACCCTGTGCCTGTTAGGGGTACAGGGTGATCTGTCCTAATGTGCGGTGGGTTGTTGATTGTTTAATATAATGTGGTTGCATCCCATTGTTCTATAGTTTTTCTGGCTTGGGAGCAAACTATTATGGGATGTATGTGTTGATGTGTATTAGCTTAGTGGGAGGGGGTGTCTCCAGCAGCCCTCCCTCCTGATGGGACTGTCTGCTGGTGTGAAGTTTGAATATCTGTGTGTCTCTTGTTACTAAATGTAGATTGCCCCGCCCTGTTTCATTATGCAGGGAGGGGGGATTGTCCCCTGAGTGTATATATCTTGTATCTGTGTTCAAATAAACTAGTCTACCTCCTGGCTTACTTCAAATCTGGTGTCTGGATCTTGGGGTAGCAATAGCCAGAGTCACTGGTCTCATGTTCCAGAGCCTGAGAAGCAGCTTCTTGACGGAGATACCCAGTCGTGGGTGTCTGGGGTCTGTTACACACTTTGTTTAATAAAAAAAAAAAAAAAAAAAAAAAGGGGGAGGGAAGTCAGTTTTTTGCTCTATTGATTGAGATTTTAACACTTTGCCAATGTCTCCAAAATGCTTTTTTTGGGTTGCATTTGTATGCGTATCTAAATAAAATTCTCTCTGTTCTCTCAGGTGTTCCCTCCTGGTCCTTATGCCACTCCCCCTTTCTTTGGGGGGCATTTCGCTAGCACCCCACCCACCGTCCCACACACAGGGGCGGTTATACCCAGATGACCCTTGGGTCCTTTCTGCCAGGTAAGTGTGGCCTTCTCTCTCTGGTTGATTTTTTTCTTTTCTCTGTTCTGTCTACTTATATAAGGTCCGTTCACTGAAGTGTAATGCCTGCAGTCTTATAATAAGTGTATATTACTGGCAGAGAATTACAGTGGTAGAGAGAGGTTAGAATTCACTAAAGGCTTTATACCCGAGATTAACACCTTAACACTTTATATGATGTTTTTTTAATGTAAAAAATTCTACTCAAATTCTGGGGCAGCACAGTGGCTAAATGGTTAGCACTTCCGCCTGGCAGTACTGGGGTCATTGGTTCGAATCCCAGCCACGGCACCACCTGCCTGGAGTTTGCATGTTCTCCCTGTGCCTGCGTGGGTTTCCTCCATGTACTCCGGTTTCCTCCCACACTCCAAAGACATGCTGGTAGGTTAATTGGATCCTGTCTACATGCTGGTAGTTAATTGGGATCCTGTCTACATTGTCCCTAGTAGGTGTACGCCCCTGTACCTTAATGTAATTAGGGGGGACCTTAGATTGTACACCCCTTGAGGGTTAGGGGACCTTAGATTGTACACCCCTTGAGGGTTAGGGACCTTAGATTGTACACCCCTTAGATTGGGCCCCTTTAGGGACCTTAGATTGTACGCCCTTGAGGGTTAGGGACCTTAGATTGTACACCCCTTGAGGGTTAGGGACTGATGTGAATGTACAATATATATGTAAAGTGCTGCGTAAATTGACGGCGCTATATAAGTACCTGAAATAAATAAAACTTATTTGAAGAAAATTTTGCAGAATTGCAAAATATTATAATTTTTTTTTTTGCAAATGGTCGGACCTTGTAGCTCAAGTACACAAATATAGAAGGCAATTTGTGGCTCAGCTCACTGGTACCTGCCTGCCCCAAAAACTCATTTAGTGTTCTGGTTAAAGCGGAGTCTTCATGATTGGGTTCAACAGCAATCTAATCTGACTATTTGGTCTTTTTGACCCTTCCACAGGCAGCTTTGTCTAGATACCCAGGCCACATTTATTAGTGTCAGCATGCATTGGTTACCTCATGAACAACTGTACGACCCATTTGCCTACCTAAATAAATATCTGCTCTGTGTGGTGTTCTGGAATAATTTTTTATAGGCTGACAAAGGTTGTATTTATTTTGTTAGTTGATTAAAAAAATTAATTGATTATTTTAATTTTTTAGAATTACACCCCAAAACACATTCTGTTACTCCTCACAAGTATGGGGACACCCCATGTTTAAGACTTTTTTTTTTCTTCACATCTTAGCCATATAGAGAGGCCTAAAACCTAAGGAAGCACCTTCAGGTGTTCTAGGGGCATACATTACACATCTAATTTCCTGACAAACTATCAGATTTTTGGAAGCCCTGGAGCAACAGTATAGTATATTGTGTGTTCTATGTATGTGTATGTGTATATATATGTATGTGTGTGTGTGTGTGTGTGTGTACATGTTGTAACAGGGTTCGCTCGGCAGTAGGTGTGTGTGACCCCCTGGATGGGTGCACAACACAAAAACACAGGCACAGCACAAAAACAGTGGAGGTGAAAAAACAAAAAGGTGCAGTTTATTTACAATATTTTTACAAGAAAACATCAAACCGAAAAGAAACATCAAATCTAAACCTTGCCAACTTGGCCACTTACTGTACAAATAGCTTCCCTAGCTATCCACTAGGTACAGCCTTATGCTATACCCAGTCCCTGTCAGTTGCAGGCTAGCCACACAGGCCTTTGTCTCACTGCACTCTGATAAGTATGTTGCTCCCCAGTCAGTTCAGGCACAGATCTGGTTCAAGGATGGAGCCACTCCCTAAGCAGGCTGGGAAGTTTTATAGAGGCCTTAATGAGCCCAATACCTTCAGCTGGGCTCATTACCCCACTGCTGAAGGACTCAGCACTTCCCCCTAGTGGAACAAATCCACAGAGTCTATACCTTGGACAAATATATCGTCCATCCAGGACGCAACCAGGTGATTTTACCTGCCGTATGTGTGTGTGTATGTATGTATGTATGTGTGTGTGTGTGTGTATATGTATATATATGTATATATATATATATATATATATATATATATATATATATATATATATATATATATATATATATATATATATATATATGTGTGTTTGTGTGTGTGTATATATGATATTGAAACACATACTGTTCATTCTTGGACAGGCCAGTGAAAAGACCACTTTACACATCAAAGGAACTCTTTGCTAGGTTAATTTTTTGCAAGGTCACCTTGGCACTCAGGGGCCAACTTTTTACATTTCAAAGGAGGTAATTTGCAAACTTGCAAGGGTGATAAAATGCAGATAGCTCAGTCCTATTCTGGCTTGGTCAATAACACATAGTGTGTGTATATGTGTACAATATTCCTACAACCAGGACAGAAGCACAAAATGACCACATTGTGGAGAGTAAGCCCCCAAGGTATTTTTTAAGAGGCATGGTGAGTCTTTTGAAGACTTCATTTTATTGTGAAAGTTTTTGGAAAGCACGGAAAGAGAATGAAGAAAACATTATTTTTTTTACACCAAGTTGTCACTTTATTAAAATATTTCTCACACGTAGCATGGGCATAATTAGAATTACACCCCAAAACACCATTCTACTGCTCCTCTTGCGTAGGCTTATACCACATATGTGTGACATGTTTTCACTGTCTGGTCTGATTATGCAACACGAAGGCCACAGTTTTGGCTTTTACAAATATTTGCGGGCTGAACATAAATCAGTTATTTTATAAATGAATTCATACAATTTATACAATCCCGTCAGAGACTTTCTGCACATCTGTATCCCTATCAGAGCCTTCCCTCACATCCGTTTCCCATCAGAGCCTTCCCTCACATCCCTCACACATCTGTGTCCCCATTAGAGACTTTCCACACATCTGTGTCCCCATTAGAGACTTTCCAGATTAGAGACTTTCCACACATTTGTGTCCGTATCAGTCCTCTTGCACATCTGTGTCTCCATCAGAGCCTTTCCGCACATGTGTCCTCATCAGAGCCTTTCCACATACGTGTCTCCATCAGAGCCTTTCTGCACATCTATGTCCCCATCAGGGCCTTCCACACATCTCTGTTCCTATCAGGGCTTTACACACATCTGTGTCCCCTATCATAGTCTCCTCCATATCTGTGTCCCCCATCAGAGTCTTCCCCATATCTGTGTCCCCACCAGAAGCTCCTGAATACCTGTGTCCTCAGTGTTATCCACTTTTCCAATTGCATTGCCCCCATTTGCCTCTTACAATGCTGTCACTGGCACAGTACAGCTCTCCTGCACCTCCCAGCTCCTGCCCGCTGTTACAGAAGCAGGCTGAATGTGGGAGGGTTGTTTATAAAAAAACCATATAAAACAGAAACCAGTGTACTGTAATTGTCACCTCTATAGGAGATCAGGGAATACAGAGTTGTATAGAATCACCTAAAACAGTCCCAGTTCCTGTAAGCCAAGCAAGCCTAGCCTACTGGTACCTGGCTGCCACCAGGAATGCCATGTTTACTGGTCTGGTGTCCTGGAATGTATCTTGGTGGCAGGAATGTACAGAGGAGTCAGTTCAGGCTGCATGCGCAGACATGGTCAGCAAACAGGCAAAGGATTGTTCCAGGCAGCAGGCAGAGACGTGATCAATAAACAGTCCAGGGTTAGTGCAGGCAGAGACAACACTGCACTGGTGTGGCAGTGATCAGGGACACTAAGTGGTGTGGCGGTGACAAGGGACAATATGACTGCTGCAGTGGTGATTAGGGACGCTATCAGTGGGTAGCGATGATTTGGGACACTGTGAGAGTGTGGTGGTGATTAGGGACACTGTGAGGGGGTGGCAGTGATTAGGGACACTGTGAGTAGGTGGCGGTGATTAGGGACACTGTAAGTAGGTAGCGGTGATTAGGGACACACTGAGTGGGTAGCGGTATTAGGGACACACTGATTAGCAGTGATTAGGGACACACTGAGTGGGTAGCAGTGATTAGGGACACTGAGGGGGTAGCTGTGATTAGGGACACTGTGAGGGGGTAGCTGTGATTAGGGACACTGTGAGGGGGTAGCTGTGATTAGGGACACTGTGAGGTGGCAGTGTGGCAGACTGTAGGTAGCTGTGATTAGGGACAGACTGAGTGGGTAGCAGTGATTAGGGACACTGTGAATAGGTAGCAGTGTTTAGGGAGGGACAGACTGAGTGGGTAGCGGTGATTAGGGACACTGTGAGGGGGTAGCTGAGTGATTAGGGACAGACTGAGTGAGTTGGTAGCTGTGATTAGGGACACTGTGAGTAGGTGGTGTTTAGGGACAGACTGAGTGGATGGCGGTGATTAGGGACATTGTAAGTGGGTGCCAGTGATTAGGGACACTGACTGAAAGCACTGGTGTGGTGACATTATACTGTTGTGACGGTGATCAGAGATGATCACAGACATGCAGTGAAATCAGAGCAGTCAGCCATTGTACTTGATTGCCAACTGACCCTGACCCTTTACTGTAGTGATGGTAACTCCTATACGTCTGTCCTGACCAACACCCTCCAAAGCGCAAATAAAAAGGTAGGGAGACCTGTTTACATTGGTGATCATCTTCATCCTTTGTCCTACTATCTAATATCTTCTTTTTTTTTTTTTTCCTCTCTGTCTTCGATCCTCCAGCTTCGAATGGGCCGCCGATCCTAGTAAAGAAAGAGCGAGAGATGGATTTGATGGAAAGGAAAGAAGGAAGATCCGGGGAGGTGATTTGTATCGACGATTGATGCTTCTCCCCGTAATCTTGACATGCTGATGTCCGGAAGATTTTGTTAAGCACTTAAGGGGAAGCCGCTACAGATTAGGACGGCCCGTGGAGACCAAGCGGAAAGACACTTTTGTCGTGATTCAGCCTACATGTTTCCATCAGGATCGCTCATGTTAAAATGCTCTAGGCCTGCACAGAGTGACGGTCTCTTAGGCGGTCCTGTTTTGGTGGGGTGATATCGGACTATAGACTTTTACCCCGCCCCCGAGGAGTAACAAAAATGGCCGAGAGAAACAGCTTTATCCCCCCCTCCCTTTTTGCAAGTGACACAGACAGGAGTAGAAAGTCTGTCCCTCCCCTCGAAGGGTGACACAGACGGCTGCGAGTAATGGTTCTGCCTGTCGTGTGACTACACTCTGACGCTATATGAATGAGCAAAGATGATGCTTTATAAAGCCTTTTGTCAGTCTCTCTGTCCCTGTGTCCTCTTGCCTGACTGCTCGCCTTTGTTCTTCTCTGCCGCCGATGTATACCATGTATATAACTCAATAGACACGCAACACATTGCTTTCCGTATAGCACTGCCTGACTTGCAATGCCTAGTGTGGTTCTGTTTTTTCTCATGGTGCGCTTTTGCCTCCTGATGTACATATAAATTATACTTTTTATTTCATTCCGTTGGAGAGAGAGCTGTCTTTTTTTTTTTTTTTTGTGTGTGTGTGTTGGGTCTTTTTAAAAACATGTACTGTATATATTTTAAAAAAACAAAAACAAAACCTCTTTTTGCAGTTTGAACTGTTTTCACACAACCTCACCAGACTTTGCCAAAAAATCTGCTTACTCTACACAGGCGATCGCCCTTTCTGCACGGGCACCATTCAGAGAACGTTTCATTTTTTTCAATGAATGCAAAGTGTTCTCTGATTGAATGAGGTGGAGATCATGACGTCACCACCCCACCTTTCCACCTCATTCAATCAGAAAACACTTTGCATTCATTGAAAAAAATGAGAAGCGTTCTCTGAATGGTGCCCGTGCAGAAAGGGCGATCGCCTGTGTAGAGTAAGCAGATTTTTTTTGGCAATCGCCCTTTCTGCACGGGCACCATTCAGAGAACGTTTCTCATTTTTTTCAATGAATGCAAAGTGTTCTCTGATTGAATGAGGTGGAAAGGTGGGGTGGTGACGTCATGATCTCCACCTCATTCAATCAGAGAACACTTTGCATTCATTGAAAAAATGAGAAACGTTCTCTGAATGGTGCCTGTGCAGAAAGGGCGATTGCCAAAAAATCTGCTTACTCTACACAGGCGATCGCCCTTTCTGCACAGGCACCATTCAGAGAACGCTTCTCATTTTCTCTGTGAAAGCAAAGTGTTTTCTGATTTAACGAGGTGGAAACGTGGGGTGGTGATGTCATGATCTCCACCTCATTCAATCAGAGAACTCTGCATTCGTTGAGAAAAATGAGAAGCGTTCTCTGAATGGTGCGATGCAGAAATGGCGATCGCCTTTGTAGAGTAAGCAGATTTTTTGGCAATCGCCCTTTCTGCATGGGAACCATCATACTTCCCTCATACATTGCACCCAGATCAGCTGTGTATGGAAACATGGAGGGGGTGTTCTGTGACAGGATGACACTGCTGCAGTAGGTGTGTAGTGCCGTCACCCTAGCACAGGGTCACCAGTTGGAAAAAAAAAAAGAAAACTAATGCAGGCACATCATCTAAGGCACGGGTCTCAAACTAGCGGCCCTCCAGCTGTTGCCAAACTACAAGCCCCATGAGGCATTGTAAAACTTCCAGTGACGAGCATGACTCCCAAAGGCAGAGACATGATGGGACTTGTAGTTTTGCAACAGTTGGCGGGCCGCCCGTTTGACACCCCTGACCTAAGGCCTCATGTACACATAAGCTCCCCTAGATGTGTAGCTCTCCTGGCAGCAGAAAAATGCTAAACGCAGCATAAGTGCGGTACTGCTTGGATGCTTATTCATTTGATTGGCCACAGTATGTTCAATGGACATGAATAAATGCCTAAACGTGGGTATCGTTTAGACACTATTTTGCCGCGTTTAGTGGATTTTGGCCAAAACTTTCAATGAAAGTCAATGGGCAGCGTGAGTTGCAAACAAATGGTCATATTGTGCAAACTATCAGGACTATGGCTTAGCCGTGAACATTTTTAGTGACAGCAGGGATAGCTGAACGTTTTGATATAAGGTATGTGTAGATGGACTTGAAAATGACAGAGTGATGGCAGTTTACAAATCATGTTGTACAATCTTGTCTTTGTAGTGTAAAAACTGTGGGAGGAGTTAGCGTGGCAAATTTGGCTATAATAAGAATAAGAAGAACTAGAAAATCTACAATTTCTGGGGAAATTGTGTGAAGTGTTCTTGCATCCAAATGTAACCAAATGATTGATGAAATGTAAGCAGTGCACATGGCAAGCCTGATAGAGGGAGAAATGCATTTCAGCTTGGTAACTCAGCTGCCTCGTGACTCATCTTTGGTTGCTATAGCAACTCAGTCTTTCAGTCACAGGAAGCTGAGAGGGCTGTTCTAAACACACTGCTCCAACTTGCCAACTTCACTGGCGATTGCTATCTTCAAACACTTGTAGTTTTAAAAGTATAAATGCTACTGCAAAGAGCTTTATATTGTGAGAATCACAAGAAGCAGACCTACATTTTGGTGCATAGTATGTCTCTGAAATATTAAAAATGAAGGCACAGTCACAGTTTAAATATGTCCCTTCAAATTTCAGGTGGCTGTGAGTGAAGTTTCAATGAAAGTCAATGGGAGGGGTGAGTTGCAAACAAATGGTCATATTGTGAAAACTATCAGGACTATGGCTTAGCTGTGGACATTGTTAGTGGCAGCAGGGATAGCTGAACGTTTTGATATAAGATATGTGTAGGTGGGCTTGAAAATGAGGGAGTGATGGCAGTTTACAAATCATGTTCTGATTTTTCCTTCCACACTGTAGCTTTGCTCTGCTGCCACTGTAGTTGCTCCATTCATTCCTATGGGAAAATTTCACCACAAAAAACTGCGATATTTCGTGAACGATTCGGCGAAACGTTCCACAAAGTAATAGCAATCCGATCGGGAACAATCCGCACGTTTCGGTATATTACTTGTCTATGTAGTGTAAAAACTGTGGGAGGAGTTAGCGTGTCAAATTTGTCTATAATAATAAGAATCTATATGAGAGATAACAGTAAGGGGTCTGCCATGCAAAACACCTAAAAATGAGAGGCACAGGGAACACCCATGATGCTCAGCTTCCAAGTGTCCTGGAATGGTGTCTAGGCTCAGAGAAGTTTCTATTGCCTCAGTGAGAGATCCTCATGTCAGTATCATTGAACTTCATTAGATGAGATCCTCATTGTCAGTAATCACTGAACTCCCCAGAGAGATCCTCATGTTGGTATCACTCCTGTCAGTAATCACTGAACATCCCTCAGAGAGATCCTCACATCAGTATCAATGAACTTCCATCAGAGAAATCCTCACCTCAGTGTCACTGAGTTGGCCCCAGAGAGATCCTTCACCTGGTGTCACTGAGCTTTCCCAACCTCTCAAACTGCTAAGTAACCTCGACTCTTTTTAAACCGCCCGAACTACCAAAATATCAACCTATGGAGAGTCAAATTTGAATTTAACATTAAAATCTTTCTTTTGCCTTGTATGTTCACTTCCAAATCTATCTGGCTCTATAAACCATCTAAAAACACAAATAATTCAGATTTGATCAACCCTGAGATGGCAAAACCCATTTCCCAGAATCCTTTGCAAAGATATGCAAATGAGCAGGTTCAGCCAGTAACATTCAAATCATACCTCTGCTGATAACTGTCACCAGTGTGCCTATGAGAGCTCTCAACTGAATTTTCATGCCGTAGCTGGACACAGGAGCCGGACCACAGCAACTGCCTGTAAAATGACAGCTTTCCTAACTACAAAGGTTGGGGGGGGGGGGGGGGGGTTCTGCTTTAACCGTTTCAATACCGGGCAATTTTACACCTTCCTGCCCAGGCCATTTTTCAGTTTTCAGCGCTCTCACACTTTGAATGACAATTTGCGCGGTCATACAACACTGTACCCAAACTAAAATTTTATCATTTTCTTCACACAACTAGAGCTTTCTTTTGGTGGTATTTAATCACCGCTGGGGTTTTTATTTTTTGCTAAATTAACAAAAAAAGACCAAAAATTTTGAAAAAAAAAAACACATTTTTCTTTGTTTCTGTTATAAAAGTTTACAAATAAATAATTGTTCTTCATAAATTTAGGCCGAGATGTATTCTGCTACATGTCTTTGGTGAAAATAACCCAAATTAGGATGTATTATTTAGTTTGTAGGAAAGTTATAGAGTTCACAAACTATGGTATAGATCTGAATATTGATCAATCCTGAAGTACTGACGGCCAATCTAATGTCTTGAGGTCCAAGAATGTCAGAACAGTACAGATATCCCCCAAATGTCAGAACAGTACAGATATCCCCCAAATGTCAGGACAGTACAGATATCCCCCAAATTACCCCTTTTTGCAGAGTAGACAGTCCGACGTACTTCATAAGAGTCATGGCGAGTTTTTTGAAGTTGTATTTTTTTGTCATAATTTTTCGGAAAATTAAAAAATTAAAAAAATTATTTTCACTATTTTTTTTTTTTACATACTGTCACCAGTGCAGTACAGCGTCATCATATAACTGGCATGGCGGTGAACAGCGACACTGACTGGTGACAGTATGAAAAAAATATATATATTTTTTATTTATTTTTTTTTTTTATTTTTTTTATTATATTTAATTTTTTATTACATTTTTTTAAATTTTTTTTAAGATTTTTTTTTCATATTTTACTATGACCAAAATAGTACAATGTTACCATAGTAACATTGTACTACTTTGGGGAAGTGATCAGTATTTTTTTTTTTTTTTTTTTACACAATTTGCTTATAGCAAAGAATTACTTTGATATAAGCAAGCATTTACCTGAATGACATCG